CTGCCTGAGCTGCCTGCAGAAGGGCCTAGAATGGAGCCACTGTTATGTTAGTTAACACTTCATCTCTCCAGCATTCTCCAAAAGTTAAGTGAGAGAAAGCCAAGTGTCAACAATTATTGGGCCCAGAGGGGATAACTATCATGGTATTTATTATTTTCATCCTCTTTCTTTCTTCCTTTCTCAATTTTTTCCAGACATATATATACATATATATATATATATATATATATATAATTTATTTTGGTGCCAGTATTGGGCCTGGAACTCAGGACTTTGTGCTCTTGCTTAGGGTGTATGTGTCTGTGGTGTCTGTGTATTTATTGTGTTGTTCTTGGGGCTTGTACTCAGGGCCTGGGCACTGTCTTTGAGCTTTTATGCACAAGACTATTGTTCTACCACTTGAACCACAGCTCTACTGCTGCTTTTTTTGTGGGATAATTGGAGATAAATGTCTCACAGACCTTATACAGGGGCTGGCTCAAACTGCCATCCTTATATCTCAAACTCCTGAGTAGCTAGGATTACCGGTGTGAGCCACCAGAATTTAGCTACCTTTCCAGATTAATTTTGGATCAGAGTTTCATAGTTTTCAGCCCATGATTTCTTAGCTTTGTTGCTTTGGACCTCTGGTAGCATAGTATATCATGGCAGAAGGTGTAGTAGAAGAGAAACCAGAAAGAAATTTAATATATAATATACTGATAACATTATAATCTAATATATATTATTCTATATTATATACTTCATACAGTGCTGAAGCTCACGGGCTTTATGTGTGTATTCTACCACTAAATCATATTCCTGGCCTCCATAATTTGCAAAACAAAAAGGTAGTGTCCAGCATGCAGCGGTTCAAGTCACACAATCCTTCAAGTTTACAATGGCAAAAAGTGCAACCATGCAACTCTTCATTTTCTCACTTTCAGTCTAGTTTATAATAAATCTTATCACAACCTGCCAGCTGCTGGTGGTTGAAGCAGCCTGGGCAGGAAAGTCCCTGAGACTGTTATCTCCAATTAACCACCAGAAAACCCAGCACCCAGGTCCTGAGTTCAAGCTCCACAACTGACAAAAAGAACGAAAAGAAGAAAGAAAATCACAATTCTTTGAGAAATCTCCTCTCTACTAGTCCTGGAGTGAGAGCTAAGAAACAAATGCTTGGAGCAGCAGCAGGCTGGGTGTGCAAGGCAGATGTGGTATACAACACTCAGGGGTCTACTTTGATTTGCCGACCCCTTTCTCTTTATTAGGCCCACCATGGTTTCAGTTCTGTGCCCCTTGTAAAGCAGCACTGAGTCCAAACTTGGCACCAGACACCAGGGCCACTCCTCATCATTTTCTCCTGTCATAGAAACTGTCCTCTCCACCTATCAAAGGTCACCTTGGCTTTCCCATCAACTGCCTCCCTCTCTGCCTTCCTTCTCAGCAGGATATGGGTTCCAGAATCTCAGCCCACAAGGATCTGTCTGAGACAGAGGCCACCTGGTTCTCCCTGATGCAGCCCCTAACTGCCCCTTTCAGGGTGCTAGGTCACCTCAGGCCCTCCCTGATCTCAGCTGCAGCCAAGGGAACACATTTTGTTCATTCCTTTCAGTCATTCATAGTATACAATTTAAGAGCATGGAGCCAGATTAACATAACCAGCAGATTAAATTACTTTGCTAAAGAATTCTTGCCAGGAATGCTCTTACAGATTCTTTAAGAGGCAGCCCAATTTCTCACCTTTTTCTCCAAGAAGCCTTCTGGGATTTCACACATCTTCCCTGATCTTTCTGAATTCTGCTTGCTCGTGTGTGTGTGTGTGTGTGTGTGTGTGTGTGTGTGTGTGCACGTGCATGTGCACGTGCATGTGCATGCGCACACATGTGTGCCAGTACGGAGGTTTGAATTCAAGGACTGGGCTCTGCCCCTTAGCTTTTTTGTTCAAGGCTGGCAAATAAATGGTAGGCTACTTGAGCCACAGCTCCACTTCTGGCTTTTTGCTAGTCAATTGGAAATGAATTTCCAGGATGTTCTTGCCCAGGCTGGCTTAGAACTGCAATCCTCAGATCACATAAACCTGGCTGTTGGAATTTCTTTCGACTTTGATGCCTCAGTTACTCCTGCAGCCTTGCTCCCAAGCCACACTATTCTGTTGAGAGCCAGAGTCATGCTTTATCCAAGTATGCACTCGTGACAAGTGTAGAGACCCTCTTTTTAGTAAGGCTAAATGAGAAACACTCCCCCCACCCCCCCCACACACCCCAGAGCTGGAGGAGACTCCTGGGCTATCTCACCCAGCAAGTCACTCTCAAGCCTCCAAGAGAGCATAAGTTCCCTTTCTTGTCTTTTTCCTTTTGAGACAACATCTCACTCTCTTGAACTTGAGAAACTCTTGCCTGAGCCTTCCAAGTATCAGAGATTACAGGTGTGCACTAAGTTCCCTCAATAGACTCCAGGACCTCATTGCAACCTTGGTTTTAATCTCAGGAGGTAGGCCTAAAGTTCTTTAAACTGGAAAGTTCCATGAAGCTTTTCCTTTTGGAGTCTTACTAGGGCCACATCACAGTGGATATAAGATTTTCAAGTTTCCATTCTGCTTTAGTGAAGTAGACAAGGAAGCAGCTCTCTGTCCTGGGCCCCTAGGAATGAGGCTGGGAGGAAATGAAGTATTAGAAGTATTATATGCCAAATGTGCTTGGAGACAAATCTTGAAGGGGTCCTTGCATCTCTAAGCCTGCCTGCCTTGGGCAGAAAGGCTGCTCACTTAGAGAGGGGTTTGGTCATTACACACACACACACACACACACACACACACACACACACACATACACACACACTGCCCCATTGCTAGGCTTCAAATTCTGGTCTCTGACCAGAGTAGAGGCTGCCCTCCCACCCAGAAAGTTTATTTTAGCTACAAAGGGAGCCAGATGAATGGAGCTGTAGTTTCTCCAGCAGGCCTTCATCAGAAATGAGTCTCATTACCCAACCCCAATTCAAAGGATAATTAACAGATGGTATAATTTCCGAGCACTCTCTGCACCACATGGCTATTAGGTAAAGAGCAAAATGCCCACGCAGTCCCCAGATCCTCTCAAACCATGGAGTCTAGAGAGACTGGGTCTATAAAGGCCACTGAGCCACTCCTGTACTCTAGAAGTGCCTTTGGCCTTGTCTCGAGGACAAAGGGCAACCACTCCATTGGGCCAGGGGCCCTTCACCTACTCCATCCTTTTCCAGCTCACTCACTCCCCTTTGCTGATCACAATCTAACCCTAATCCTTTTAGCCAGCTCCTTTGTATTCCCAAGGAGTGAAGAGAAAAACTGGTTTCTCATCCTTGGCATATCTGTGTGGTCATGGGAGCTTCTCCTGGGCTTGGACTCCCCACCTTGATCTACTGTGACCAGCTGAAAGGGACAACTTTGTGACCAGAGGAGAACACCTAATCCAGCTCTTTTCAACTGGATCTGTTTGCATCCTCAAGCTCCACACAGAGCAAGCAGCCCACAAACACTTGGTTAGGGCATCAGTCGTGAACCATACCCCACACCCCAATCCCATTTCCCCAACCCCACCCCACAACTCATCCTAGTTTAACTCATCTGAGTTTGTTTGTTTACTTAGTACCAGTACTGGGGCTTGAACTCAGGGCCTGGACACTGTCCCTTAGCTTCTTTGATCAAGGTTGGCACTCAACCATTTGAGCCACAACTTCATTTCTGGCTCTTTGGTTAACTGGAGATAGGCTCTCAAAAGGACTCTCCTGCCTTGGCTACATTCACACTGTGATCCTCAGATCTCAGCTTCCTAAATTGCTAAGGATTACAGGCCTAAGCCACTGGCAGCCAGCAACTCATTTGTTTTATATTCTGGGATTGGGATTTCATTTTGGGTGTGGGGGGGGAAAGCTATCACCAAATTATATTTTTGAAAATGAATTATTTCCGTCAATCCCCTCATTTTACAAAGGGAAAACTGGCATGGTCACACAGCGAAGGGGTGGTGGACAATAAAGCCCGGCGGGCCTCCCTTCCTCTTGGGGAAGGATTGCCTTCATACTTTACTTTCTCAACATTCTCCGCGCTCTGGGACTTCCTGCAAAGCCTGGTGTGGTTCTGCACTATAAGCAGCTGGACCCCAAGAGCATCATGGACACAAATACCACCTCTGGATCCGAGAAAGGCTTTGTCATGTTGGGCCAGGCCCTTTTAGCTCAGTCGGACTGGGACGAGCCCCAACAGCAATCAGGGCTCTGCGGGGTTGTGTGATTGGGGGCATAGCCCGGGAGTCCTTCCGAACCACTGCTGTTATTACCTTTCCCTGGGTGACTTCTGATGGATTCCTCTCTAGGTCGGGGTAGATGCCACACGATCCCAGGGCAAGGATCCGCGGGAAGCCGGGAGCGTCTGGGGCCGAGGAGGGCGCGGGGTGGGGCCCACCTCTTTCCGGGCGGCGGGCGGCGCCGCTTTAAGGCGACGGCGGCGCGAGCAGGTTTATGGTAATGAGCCGCCGCCGCCGCCGCCGCCGCCGCCGCTCTGCAGAGCTCGCTCGCCCGCCCGCCGCGGAGGCGAGGGAACGCGGGGCTGGGCCCGGGGCCGCGGCGACCGGCAGCGGCGAGGACGCCGGGCGCGGGCGGACGGTGCGGGAAGGGGCCCTCGGGAGCGGCCGGGCTGGGCTGGGGGTCGGGGCGCCGCAGGTCCGCGGGCGCAGGTGGGCGATCCCACGCGGGCGGAGGGGCCACGCTGGGGCTCGGGGCCGGGCGAGCGCGGCCGGCAGGCCCGGGAGGGCGCCTCGGGGCCCGCGGGCGCAGGTGGGGAGCGCCGGGGCGAGCAGGTGGAGGTGCGGGCGCGAGCCTGCGAGGGTCGGCCCGGGTGACGTGGGCGCGAGCTGGGCTCCGGGAGCCGTGGGAGCCGGGGACGCGGCGCAGGGCCCCGCCGAGCCGTCTCCAGACGCAGGCCCCGCGCGCGGGGCGCACAGGTGGTCCCCGCGGACCGGCGCCCCGGGGCGGCTGGAGCCGGAGGAGGAGCCGCGGCGGCTGTTGACCCGGGCTGGCCGGGGAGCAGGGAAGAGATGCGGAGCCGGGCCGCCAGCGTCCCCCTCCCCACGCCACTGCCGCCGTCGCCGCTGCCGCCGCCGCTGCTGCTGCTGCTGCTGCTGCTGCTGCCGCTGCCGCCACTACGGGGAGATCAAGTGGGGCCCTGTCGTTCCCTGGGGTCTGGGGGACGCGGCTCCTCGGGGGCCTGTGTCCCCGTGGGCTGGCTCTGCCCAGCCTCGGCCTCGAACCTTTGGCTTTACACGAGCCGCTGCAGGGATGCCGGCACGGAGCTGATTGGCCACCTGGTGCCCCATCACGATGGCCTGAGGGCCTGGTGTCCCGAATCTGGGGCCCACATCCCCCTCCCACCGGCCCCCGAAGGCTGCCCCTGGAGTTGTCGCCTCCTGGGCATCGGAGGCCACCTGTCCCCACAGGGCAAGCTGACCCTGCCCCAAGAGCACCCATGCCTAAAGGCCCCTCGGCTGCGATGCCAGTCTTGCAGGCTGACACAAGCCCCAGGGCTCAGGGCAGGGGAGGAGGAACCGGCAGAAGAGGCCCTGGGGGGGCGCAGGAAAAGGAACGTGAATACAGCCCCTCAGTTCCAGCCTCCCAGCTATCAGGCCACGGTGCCCGAGAACCAGCCAGCGGGCACCTCTGTTGCATCTTTACGGGCCATCGATCCAGATGAGGGCGAGGCGGGCCGGCTTGAGTACACCATGGACGCCCTCTTTGATAGCCGCTCCAACCATTTCTTCTCCTTGGACCCCATCACTGGCGTTGTGACTACAGCCGAGGAGCTGGATCGAGAGACCAAGAGCACCCATGTCTTCAGGGTCACCGCGCAGGATCATGGCATGCCCCGCCGGAGTGCACTGGCCACACTTACCATCTCGGTGACGGATACCAATGACCATGACCCTGTTTTTGAGCAGCAGGAGTACAAAGAGAGCCTCAGGGAGAACCTGGAGGTTGGCTATGAGGTCCTCACAGTCAGGGCCACAGATGGTGATGCCCCTCCCAACGCCAACATCCTGTACCGCCTGCTGGAGGGGTTTGGGGGCAACCCCTCGGAAGTATTTGAGATCGACCCTCGCTCTGGGGTGATCCGAACCCGTGGCCCTGTGGATCGGGAAGAGGTGGAGTCCTACAAGTTGATAGTGGAGGCGAGTGACCAGGGTCGAGATCCGGGTCCAAGAAGCGCCACAGCTGCTGTCTTTCTGTCGGTGGAGGATGACAATGACAATGCCCCCCAGTTTAGTGAGAAGCGTTACGTGGTCCAGGTGCGGGAGGATGTGACCCCAGGAGCCCCGGTACTCAGAGTCACAGCCTCGGATCGAGATAAGGGAAGCAACGCCCTGGTACACTACAGCATCATGAGTGGCAATGCCCGGGGACAGTTTTATCTGGATGCCCAGACTGGGGCTCTGGATGTGGTGAGCCCTCTTGATTATGAGACAACCAAGGAGTATACGCTACGGGTGCGGGCACAGGATGGCGGCCGGCCCCCTCTCTCCAATGTCTCTGGCCTGGTAACTGTGCAAGTCCTGGATATCAATGACAATGCCCCCATCTTTGTCAGCACCCCCTTCCAGGCCACTGTCTTAGAGAGCGTCCCCTTAGGCTACCTGGTCCTCCATGTCCAGGCCATCGATGCCGATGCTGGTGACAATGCCCGCCTGGAATACCGTCTGGCTGGAGTTGGGCATGACTTCCCTTTCACCATCAACAATGGCACAGGCTGGATCTCTGTGGCTGCTGAGCTTGACCGAGAGGAGGTTGATTTCTACAGCTTTGGTGTCGAAGCGCGAGACCATGGTGTTCCAGCCCTCAGCGCCTCAGCCAGCGTCAGTGTGACCATCCTGGATGTCAACGACAACAACCCAACCTTTACCCAACCGGAGTACACAGTGCGGCTCAATGAGGATGCAGCTGTGGGCACCAGTGTGGTGACAGTGTCGGCCGTGGACCGTGATGCCCACAATGTCATCACCTACCAGATCACCAGTGGCAACACCCGCAACCGCTTCTCCATCACCAGCCAGAGTGGTGGTGGCCTGGTGTCCCTCGCCTTGCCGCTGGACTACAAACTTGAGCGGCAGTATGTGCTGGCGGTTACTGCGTCCGATGGCACAAGACAGGACACAGCACAGATCGTGGTGAATGTCACCGATGCCAACACCCACCGTCCCGTCTTTCAGAGCTCCCACTATACGGTGAATGTGAATGAGGACCGGCCAGCGGGCACCACGGTGGTGCTCATCAGTGCGACGGACGAGGACACAGGTGAGAATGCCCGCATCACTTACTTCATGGAGGACAGCATCCCCCAGTTCCGCATCGATGCGGACACAGGGGCCGTCACCACTCAGGCGGAGCTGGACTATGAAGACCAAGTGTCTTACACCCTGGCCATCACTGCTCGGGACAATGGCATCCCCCAGAAGTCTGACACCACCTACTTGGAGATTCTGGTGAATGATGTAAATGACAATGCCCCTCAGTTCCTACGGGATTCCTACCAGGGGAGCATCTATGAAGATGTGCCCCCTTTTACCAGTGTCCTCCAGATCTCCGCCACTGATCGTGACTCTGGTCTCAATGGCCGGATCTTCTACACCTTCCAAGGAGGGGATGATGGAGATGGTGACTTTATTGTGGAGTCCACGTCAGGCATCGTACGAACCCTGAGGAGGCTGGATCGTGAGAACGTGGCCCAGTACGTGTTACGAGCGTATGCAGTGGACAAGGGCATGCCCCCAGCCCGCACACCCATGGAAGTGACAGTCACTGTTTTGGATGTGAATGACAATCCACCTGTCTTTGAGCAGGATGAGTTTGATGTGTTTGTAGAAGAAAACAGCCCTATTGGGTTGGCCGTGGCCCGGGTCACAGCCACCGACCCTGATGAAGGCACCAATGCTCAGATCATGTACCAGATCGTGGAGGGCAACATTCCTGAGGTCTTCCAGCTGGACATCTTCTCTGGGGAGCTCACTGCCCTGGTAGACTTAGACTACGAGGACCGGCCTGAATACGTGCTGGTCATCCAGGCCACATCAGCTCCCCTGGTAAGCAGGGCTACTGTCCATGTCCGGCTGCTGGACCGCAATGACAACCCACCAGTGCTGGGCAACTTTGAGATCCTTTTCAATAACTACGTCACCAACCGCTCGAGCAGCTTTCCCGGGGGCGCCATTGGCCGGGTGCCTGCCCATGACCCTGACATCTCAGACAGCCTGACTTACAGCTTTGAGCGAGGAAATGAACTCAGCCTGGTCCTACTCAATGCCTCCACAGGAGAGCTAAGGTTGAGCCGGGCACTGGATAACAACCGACCACTGGAGGCCATCATGAGTGTGTTGGTGTCAGGTAAGGAGGGGCCCAGGTGAGGCTGGGGTGGGAGTGGTCTTCGGGGAGCCACTGGAGGTAGAAAACTGTCTACGGAGGTACTAAGGGCAGTGGCTGCCCAAAGGGAGTAAACCAGCCTGGGAAGAAGCCCCAGGAATCCTGGCCAGCCTGGTCCAGGCCCCGTCTGCCGCCCCAGGCTGGGCTGGCTGCTTTGGTTGGCTGCCCCCTGCCTACCAGCCTGTGACGTGTTGGGGGAAGTGTTGTGAGGCTGCCCTGGCTATGGCTGCCAAGAATTGTGGGGGAAAAAAAAAGGCGCGTGGAGGCCTGGGAGGCCAGGAGAGCTGGGGGAGGGGCAGAGGGTACCATGGCGGGATAAGGGGAAGCAAGCTGGCCCCTCGCCTCCCTGCCCACCAACAGGACAGTCCTGTGATCTCATCCAGCCTCTGGCAGGGCTGAGGGCTGCAGGGGGCACAGGGTTCAGGGGTCAGGACCCTGCAGTCCTCTTCTGGCCCTTTCTGGCTCCCAGCTGAGCTGCAGAATGGGCCGACATGGACTCTGTCTGGGCATTCTTTTCCCTCCAGGCAGAAAGAGCCGGGCCTGGCTTCCCCTTCAGAGCTCCTGCAGGAAATCAGGCCAGAGCGCATTGTCTCTGTCCAAACAGACCCCACTGTCAAGAGTCCTTAGTTAGTTGGGGGTCTGACTTGGGGGGAAGGGCTGCAGTGAAGTCAGGGCATGCTGGGGTCCTCTGTCCACTCCCCCCCCCCCGCCTAGTTTCTCCATGGGCTCTTTTTAGGTGGCAGGCTGTCCCTGCTGTCTGTGACCATCTCTGGTTCAAGATGGAGCATGGTTACCAACATGAGCCAGGAGACAGCCGAGCTTTCAGTGCAGACCACTTCAAGAACCCTGATCCGGTGGGGGACAGATTTCCAGGGGCGTGGGAGCTTGGCCAGGACTCAGGCTGGGCATTCCTGCTGCTTGGCCATGCGCTCAGCCTGCACACTTCCCAGACACAACTAGGGGAGGAGAGCCAGACCTGCGGGTGACAGTGTTCTATCTTTCCTATCAGTTTTTTTTGGGGGGGTGGGGAGAAGCAAAGAGGGGACCAGACCCAGGTTACTGAGCACCTACCCTGAATCTGGGGATCCTGGGAACCTCTTGGGGGGTTCACTGTTAGCTACTCTCCCCTTCAAATACTCAGCCCCCCCCTGCCCCGCCCCCATGCTTGCTAATAGATGCTTTGCTGGACCAAGCCCCAGGGAGACGCCAAGACCAAGGAGAACAGCCCAGGATGTCTTGGCCTCCTCTCCAGGAGGAGGAGGTTGGGGGGTGCATTCTCATCTGTGCCTGGCCCTAAAGGCAGAGGCCTTTAGGAAGGAAGCCTCTGTCTCCTGCCCTCCATCCCTAGCCTGCTCTAGGTGAACGTGGCTAGACACTGGAGATTCAGGGCACAGAATAGCACCATTCAGCCTTCTGTCCCCCTGCCAGGGCAGAGGCCGGACTGCAATCCCCTAGATTAGAGGGGAAGTCCTGGGTGGCACCCAGGGCAGCTGGGGCTGGCCTTCCAGTCCTAGCTTCCCTCCCCCTCAGCCCTGACCCTCAGAGGCAGTCACCAAGGCAACCCCAAAGTTCAGGAGGCTGGGAACTGACGCCCACCGCCTCTTTGTTTTCCTTCTCAGGCTCTTTGTCTCTTCCTTCTTTCCCACCCTGCCCATGCTGGCCCTTTAGCACTGCCTCTCTCCGCTGCCTTCTCCCGCAGCTCCTGTGAGTCTCTCCTCTCTCACTCTCTCCATTGCGGGCCCTTTCCCTGGGCCTTTGTCTTCCCCTGTTCCATCTTGGTGTTTAGGCCTCAGTGACTCTCTTCTCCCTGGCGGCTGCAGCTGCACCAGCCCAGGTTGGCTGGTTTCTCTGCAGCCCAAACTTTGCCTTTCTGCTCCCTTTCTCTGCCAGGATGGACACCAGTGCCTGCCTATGGCCTGCCTGCTCAGTTTCCCAGACCAGCAGAGCCTGGGGGGAGGGGAGGGGAAAGGTGGCACCACCTCAGTTCCTACCCTGCCTATGAATCTGAGGGGTGACCGAGGTCAAAGCAGGAACGAGGGACTGGAGGAAGGATAGAGCAGTAGGTTGGCTGTTGCGGTGGGGACAATAGCAGAAGGGGCAGGTGGCCGCAGATGGTGGGCCAGATGGGAAGCAACAGAGACACACTGGACGAGGGGCACAGACGGGGCCTGGAATGGTGAGGGGAGACACAAGGAGGAGTTGGTTTTTTTTTTCCCAGGGCTGAGGGGCAGTGAGGCTTTTCTTGCTTATTGCTCTTGACTGCCCCTTCCCTAAGAATTGAGAGCACTGTGTGTGGAGTTTTTGGGTTACTTCTTGCCTAGAAGGAATATCCTGTCCAGAAATCTCTGGGCAGGTGCATCAGAGCCCTGCGCCAGCTGTAGAGCAAGTGAGAGGAGGCAGGAAGATAGTAGATGGACAAGCTTCCTAGTGCAGCAAGCTCAAGAAGGCATGGAGGACTATGGGCTGGTGTCTTGAGAGATCAGATAGGAAGGAGCAGCCTAGGCAGGAGCTTCTAGACCAGAGTGGGAGGAGCAGAAGTGATCAGTGACAGCAGGTTTGCTGGCAAGAGCAGGTGGCTCACAGCTATGAGACTGGAGGACAGATTGCATGGGCTTGGAATATAACTGAGATGAGTGTCTGGCTTCAGCCTGCCCCAGCTTAAGCAAGCTGCCCAGGAAGCTTGACCATCCACCATCCACCTCCAGTAGGTGTGACACTGCCACAGAATCTATTCCCATATTCCTCTCTTGTTTCCACCCCGCCCCAGCAACTGGCCCCTGCCCATTCCTGCTTGGGTGCCATGTGCTCTATCCAACTGGGGCCTCTCCTGCTATGCTTTTAAGTCTACTATACTCTGCATAGATTCTCATTAACTTCTTAGTGTTCACTGCACACCTACTATGTGTAAGGCATAGTCCTAGATAAATATATGATTATCTCCCACAGTCTTCCCAAGCCATTTTCCCTTCCCCTGTGGCCCCAGCTTTCACTTTTGAGGGAAACCAAATCCATTCCCATGTGTAAGCACATTCAGGTGTGCATGGTATTTCTGAGCGTCAGATGTGTGGGCGGCATGAGACATCAGCAAATGCGTTAGTACTTAGTTGTTTATAAGTGAGTGTGTCGCCCGAAGGTATGGCAGGTAGGCACTTGGGTGCAGTGCGGTGAGCCAAGTGGGTGATGAGTACCCAGAGGGTGTAGAGCCAGAGGAGACACCAGCCCAATGGGGTTCTGGGGTCTCCTGGTGGAAGCCGCCCAGACTCTCCCATCTCTTAACTGGATCCACCACCCCCATGTACCTTGACTTTAGTATGGAACAAGTGGGTGGTTCAGGTGGATTTCCTGGGGTGGGGTCCCCACAGCAGCAACCCAGAATTGGGCGGGGAAGAATGCTTTGTGTGGGGTGTTGCCATGGAGATAGCAGGCCTATGCCCAGGCAGTCATGGGTGTGAGTGGGAGGGGCTCCTGATGGCCTGCTGACCCAGCTCACTCCCACTCTGCTGCAGCGAGCTGCACCAGGGTCTGGGTTATGAGAGCACTGCGCTGTAAAGCGCGACAGGACCATGAGGGATTTTTTTGTGGGTCTTTCATAGTGCTCTGGACCTTGGGGAAAAGTAAGCAAATGGAGCTCCTGTTCCAGATTCTGGTATAAGGGGGCAGGACCCATGGCTGGGGCAGGGACCCATCACAGACCCCCCCATGCTTTACAACCGTAATCCTAGCTTCTCAGGAGGCAGTAATCCTAACTACTGAGGATCGCAGTTCAAAGCCAGCCCAAGGCAGGAAAGACTGTGAGTCTCTTATCTCTAATGAAGCATCCAAAAGCCTAAAAGTGGAGCCAGGGCTCAAGTGATAAGGCACTAGCCTTGCGCAAAAGAGCTCGGGGGCAGTGCCCAGGCACTGAGTTTGAGCCCCTGTGTGTCACGCCTCAGAACGGGGAAACTGGGGGGGGGGGAAGGTATGCAGAAACACGGTCCAACAGGACTGCCCCTGCAAGGGGTGCTGCCCTCCAGTGACCTGAGTCACTGGGCCTCCTTTTATGCCAGGCTTTTCGTGGGCGCCACGCAGGTGCAGGGGGAGGGGGCGAGGGAGAGACAGCATTTGCGACCCACTGGCTCCTGCTCCGGAGTCCCCGCCCAGGGCCCCCGCCTGCCCAGGCCGGGCGCTCACGCGCATCCCCTCGCATCCCTTCTCCGCAGATGGCGTGCACAGCGTGACGGCGCAGTGCGCGCTGCGCGTCACCATCATCACGGACGAGATGCTCACGCACAGCATCACGCTGCGCCTGGAGGACATGTCACCCGAGCGCTTCCTGTCCCCGCTGCTGGGGCTCTTCATCCAGGCCGTGGCGGCCACGCTGGCCACGCCCCCGGACCACGTGGTGGTCTTCAACGTGCAGCGGGACACGGACGCGCCCGGGGGCCACATCCTCAACGTGAGCCTGTCGGTGGGCCAGCCCCCGGGGCCCGGCGGCGGGCCGCCCTTCCTGCCGTCCGAGGACCTGCAGGAGCGCCTGTACCTCAACCGCAGCCTGCTCACTGCCATCTCGGCGCAGCGCGTGCTGCCCTTCGACGACAACATCTGCCTGCGCGAGCCGTGCGAGAACTACATGCGCTGCGTGTCGGTGCTGCGCTTCGACTCCTCGGCGCCCTTCATCGCCTCCTCCTCCGTGCTCTTCCGGCCCATCCACCCCGTCGGCGGGCTGCGCTGCCGCTGCCCGCCCGGCTTCACGGGCGACTACTGCGAGACCGAGGTGGACCTGTGCTACTCGCGGCCCTGCGGGCCCCACGGGCGCTGCCGCAGCCGCGAGGGCGGCTACACCTGCCTCTGCCGCGACGGCTACACGGGTGAGCGCGGGCGCGGGGGACCCGGGACCTGCGGCCGCGGGGAGGGTGCAGGGGGGCGGAGGAGGGGGGCAAATGGTGATGGCCGCCTCACTCCTTCCTAGAGCATAGATAGACTTCCGCTCCCCAGCGAGCATTCATACATTCTCCCTGCACTTCGATGCCTGCCTACCAAGGAAGGAGTGGGGGTGTGAGGGGCCTTCCCCTCACGGTGTGCATGCACCCCTACCCACCCACATGCACACACACATGCGCGCGCGCACACACACACACACACACACACACACACAGAGGCATCCCAATAGTCAGCCCTGCTCCTGATTTGTATTTCATTTTTGCCAATAGTAGCTGTGTTCACACATGGACAAAACTGCTTAACCTCTCTGGGCCTCCATAACTTTCACACAGAAATAATGAATCTACTTAGATCAAACGTTGGTGGTCGCCTGGTGCCCATAGGTTCACGCCTGTAATCCTAGCTACTCAAGAGGTTGAGATCTGAGGATCATGGTTCAAAAATCAGCCTGGAAAATTCAAGACTCTTCTCTCCAACTAACCAGCACATTGCCAGAAGTAGAGGTGTGGCTCAAGTGATAGAGTGTCTATCTTGAGGGAAAAAGCCAAGCAAGCCCGCAAAGCTCTGAGTTCAAGCCCCAGTACCAGCTTTAAAAAAAAATAAGTTCGTTGTAGGGATTCTTTTAATTAAGTTGACCTATGGAAAAAGCTGGGTCTTGAGGATATACTTTTTTTTTTTTGTCGGTCGTGGGGCTTGAACTCTGGGCCTGGGTGCTGTCCCTCAGCTCTTCAGCTCAAGGCGAGCACTCTGCCACTTGAGCTACAGCGCCACTTTCGGTTTTCTGGTTGTTTATTGGAGATAAGAGTCTCACGGTCTCTCCTGCCCTGGCTGGCTTTGAACAGCGATCCTCAGATCTCAGCCTCCTGAGTAGCTAGGATTACAGTCGTGAGCCATCAGCACCCGGCTTTGAGGATATACTTTTTATCCTGAGGATATACTTTTATTTGAGGAGGTGACTGAGGTTACGTCTAGATCTGGTCTCCCCCACAGCCAAGTGAGCTACCTTCCCAGGACTCCACACATTTTCCCCTCAAGCATGGAGGAGCTGGGGGCAACCGCAGGGTATGGAGATGGTGGTGTTCCAGAAGGACACTGCACCCTAGGCAGAGTGGTTCTATTTCTACCTCCCTCCTACACGTCCCACCCCTGGCTCTCCCAAAGATGCTTACTGCCTCCACTCTGCACTCTGACCCTCCCCGCAGGCTCTCGCTGCTCCTTGGGCCACACCCTGCTCTCCTTCCTTGCCAGGCTTCCTCCTGTCCTCCAAGCCCACTGGCTCTGCCAGCAGCGTGGGCAGCCCCACCACCTTCCCTGCCGCATCTTCTTGCCCAGAACTTGCTAGACTGACTTCCCTGCTACTGCTGGGGGAGGGGGAAGGGAAAATGCTTGGGGGAGGGGAGGGGAGTCTTTGTCCAGGAGGATGGGGAGAGGGGGTTTAAAGAGTAGGCGAACAACAGTTTCCATGGAAACAAGAGCCAGTCACTAGGCACAAGAGCTGAGAGCCTATCTCTAGAATCTGGGAATGAGGAGGGAAAGGGGTGGATTTTCTCATCTGATGCTGCTGGAATTTTTAGCTCCCTTGAGTCCTGATCTGTCCCATGTTCAGATTCCTATTCTCTCAGCATTGCCCAGGGGCACAGGAGTCTTCAGTCTGGACCTAAGGGTTCTGGATAGAAGTTCCTTGTTTTATTATTGGAGAAGTCCTGGCTTTCCTCCTCACTGACCCCATCCCATAACTCAGACAAATCCAAATGGATCTGAGGTACCATCCCCAGGGAAGGAAAATGATCTTGGTGCCTGACAAAAAGTAGCAGAAGCTGCAGAGAGGGAGGATCAGGGGCTGGTACAGTCCTCATAACACTCTTTCCATTTATTCCTGGCAGGGTTTGGGGCCTTGGGACCAGCCAGGCCTGTATCCACATAGCACCCCCTTGGGGGGGGAGGGCTGGGAAGGAGAGAGGCCTGGGAGCTTTGAGGGACTTGTGGGGGGCTGGCTGCAGTGAGAATGGCCTGGCAGGCCAACCAGAGTACCCTGGAAGGGTTGGCGTGTTCCAGGTTTTGCCAGGAAGTGGAGATGCCTGAGAGAGTCGGGGAGTATTTCACAAGAAGCCATGGGAGATGTTACTGGGGGTTCATTGGTCAGATTTTCATCACTGTGAAATATATCTAAGAAACAATTTGCAGGAGCCATTAATTTTGGCTCAAGGTTTCAGAGGTTTCAGTCCATGGTCAGCCCCATAGGTGTGGGCCTGCAGCGATGGGAGTTGTAGAGCAAAGCTGCTTACTTCTTAGTGGCCAGGAAGCAGAGAGACAGGAAGGGGACATAAGAAAGCCTTCAAAGACACACCCCTGTTGTCCTACTTCCTCCCAATAGGCACTGCCTCCTAAGGTTTCCAGCATCTCCCCAAATAGCATCACCAACTAAAGACCAAGTATTCAGTAGATGGGATGGTGGGGGGGCTTGGTACTCACCTTGCCTTTCCTCTTACCCAGGTGAGCACTGCGAGGTGAGTGCCCGCTCAGGCCGTTGCAGTCCTGGTGTTTGCAAGAACGGGGGCACCTGTGTCAACCTGCTGGTGGGTGGCTTCAAGTGCGACTGTCCCTCTGGGGACTTCGAGAAGCCCTACTGCCAGGTGACCACACGCAGCTTCCCCGCCCGCTCCTTCATCACCTTCCGCGGCCTGCGCCAGCGCTTCCACTTCACACTGGCCCTCTCGTGAGTGTCTGGCCACCGGGATGTGGGGCATGATGGAATCTGGGATGCCTCCTGTTTTGGGCTTAGGCAGCAGCAGTGCCAGACAGGTTATTGGCAGAAGTGGGCTCGTGTTGCCTGTGTACTGCTAGTAGACCATCTTCTTCTCCAGGGTCTGCCTGTCCCCCCTCCCACCGCCATCATCTTGGATAGGGAGCCAGGGTGTGAGGCTTCTAGTTTGATCCCATCTTCCATGTTCTAGCCCCATGAATTGAAGTCTTGACCGAGGTGTCTGCTCCTGGGGAGGGGGTGGGAGCCTGGGTAGGACTGAGTGTTGGTTAAGTGAATGGGCTGCTGGCATCCATGGGGTAACCACATCGCCTGCCCCCACTCCTGCCCAGGTTTGCCACAAAGGAGCGCAATGGGCTGCTGTTATATAATGGGCGTTTCAATGAGAAGCATGACTTTGTGGCCCTCGAGGTGATCCAGGAGCAGGTCCAGCTCACCTTCTCTGCAGGTGACACCCATTGCCTCATATCCTCGCCTATCTCCCAATTCCCATGTCTCCCAGACCCTCATCCGCATGCTCTCCTGGCCAAATACGGGCCTAGCTCTAGCCATAGCCCTGGACACTGCCCAGCCCTCTTCCTGTGTCCCAGCTCACCTTGTTCTTTGCAGGGGAATCAACCACCACTGTGTCCCCATTCGTTCCTGGAGGGGTCAGTGATGGCCAGTGGCACACGGTGCAGCTGAAATACTATAACAAGGTGGGTGTGTGTGGGGGGGCTTGGCTCACATGCTTGCTTCAACCTGAGCGCCATTGAGCACGTTAAGGAGGTCTCATCAGGGCACCTTGGCTGGGAGGGTCTGGGAGGGCAGGGCACCACTTTGCTGGGGCATTCCCATCCCACCAGGTGGTGCTCATGTGATGTGAGCGTACACAGAGGTGCCATAGAGCTCCATGTGTCTGCCATGTGTGTGAACTGACTGGGACCCTTGCCTACCACTTCTCTTTGCCCCTCTCTGTTCACAGCCGCTACTAGGCCAGACAGGGCTCCCGCAGGGCCCCTCTGAGCAGAAGGTGGCCGTGGTGACTGTGGATGGCTGTGACACAGGAGTAGCTCTGCGTTTTGGAGCTGCGCTTGGCAACTACTCCTGTGCTGCCCAGGGCACCCAGGGCGGCAGCAAGAAGTGAGCAGGGGAGAGGTCTGGGGGGGGGGGGAGTCAGGGGAGGCAAGTTGAAGAGATGAGGATTTAGAGAGTTCCAAAGTGGAAACCAAGCTGGATGGGGGCTCCCCTTGCTCCTGCTCAATCCTGCTGCGCCCCTCAAGGCAGTGGTCGGCATCCGGGAATGATAGCAGGGGACTGTGGGCTGTGTGGTGGGGTGGGGAGTGTTGAGAACTCCTTCCTTCCCCTGGTGCTGCTCTGCCAGGCCTCTTGCCCCCCTGCCAGGCCCTTCCTTCCCCAGGCCTGGTGGCAGGACATGGGCAGAGAGGACTCAGAGGCCCGAGCCCACCCTCATTTCACCACCTGTGCTTTCCTAGGTCTCTGGATCTCACTGGGCCCCTGCTACTGGGTGGGGTACCTGACCTGCCCGAGAGCTTTCCTGTCCGAATGAGGCACTTTGTGGGCTGCATGAGGAACTTACAGGTGGACAGCCGGCACGTAGACATGGCCGACTTCATTGCCAACAATGGCACCATCCCTGGTATGGGGGGGCTGAAGGAAGGGGTAGGCTGGGAGCCAGGGTGGAGGAGGGGCTACACCTGGAGTGGGGATCGTAGCCTATGTGGGTCTTCTCAAGGGCTTTGCCGGCTGTCGCCATAGATTTTCTCAATGGAGCCCTAGCCTGGGGCCATCCCCCTTCTCTCTCCATTTCAGGTTGTCCCACCAAGAAGAACGTATGTGACAGCAACACTTGCCACAACGGGGGTACCTGCGTGAACCAGTGGGACACGTTCAGCTGCGAGTGCCCACTGGGCTTTGGGGGCAAGAGCTGTGCCCAGGGTAGGAGGGGGGACCGTCAGAGGCCAGGGCCTGGGTGCTGTCAGAAGTCTGGGAACACTGGCAGGGTCGGGGCAGGCACCGGGCAGGGCTCCACGAGCACGGCTGTGGGTGGAAAAGCGTGTTTGGGCAGGGCCTGAGCGGGTAGGAGGGAGACAAAGGGCTCAGTGAGAGGCAGGCCTGGGCACAACGCGGGCGGGACCCAGGCAGGTAAATGCTCTGGAGGGCGGGGGTGGTGAGGGATGTGGGTCTGCCTCTCGTGGAGCCACCCCAGAGCGTCATACCCCACCCCTGCACCCCACTGCTCCACCCTTCAGACTGTCCCTCCATCTGCCTCCCCAGAAATGGCCAATCCCCAGCGCTTCCTGGGCAGCAGCCTGGTGGCCTGGCATGGCCTCTCACTGCCAATCTCTCAGCCCTGGCACCTCAGCCTCATGTTCCGCACACGCCAGGCAGACGGCGTCCTGCTGCAAGCTGTCACCAGGGGGCGCAGCACCATCACCCTACAGGTGATATGCAGGGTGTGGCGGGGCATTGCCCTTGCCTGGCTAGGGCTGCAGTGGCCTCGAGGGGACTGGACAGAGCTACCGGGCAGGATCTTTTCTTGGGGAGCGGAAGTTGGCTGGAGCAGTTTAGTGGGTCAATGTTGCCATCTATTGGGCCTGCAGGGTACAGGCCCAGTGTTGCTCTAGTCTCATCTAGAGGCCAGGTGGGCTTGGTGGTCCAGAAAAAAGGGCTAGGAGAGAGGTTAATCAAGGCTGTCTGCTGACTTGGCTTTCTTTCCTCCTGTGCCAGCTCCGGGAGGGCCACGTGGTGCTGAGTGTGGAGGGCACAGGGCTCCAGGCCTCCTCTCTGCGTCTGGAGCCAGGCCGAGCCAACGATGGTGACTGGCATCATGCGCAGCTGGCCTTAGGAGCCAGTGGGGGCCCTGGCCATGCCATCCTATCCTTTGACTATGGGCAACAGAAGGCAGAGGGTAACCTGGGCCCCAGGCTGCATGGGCTGCACCTGAGCAACATTACTGTGGGGGGAGTGCCAGGGCCAGCCAGCGGTGTGGCCCGTGGCTTCCGGGGCTGTTTGCAGGTGAGCTTTCCCTTCTATACTCCCACTCCCTATCCCTCTCCCCCCCACACCCCACTACCCAGAGCCCTGCTCCACCAAGGGCCAACACTGCCCCTGTCCCCCCCAGGGTGTACATATAAGTGAGGCACCTGAGGGTGTTAGCAGTCTGGACTCAAGCCGTGGGGAGAGCATCAATGTGGAGCCAGGATGTAGCTTGCCAGATCCCTGTGATTCAAACCCGTGTCCTGCTAACAGCTACTGCAGCAATGACTGGGACAGCTATTCCTGCAGCTGTGACCCAGGTATGCTAGGGAACCCTGAAAATGGGCAGGTGTCAAGGTTCCAAGGGTCTCACTCTGACTCTTGTGCACCTGGGGTCCAGTCCCCTCACCCCTCTGAGCCCTCATCTCATACTCTGAAAAGCCAACACTACCTGGCTGAGTGAGAGGAAGCGGTCGAGGGTAGTTGGATGGAAGACATTGCTGGAGAAGTGGGGAGTGAGCCTCTCTGGTCCTTCTTTCCCAGGTTACTATGGTGACAACTGCACTAATGTATGTGACCTGAATCCATGTGAACACCAGTCCGTGTGTACCCGCAAGCCCAGCGCTCCCCATGGCTACACCTGCGAGTGTCCCCCAAATTACCTCGGACCATACTGCGAGACCAGGTACGTGGGCCAGGGGCTTGTGGTGGCAGGCAGCAGCCACTGCCTATTCCTTCTGGGTCAGAGGGCCTGGCTGAGCTGCAGCTGGGGTCAGAAAGGCCACATCTGGCTGCACCAGGTGAGAGCAGCAGAGGGAGTTCACCGCTGCCCGGGCCTCTTTGCAGGATTGACCAGCCCTGCCCCCGCGGCTGGTGGGGGCACCCCACGTGTGGCCCATGCAACTGTGATGTTAGCAAAGGCTTTGACCCAGACTGCAACAAGACAAGCGGCGAGTGCCACTGCAAGGTGACGGCCCCCACAAAGTCCCACAGTGGCCACCTGGGTCTCTTCTCTATGCTCCTGGACCCTGGAGGGAGGGCGATGGAGATGGGGATTCCCGCAGAGACCCTGAGACCTGTTGCCTGTGTGCTGGTGGGCAGGGAAATTGGCTCTTCGTCCTTGTGTTGGGTGCAGTGGAGCCCAGGACAGGACTAGTATTTACCCAGTGAGCCCTGGGCTGGCTCTACAGGAACTTTGCAGCCTGTTCTGGTTGCTTGGCATCTCACCAATGGCTTCCACTGGAAATCATTGCCAGTTGTTAACTTTTGTGAGCATCCATGCCAAGGGGACCTGAGCTCAGGCAGCCTCTCTCCAGACAGCCTGTAGCTGACAGGATCTAGGAGTATCCAGGAAAGATGCCTGAGCCAATGACTCCCTTCCTTCTCCCTGCTCCTAGGAGAACCACTATCGGCCCCCTGGAAGTCCCACCTGCCTCCTGTGTGACTGCTACCCCACAGGCTCTTTGTCCCGAGTCTGTGACTCTGAGGACGGCCAGTGTCCATGCAAGCCTGGTGTCATCGGGCGCCAGTGTGATCGCTGTGACAACCCTTTTGCTGAGGTCACCACCAATGGATGTGAAGGTGAGGCTCTTGGAGTGGGCACTCCAAGCTCCAGGGAGCTCTGGAGCCAGGCTAGCAACAAGTGTGGGGAGGCTGAGGGAAGGTTGGGGCACCCATACAGAGCTGTTCCTTGGTGAGCTCGTGTTCTTTTTTTTTTTTTTTTTGGGTCGGTCGTAGGGCTTAAACTCCGGGCCTGAACGCTGCCCCTGAGCTTTTCAGCTCAAGGCTAGTGCTCTACCACTTGAGCCACAGCACCACTTCTGGTTTCCTGGTGGTTTACTGGCGATAAGAGTCTCACAGACTTTCCTGCCCGGGGTTGGCTTTGAACCGCGATCCTCAGATCTCAGCCTCCTAAGTAGCTAGGATGACAGGCATGGGCCACTGGCGCCCGGCAATCCCATGTTCTTTCTTCCCTACAGTGAATTATGACAGCTGCCCACGGGCCATTGAGGCTGGGATCTGGTGGCCTCGCACACGCTTTGGGCTTCCTGCTGCTGCCCCTTGCCCCAAAGGCTCATTTGGTAGGTATAAGAGGCCCAGGAGGTGCTATTGAGAACTTGGCCTCTACCCACTCATTGGAATGGGGTCAGGAGATCCTCAGCTGCAGATCCCAGGACCCTGCCCTCCAGGTCCTATCTCCCAAGATAGCCAGAGTCCTCACAACTTAAGACTATTTTTAAATTTAATTTAATTGTGTGTGTGTGTGTGTGCATGACAATACTGGGGTATTCTTACTTAGTTCTTTTGCTCAAGGCTAGTTAATGCTCTACCACTGTAGCCACATCCCCATTTCCAGCTTTTTGCTGGCTAATTAGATATAAGAGTCTCTCAGATTTATCTGCTTGGGCTGGCTTTGAACCTTGATCCTCAGATCTCCCCCTCCTGAGTATCTAGGATTACAAGCATGAGCCACTAGTGCCTGTGCCATCCAAACTCTGGACAGAAATGCTGACATGCCTGTATTGTGCTGGGAGCAGGCTGGGTGATAGAGATTCAAAGTTGAATCACACAGAGTTCCTAACACTGGAATTATGCCAACATGAAAGGCAGGCAGTCTTGGGGAGCAGAAGATGGAACTGGTAGAGAGTGACAGAGAACATGAGGTGTTTGCTGGGGAGGGACAGGGACGTCTGGGCACTCTAAGAAGGTCTCTACCCTCCTGCCCCCAAAGTCTTTGCCAGGACTGATTGGTGGAGATTTCTGGCTCTAGAGTCCTCTATGACTCTATAGACTTCTACATTTTTGACCCTAGAGTTCTCTCTTAGCACCCAACAGAACTTCCCAACCAGGTCTCCAGGGCTTCCTGTGTCTCTGAGGCCAGCCCTCTTGGCTTCTTCCCCCCAGGGACTGCTGTGCGGCACTGTGATGAGCACAGGGGGTGGCTCCCCCCAAACCTCTTCAATTGCACATCGGTTACCTTCTCAGAGCTGAAGGGCTTCGTAAGTCCACTTACTTCTTCATCTCCATCTCCTTCCTCTCCTTTTCCTCATGCTTCCAGCTTTTCTTTTGGCAGGGGGATGGGGTGGGGTTGGGGGGAGGGGGAGAGCTGGTACTGGGGCTTGAACATGGGCCTGGGCTCTGTCTGTTGGCTTTTTTTGCTCTAGACTGATGCTCTACCACTAGAACAACAGTTCCACTTTTGGCTTTTTGGTGGTTAAATGGAGCTAAGAATCTTAGAAGCTGGGCACTGGTGGCTCACACCTGTAATCCTAGCTACTCAGGAGGCTGAGAGCTGAGGATCGCCATTCAAAGCCAGCTGGAGCAGCAAAGTCAGTGAGACTCTTATCTCCAATAAACCACCAGAAAACCAGAAGTGGTGCTGTGGCTCAAGTGATAGAGCACTAGCCGTGAGCTGAAGAGCTCAGGGACAGCTCCCCAGCCTAGAGTTCAAGCCCCATGATCGACACAATAAATAAATAAAGCAAGCAATCAAGCCAGAAGTGGTGCTGTGGCTCAAGTGGTAGAACGCTAGCCTTGAGCACAAAGAGGCTGAAGGACAGCACCTAAGCCCGGAGTTCAAGCCCCAGGACTGACAAAACAAAACAAAACAAAAACCTTATAGCCTCTCAGCTCCCAGCCTCTTGAGTAGCTAGGATTACAGGAGTGAGCCACTGGTGCCCAGCTTCATACCCCCATCTTTGAGAAAGGGGATTCTGGAATCCCAGTCCCTGTTTCTTTTGGGGGGAGGCAGCCCTTTTCTCTTCCCTTCCTGAGGCATTCCAGAATTCCAGTTCTCACCCTCCGTCACTGCCCCCTGGCCTTCTGTCCCTCCCGTGCAGGCCGAGCGGCTGCAGCGCAATGAGTCTGGCCTAGATTCAGGACGCTCCCAGAGGCTGGCCCTGCTCCTGCGCAACGCCACCCAGCACACGGCTGGCTACTTCGGCAGCGACGTGAAGGTGGCCTACCAGCTGGCCACACGGCTGCTGGCTCACGAGAGCGCCCAGCGGGGCTTCGGGCTGTCTGCCACGCAGGATGTCCACTTCACTGAGGTGGGACTTGCAGTGGGCCAGGATGGCTGGTTGGGTGGGGGTGATGGTGAGTGTGACTGCTCTTGGCAGTCTTTGGGAAAGAGGAGGGACACTCCCCAGGCACAAGGCTCCCATGAGGCCCTGTCTAGTGGTAATTCAGCACACGGGGGTCTCAGAACCTCTTCAAGCCCGCATCATATCTAAGTGGTATAGAAAGGACTGTTTGTCCTGAGGTGCAGGCTGGCCCGGGGACTTGGCTGCTGTATCAGGGCTGATTCCTCTGGGAATCAACAGGGCACACAGAGGGTGGGGCATGGGAAACACAGCTTGGAGCTCTTATTTAGATCAAGAGGAGGAAGGATTAGGAGTAGAGCATCCTTGATGGGTAGGCAGGGGGGGTGGTGTGGGGGGCTTCCCAGGGGGAGGGGCTGAGAGTCAGGGCTGGTGGGGAGCAAGGCTGAGCCCAGCACAGGCTGGGGACTCGGTGTAGGCTATGAATGGCGAGTGTGGGCTGTGAGCACATGCCACTTGTGACCATGCCCACCCCCCAGAATCTGCTGCGGGTGGGCAGTGCCCTCCTGGACGCAGCCAACAGACGGCACTGGGAGCTGATCCAGCAGACGGAGGGCGGCACGGCCTGGCTGCTCCAGCACTACGAGGCCTACGCCAGCGCCCTGGCCCAGAATATGCGCTACACCTACCTCAGCCCTTTCACCATCGTCACGCCCAACATTGGTGAGGCTGCTGCCTGGGCCGGGAAGGGCGAGTGGTGGGAGCTACTCTAGGGGTGGCCTCCCTTGGGGGCTGACCTGGGGCCACGCCGGGTCCTAGTCATCTCTGTAGTGCGTCTGGACAAGGGGAACTTCGCCGGGGCCAAGTTGCCACGTTACGAGGCGTTGCGTGGGGAGCGGCCGCCGGACCTCGAAACAACAGTCATTCTGCCCGAGTCTGTCTTCAGAGGTCAGTGGGGGCATGGGCTGGTCAAGGGCTGGCCCTGGGGGGCATCCATGCAGGCCTACAAGGGACAGGGCCCGGCTGAGTGTGGCAATGTCCCTCTTCCAGAGATCCCCCCCGTGCTCAGGCCTGCTGGTGCTGGGGAGGCCCAGGAGCAGGAGGAGCTGGCGCGGAGGCAGCGGCGGCACCCAGAGCTGAGCCATGGGGAGGCTGTGGCCAGCGTCATCATCTACCGCACCCTGGCTGGGCTGCTGCCCCACAACTATGACCCAGACAAGCGCAGCCTCAGGTGAGCAGCTGGGGACAGGGCAGGTGGAGATTGAGGTCAGGCAGGTGAACGCTAGGTATGGAGGGACCAGGAGTAGGGCATTTCCCAGTGATGAGGGTGTCTCCTGGTTACCTGGTTGTCATGGCGACTATGCCCCTACCTGCCTCCCATCAGAGTCCCTAAGCGCCCGGTCATCAACACACCTGTGGTGAGCATCAGCGTTCACGATGACGAGGAGCTACTGCCACGCGCCCTGGACAAGCCAGTCACTGTGCAGTTCCGGCTGCTCGAGACAGAGGAGCGAACCAAGCCCATCTGTGTTTTCTGGAACCATTCGATCCTGTGAGAGCCTGTGCTGCCCACCCCCAGCCTCTGCCCCCACCACTCCCCCCCACACCCCAGCAGCCCATCCTCCTGCCCTCCCTCCCGTCCTTCCGCAGGGTCAGCGGCACAGGTGGCTGGTCAGCCCGAGGCTGCGAAGTAGTCTTTCGAAATGAGAGCCACGTCAGCTGCCAGTGTAACCACATGACAAGTTTTGCCGTGCTCATGGATGTGTCCCGTCGGGAGGTGGGGCCCGTGGAGGGGCGGCAGGGGCGGCTGGGAGCTGTGGGCGGGTGTCTAGACACTAGGCTGGCTCTTTAGACACTGCCCTTCCTCATCCTCCTGACGCCCACTCTGCAGAATGGGGAGATCTTGCCACTGAAGACATTGACATACGTAGCCCTTGGGGTCACCTTGGCCGCCCTGCTGCTCACCTTCCTCTTCCTCACGCTCCTTCGTGCCCTGCGCTCCAACCAACATGGCATCCGCCGCAACCTCACAGCTGCCCTGGGTCTAGCCCAGCTGGTCTTCCTCCTGGGGATCAACCAGGCTGACCTCCCTGTAAGATGCCCTCCTCTCCTACAGATTTGCTCAACTTGCTGCCCCTACTCCTTGATAACCCCCACTCCCCCCTACTCCAACCCAGGCCCCATCCCTGCCCTGACAGTAGCGAATCTGATCAAGAGCCCAGGCTAGTGCGTGGGCCACAATGCCCTCTTCTCCAGCACCCCACTGAGTGTCTAGCGCTCCTTCTGACCCAGGCTTCTGAAACTTGCCCCTGCCTGACCTGAGCTGAGCCCCTGCATTGGCTGTGTCCTGGTCACTGATGAGTGGCCTTGCCCTCAGTTTGCCTGCACAGTCATTGCTATCCTGCTGCACTTCCTGTACCTCTGCACCTTCTCCTGGGCTCTTCTGGAAGCCTTGCATCTGTACCGGGCGCTCACAGAGGTGCGAGATGTCAACGCCGGTCCCATGCGCTTCTACTACATGCTGGGCTGGGGTGTGCCGGCCTTCATCACAGGTACTTCACCACTTTCCTGGCCCAGAGGTTTTACATCCGGGGGCCTACATCTTCCACCATGCTACTCATGGCCCACAGGCTGAGACTAACATCCTTCTGTACCAGGACAAGTTATTCACAGGTGTCCTGATTTAACCCAGGCCCCGATCCCCCGTGTAGGAGTTGGGTCCTCTTCTGGGAGAAGGGAATGGGTAGATGGACATCAGATCCTTCCACATGCTCCAGGTCTGTCCTGTGAGTCCAGGGTTCTGCATTCTGTGCTCTGAGCACCCTCCTCTGCTGCTGTCTGCACACTCCAGGTCTGGCTGTGGGCTTAGATCCTGAAGGCTATGGGAATCCTGACTTCTGCTGGCTTTCAATCTATGATACGCTTATTTGGAGTTTTGCTGGCCCAGTGGCCTTCGCTGTTTCGGTAAGTACTGAGAGTGAGCCAAGGTGAGTTGGTTGAGTCTCTCTCTGGATCCCCTTTAGAGGTGTGTGTGTGTGTGTGTGTGTGTGTGTGTGTGTGTGGCTTGAACTCAGGGCCTGGAATTCATCCCTGAGCTTTTTTGCTCAAGGCTTGCACTCTACCACTTGAGCCACAGCTCCACTTCCAGCTTAATTGGTGCTTAATTGGAGATAAGAGTCTCACAGACTTTCCTGCCCAGGCTGGCTTCGAATCATGATCCTCAGACCTCAGCCTCCTGAGTCGCTGGGATTACAGGTCTGAGGCACTGGCAACCGGCTGGATCTGCTTTAGGAAGCGTGGAAGCTGCTGGGCCCCAGAGGGAAGGACTGGAGCTGTCAGTCCCCGCTGGTCCTCTCATGCTTCTCTCCACTGCCCAGATGAGTGTCTTCCTGTACATCCTGGCGGCCCGGGCCTCCTGTGCTGCTCAGCGGCAGGGCTTCGAGAAGAAAGGCCCTGTGTGAGTATGGGGGTGCCTGGGGCACAGGGAAGGCATCTGTGTATTGTGTTGGGGGGGGCTCATGGTGGTCTCACACACTGCCCTGCCCCCCCACCCCACCCCCAGCTCGGGCCTGCGTCCCTCCTTTGCTGTTCTTCTGCTGCTGAGTGCTGCATGGCTGCTGGCACTGCTGTCTGTCAACAGTGACACCCTCCTCTTCCACTACCTCTTTGCTGCCTGCAATTGTGTCCAGGTACCTGGCCTGGCCTTCCTGAGGGAGGGGAGCTTGGCTGAGGAGTGACTGAATATGCCCAGACTCTTGCTGCCTCTCCTGCCAGGGCCCATTCATCTTCCTCTCCTACGTGGTGCTTAGCAAGGAGGTCCGGAAAGCACTCAAGTTTGCCTGTAGCCGCAAGCCCAGCCCTGACCCAGCTCTCACCACCAAGTCCACCCTGACCTCGGTGAGGACACCCTGGGCCGAGCCTCTTTATTCTCTATACTTGTCGGCTTCCTTTCTTTCCCCTATCCAATTCCTGGAAGGAGGAGGAGGGGTGAGATGTTAGGTGTGGTCGTGGGAGGAGATACTGTGATAGCGAGGTAGGATTCTGCTTGGGGGAAAATGGGGTCATGGACAAAGGCAAGTAACAAATGTCCTGTGCCTGAGAATCATTCATGAAGTTTCCACATTTCCTGCCTCCCAGAATACTTTCAGGAGACAATTCCTGGTGCCAGCATTAAAACAAAAACAAAAACACAAAAAACAAAAGCCCTCTTCCTCGGCAAATCCAGGGTACTTGGGAGGTGCAGAGGTGAACAGCTCCTGCAGAGCTGGAGCCAATACCAGGCCCAAAGATGTGGGGCCTGTCCCTTTAAGACATGGGCATACAGCGGGTAGGACTTAGAGCAAGCTCCCTGTGCCTTTCCACTTCCTAGCCTGGGCCCACCTTTCTCTCCCTTATTTGTCAACCTGTCTGTCCTCTGCCTAGTCCTATAACTGCCCCAGCCCTTATGCAGACGGGCGGCTGTACCAGCCCTATGGAGACTCAGCTGGCTCACTGCACAGTGCCAGCCGCTCATGCAAGAGCCAGCCCAGCTACATCCCCTTCCTGCTGAGGTGAGCCCTGGAGACGGGAGGGAAGGGAGGACCAGGCATGCTGGACCTGGGCCAGCCAGATGCTAGGACATAATGTGGCCAAGACAGGTAGCAGCTTGAGGTAGAAGCTGTAAAAGACACAAAGCAGCCAGGCGCTGATGGCTTACATCTGTAATCCTAGCTACTCAGGAGGCTGAGATCTGAGAATCACAGTTCGAAGCCAGCCTGGGGAGGAAAGTTCCTGAGACTCTTCTCTCCAGTTAACCACCAAAACACCAGAAGTGGAACTGTGGTAGAGTGCTAGCCTTGAGCACAAAAGCTCAGGGACAGTACCCAAGCCCTGAGTTCAAGTCCTTATATTGGCACGCGCGCGTGAGCGCACATACACACACACACACACACACACACACACACGACAGAAAGCGGGAACTAGAATCCAAGGGGAGAGAAAAATAAGGGGATAGAAGGTAAGAGGCCACACTGACCCCTCTAGCACAATCTTACTCTCTTAGGGAGGAGTCTACACTGAACCCTGGCCAAGGGCCCCCTGGCCTGGGAGACCCAGGTGGCCTGTTCCTGGAAGGTCAAGACCAACAGCATGGTGAGGATGGAAGGCCCTGGCCATCTAGCTGGGCAGGGGCCTGGCTTTTGCTGTGGGTGTGCCGAGGTAGGTGGGCCAACTATGATCCTCCCCTGACCTCCCAGATCCCGACACGGATTCTGACAGTGACCTGTCCCTGGAAGATGACCAGAGTGGCTCCTATGCCTCTACCCACTCATCAGACAGTGAGGAGGAGGAAGAAGAGGAGGAGGAGGCCACTTTCCCTGGAGAGCAGGGCTGGGACAGCCTGATCGGTCCTGGAGCCGAGAGACTGGCCCTGCACAGTACCCCCAAGGGTGGGCTGACACCAGGGCTCTGGCCTTATGGGGGGAAGTGGAAGCCCTAGAGAGGCCTGGACTTCCCGGGGAGCAGGACTCGGGTAGGCGGTTGATTTAGCCGCCTCCCCTCTCTGGGGCTCATCTACTTCCTTTCTCCTCCCCCCCCCCCCCCCCCCCCCCCCGTCTCCCCTCTGCCAGATGGAGGCCCAGGGCCTGGGAAGGTCCCCTGGCCAGGAGACTTTGGATTCACAGCAAAGGAGAGTGCTGGCAGCGGGACCCTTGAGGAACGGCCACGGGAGAATGGAGATGCCCTGTCTCGGGAAGGGACCTTGGGCCCCCTGCCGGGCCCTTCTGCCCAGCCACACAAAGGTGAGTGGAGCTCCTCCAGCTATCCCCACTGCCCTGCTAGGGACCACTGCAGACCTATAGGATGCCCCCCCCACCACTGGGGCCTTATGGTATCCACCCTCCCGGCCCCCCAGGAATCCTCAAGAAGAAATGTCTGCCCACCATCAGCGAGAAGAGCAGCCTCCTGCGGCTACCTCTGGAGCAGGGCACAGGCTCTTCTCGGGGCTCCTCAGCCAGTGAGGGCAGCCGGATGGGGCCCCCTCCCCGCCCACCACCTAGGCAGAGTCTCCAGGAGCAGCTGAATGGGGTCATGCCCATCGCCATGAGCATCAAGGCAGGCACCGTGGACGAGGACTCATCAGGCTCCGAGTGAGTGGGGCTGGTTGGGTGGCCAAGGTGACACTTGCAGCCATCCTGGCTGGGACAGAGCGGCCCCTGGGCCTCCCCCCAAGGTGGCTGTGGTTGGCAGTTGGAGTTCAGATGGGTTGAGCATGGTCCATGTCCCTCACGTGTCCAGAAACTAGGGTGCCCTGTGGGGCTTCCTGTGGTGGGCTCAGCCCAGGGTGGTCCGAGGGGGGGCAGGGAGCTGGGACTGCTTTTCTGTTTCCTTCTCTGTGAAAGCTGCTCGCTGTCTTCCTCTGCTCCAGCTAACCTTCTGTCTGCCTTTTCTGCCACTCTCCTTTCCTGCCTCTCCAGATTTCTCTTCTTTAACTTCCTGCATTAACCCTGGGCCGGTGGTTCCTTCGTCCCGAGGCTCCCCTCCCTTCCCCAGCAGCGCTCATGCCCCACTCCTGTCTTGTGCTTTATCCTGCCCCCCTGCTCCCCGCCGCCTGCCCGCCTGCCCGCAGCAGCGACGAAACGTCCATCTGAGGAGCCTGGGCCTTGCGCCGGTCTAAGGCCATCTAGTGCCAAGCCCCTCCCCTCCACCCCACTCACTGCACTTTGGACCCCTGGGGCCAACATCTCCAAGACCAAGTTTTTCAGAAAAGAGGAAAAAAAAAAAAAAGGAAAATTTAAAAGGATCTCCACTCTTCATGACTTCAGGGATTAATTTTTTTTATACGCTGGAAACTGACTCCCCTTTCCCTTCCCAAAGAGGATAGGACCTCCCCGGAAGCTTCCCAGCCTCTCCTCAGTTTCCCATCTGCTGTGCCTCTGGGAGGAGAGGGAATCTTAGGGGGCCTGTCCCCCCACATTTGCCATCACCAAAAGGAAAGGACAAAGCCACATGCACCTGGGGCGTCAGACCCTGCGGGCTGCACCGGGCAGGCCTCAGCTGTGGAGGGGGCGGGGCAAAGGGCGCCCCTCACCCGGCCCCCGCCACCCTCCCAGGAACGGAAAAGCCCTGTCCAGCCAGGAGGCAGAAGGACTCAGTGCCCCTGGACCCCCAAATGCTGCATGAACTGTTTTAAGGGGAGCCTGCACCCCTAGGCAGGGGATGGCCACCCTAGCCCCTCTCCTTTTCCTGGGACTCCAGCCATGTGCTGCAGCCCAGGTGTTTGCTCAGTTTGCTGACCCCAAAGTGCTTCATTTCTTCTGCCTGCCCCCTGCTCTGGGGGAAGGCCAGTCATGTGTTAAGTTGCGCTTCTTTGCTGTGCGGGGTGGGACCAGGAGGGGAGAGAGGAGGCGCAGAGCTGGATCAGTTGCCCTGAAGGGCCTCAAGCACACGTTTCAAGTCTGGGTTCTGGTGTCCCCTCCCCCACGCCTCTATATCAGACGAATGCCACTTTGTCTGACCTGCTGTGGCCTCTGAGACATGTTCTATTTTTAACCCCTTCCTGGAATTGGCTCTCTTCTTCCAAGGACCAGGTCCTGATCCACATTGCCCCTTCCCCACTCTAGCCCAGCCCCCTGTGAAGAGAGAGTTAATATATATATATATCTTTATTTATTTGCTTTACGTGTTGGGATGGGTTTGTGTCCAGTCCCAGGGGCTCAGATGTGGCCATGGCAGGTGGGGTGTGGATCCAGCAGCCCTTCCCCTCGCAACTCTTCTCCTCCCCCTCAGTTTTGCCAACCATCCTTCATTGGCCTCACCTTCCAAGCATGTATTCCAGACTTGTGAACTTTCCTTCCAGAGCACATGGCCAGAAAAGAGGCTTATGGGCAGGAAAAAAAAAAGTATTCCTGTTCCTCTTGGAAGGTTGGCCTCTGGTGTTTCTGCCATGGATTCTCACCCTGCCCTGTCCCCTCAGCAATTCCTTTAAAGGGTTAAAAATTTAACTGGTTTTTACTACTGATGACTTGACTTAAAAAATGCAAAGATGCTGGATGCTAACTTGATACTAACCATCAGATTGTACAGTTTGATTGTAACTGTAAATAAGGTAGAGTTTTGTTGTTTTTTTCCATCCCCATACTACTGAATAAATAGTTCTGTGCAGGTAGTGTGTGTCTGCATGGTGCCCTGTCCTGGGAGAGGCCCAGATTTTGGAAAGCAAAACACAAGCAGGGCCTGGAAGATCCCATTAGGAGATGGTAGGAACTCAGATACCAGCTGGCTGACAGGCGGCTTCCTATGGCCCTCCCCAGCAATGCTCCCAACAAAGCTCCATCTGCACAGCACCCAGTCCTGGCATTCCCAAGGAACAGTTGAGGAGTGGCAGCATGTCTGCACCAGAACAGGGGGGACTGGGTGGTTAGAGAGGCTGCATAGACCAGGCAGAGTTTGTTTTTTGGGGCAGATCAGTAGATTAGGGGAGCTGGTTAAGTGACCAGTGGGAATTTAAGGGTACCCAGTGGCTAGGTACTTTCAAACACCCACAGTGTGGACCATTCTCATTTTTTTTCCATTGGAAAATGAAGCAGCTGCTCAAACTAGTATTAAGTGTTCTGAAACATTACTGCTGGTCCCATGTTGTGTTTGTCAAAGGTTCATTGAACAAACTAGAAAAGGAGTTAACACAGGGCAGTGTAAGGTAGTAATGGTGAACACACAGCCTAGAACCAGACTGAGGGACTTAATCTCTGTGTCTTAGTTTTTCTTCCTACAAAACGACAATGCTAACAGCATTGCCTAATTGAGCTTTGGAGGATTAAATGAGTTAACACATGTGAAGTGTTTAGAACAGTTCATGGTGTATTGCAAGAGGCCAATGAACTGCTTCAGTTGGTGCTCCTGAGGCGGGGCAGGAAGTGGATGACAAATAGAAAGCAGGCCAAAAGGGAAGTGGGCCAGCAGGTAGTTGGACGAGAAAGGCAGCTTTGACAAACGCTGCCAACAAAATGCTCTTTAAATCAATTTTGGAGTGGAAGCCATGGGGGATGGAAGCAAAACTCAAAAATGGAAATGCACTTTCCGGCCACCAGGTGGCGACAGCACAAGTCAGTTGCTGAGTTAGCCTCTTAAGGCCCCATGGGGGGTACACACACAGTCCTCAAGCCTTGCCCTTCGCCCCACCCCCACCCCCTGCCCCGTTGGCTGTGCCCAGGCTAGCTGATAGTCCAGATACTAGGTGCTTCAGCCAGGGCATAAGGCGCCCAAAAGGTTCTCATCGTTACACCCAGTGCAGCAGGAAGCTAGGAAGCCCATCCGGTTTTCTTTCCTTATGCTAGAATTTTTCCAGAACCAAACATACATATATATGCAAGGCTGCTGAATCTCAGGGACTGGGAGGGGTGCTTCACTCCACACAACTGAGGAAGGCACCTCATGGGCATACTTATGAGCAATGTGTGGACATAGACTTGGCAGTCCACTTTTCCTTTGCTTAGTTCCACACAGAGTTCTTCGAAAACTCCTAAGGAATTCAGAATTTGGTTGAGGAAATGGAGCTGTGGCTCAAGTAGAAGAGTGCCTGCCTGCCTTGAGCAGAAAAAGCCCAGTAAGAGCACAAGGTCCTGAGTCCCGTGCACAGGTGTGTGTGTGTGTGTGTGTGTGTGTGTGTGTGTGCACATACAATGAAACAGAATTTGGATGAACCACCAGAAAAACCAGAAGTGGCACTGTGGCTCAAGTGGTAGAGCACTTATCTTGAACTGAAGAGCTTAGGGACAGGGACAGTGCCAAGGCCCAGAGTCTAAGCTCCACGACTGACAAACAAAAAAAAAAGAATAGAATTTGGGTTACAAAAATCAACAGCTACAAATAGGAGAGCAACCCTAAGCTAAATCTGTTAGCATCTTGGTTATTCTATAAACACCTACCAACTTGTGCTCAAACACTGTCTAAATAATGCCATGCTCTGCCACATATAAGTAGTAGTTTTCAAATCTAGTAGGGCAATGAAAACTAATAATGTAAGATAGCATGTGACAATGTGTTCTAATATCTCCTAAGAGGTCCAGAACACTTCCAAAGGCCTCTTCACTTATAATGTAGGGCAGACAAGAAGCTGGTGAATTCCCTGGATAGAAGCTCCACTGTTTTACCAGAAAAGGACATTCAAGTTTAGCATGAATAATAGCAACAACCTCACGCACTATGAATTAAGCTATACTTAACTGTGACCTGACCCTTCAAATAATATAGAAACCCACAGAAAGAAGTCTATTCCCACTGAATGGTAATGGGAAGGTTAGGGAGTCATAGCCTGATATACTGAAAACTTAGGAAGTCTTAGGAGCTATTCAGGCCTCTGTCTGGTTCCCTAGCTAGAATTAAAGAGGTATACTCTAAATCTGTTAAATCTACTTTAATATACACAAAAAAATACAAAAATACATTCACTTTATTTTTAAAAATGAAGACTGGTATTTCTCATCAACTGGTTTGTGAGGAGTCACAGAATTCACAGGAAACAAGTTCTGGAGAGCAAGTGCTTGCCACGCCTCTCCAAACAGGCTTGAGAACAATGGAAGATATGATTCCAAATCTTTCCTCGAAGGGCAGGGAGAATGGCTATAGAAGCCGTTATGTGGATTGGATTACATGTGGAATACCATATTTATGTGTGGTAAAATGTCTACTGAATACAGACCCAGGAAGAAGATGACTATTCTTCAGGATTGACCCCAAGACTGGAGGTAAAGAGGACAAGCCACCTGCCTGCATTTCTCATTTTCCATTTCATAACTAGGAGGTGACCTCTTCCCCTCTCATCTTCTTCTGTGCCAGACAGTTTGAGTCTCCTCCAGCTCCATCTACCCCATCCCATGGTCTCTACTCCCAGGGGATTGGCTCTGGCAGCATCTATTCTTCCTGTTACTGGGGCAGAATGTGCTAGAATCTGGACCTGCTGGTAGAGGTGCATGCAGGCAGTGATTGGAGTAGTTTGCTATTGGATTCTTACTTGCTGTCCTGATTGCTTTACCTGAAAAGACAAAAGGATGAACTGCTTTAAAGTGCTCATCTGTCATCAAGCTGAGTTCAAGTCCCTGTGAAGTAGGAAGAAATGAGACCCTTACACTGTTCAAAAATAAATGTACTCATTACCTGACTTATGCAACTGTAACCCCTATACATTACCTTACAATAGAAATTAAAAATAAAGATATGAGATCCTTGTCACCGCCCTCCCCCCCCATCTTTTCATCTCGAATTCAAGGATGCTGTGTCCTGGAAGTTTGGAAGCCCAGATAATGGGGGTGGAGGGACCCATCTTACCTAGTAGGTCCCAGGACTGCAACTTTTCTGGGGGGCTGCAGACTGCTTCGAGTGGCACTAGCCACAGGAAGATTTGCTCGCTGAGAAACAGCTTGATAAGAGTTAACAAAAGAAATGAGTTAGTGATAAGTTTCAGTGACCTCAAAAAGGAGTAACAGGAGCTGGTGGCTCACACTTGTAAACCTAGCTATCCAGGAGGATGAATCTGAGGATCATGGTTCAAAGCCAGCCCAGGCAGAAAAAGTCCATGAGACTCTTATCTTCAATTAACCAGCAAAAAAGCAGGAAGTGAACACCTTAATAATACAATAAAACACACACACCCATGCACACAAAGTAATAAAAGATAAAGGCAATGTGCTTCTCTCCAAAGGACAAATCATAAAGTGCTTGGAAATCAAAGCTTGGTCTCTGGCCAGCTCCACATTCTCCCTGTAACTCAGCCTCATCTTCACACAGAGAGATCTTTTGTAAGGAAGATAAAGTGGTCGCTGCCGTGGCTCTGGGAAGTTGAAATGAAGCTGAGCCAGAGACTATTTTCTTCTTTTTTGGTTTCTTACCTGTGTCCACTCTTTCTTACCTCTCTGCCCTGTAGCACTTGGTCTTGGAAGCCCTTTCCTGGTTGACAGAGGATTGGGAGGTAGGGCACCTTTGCCAGGTGGCACACTCCGGTTGGTGAGTGGCATTCGGCTGGCAGGCCTGGGGATGGCCGAGGGAATAGGTAGTCGACTGGAAGACTTAGTCGCTGTTCCCTGTGGCCTAGACAGGCATTGAGAGTTGCTGGTTGAAGGTTGTGGAGCCATTACTGGTCTGACAAGGGTAGGAGGGCCTGGTGAAAAGGATTAGAGTCATTTCAAGGTAAGTTCTACTTCTTTCCTCCTCCCATCACCCACAGCTGTGTTGTCCGGGTCTCACTTGTGGTGGATCTGGCACTGGGCCCAGCTTTTCCCCGGAGTGGAGGTCCAGCTTTCCCCCGGAGTGGAGGTCCAGCTTTTCCCCGGGGTGGAGGCCCAGCTTTCCCCCGGGGTGGAAGAGTTGATCGTGCAAGAGGAGAAGATGCTGGGCTTTTGGATGCAGGGAACAGATTGCAAGTGGGTGACTCCTGCAACAGACAGAGAGGGGGGAGGGAAAGACTAGATTGGAGGGTTATCTGTTCTGATTTAAGGGATTCAGAAGTAGCCATAAGGAGTGGTATAGATCCCAGTGAAGAAGGCGGAGTTTAGCTGCCAATATTATCACCATTATTTCAGAGCCCTAGAGACACTGTAGTAAATGCTTTTTTTTTTTTAAATGGTATTTCATCTAATTCCAATTCCAGGGATAGAATTACAATCCCCATTTGATCCACGAGGAAACTGCTCTATGCCTTCTGTGTGTCATATACTGTTCGGGTACACATGCAACCTATGCCCTCCAAACTCACTCTCTTCGCATTGGAGGGCCTCTTTCCAGATGTCACTCGAGGAGTCCTGGCTGACCCCTTCTTATCACTGCTCCGGAGATGGGGTGTCAGGCTGCTGGGGGAGGGTGTGCTCCAAGCCAAAGAGTTCACAGTGGGCAGCAGGTCTCGGACAGGACTGTCCTTCAACACAAACGTCTCTCGCCGAGGGCTGGGCTTCCCTCGGCGAGGCCCGGGGCTCTCACTCGCACTCTCTCCATCCTGCAGGGCACACTGCTCGAGCTGAGCTGCCAGCCGGTTGGCTTCATCAAGGATCTCCTCCAGCTTCTCTGGGCTGAGAGGGCCTAAGCTGAACCGCACACCCTGCGGGGCAGCAGCCACTGCGTTTGGGTTACTTCTATGGGACAGGCCCCGTCGGGGTGGTTTCTCTGGAGTCATCGACACTGCTATGTCCTTCTCCTCATGACTAAGACAGAAAACAAATGTGGTACAACACACACACACACACACACACACACACACACACACACACACACACACACGAGCAGAAGACTTTATAGGATCAAAATCTCTGCACCAGGGCCAGAGCCACAACCCAAATCCTGAAGCCCATTCTGGCTGCGAGATCGAGCCTCAAGGTGATGAGACCCAAGAAATCTTTAGCAAGTGGTGATATTGGAAATAATGGCAGAATGAAGATATAGCAAATAGCCAGGCGCCAGTGGCTCACGCCTGTAATACTAGCTACTCAGGAGGCAAGATCTGAGGATCAGTTTCAAAGCCAACCCATGAGACTAACTCCAATAAACCACTAGAAAACCAGAAGTGGCACTGTGGCTCAAGCGGTAGAGCGCTCGCCTTGAGCTGAAGAGCTGAGGGACAGCACCCAAGCCCAGCGTTCAAGCCTCATGACCAACCCCCCCCCCCAAAATGCACTTTTTAAAAATTTTGGTGCCAATACTGTGGCTTGGACTGAAGGGCTGGGCACGTGTCCCTTAGCTTTTTCTCTCAGGCTACCACTCCAGTTTCATTCAAGGCTACCACTCTATTGCTTGGGCCCCACTTCACTTTCAACTTTTGCTGGTTAATTGGAGATGAGTCTTGCAGACTTTCTTGCATGGGATGGCTTTTTTTTTTTTTTTTTGTCGGTCATGGGGCCTAAACTCTGGGCACTGTCCCTCGGCTCTTCAGCTCAAGACTAGTGCTCTACCACTTGAGCCATAGCACCACTTCTGGCTTTTTCTGCTTATGTGGTGCTGAGGAATCGAACCCAGGGCCTCAGGCATGCAAGGCAAGCACTCTACCACTGAGCCACCTTCCCAGCCCCCATGGGATGGCTTTAAACCTGGATACTTGGTCTTAGCTTTCTGAACAGCTAGGATTATAGAAGTGGGCCCCTAGCATCCAACTTGTTTTTGTTTTTTTGAGACAGGATCTCATTATGCAGCTCAGATTGGACTCAAACTCATGATCCTCCAGCCTCAGATTCGTGGGTGCAGGGATTACAGATGCACGCTACCATATCTAGTGCATTTACCTTTCTTAATATTCTGAAATCTCACTCCAGCTTCTCTTTTCTCCTCACTAAATGAGGCCCGAGCCCACCAACCCTGAGTGCACCAAACCTTGCTAAATTACCAACACTGACTCCAGAGGCTAACAGCAATTTAGCCAGAAGAGTTGGAGCCAAAGGGGTGCGGATGGAGGAAAATAAGTAAGCCTAATGGAACTGATACCTATCAGATGGAGACAGCCCTCCGAAGTCCAAGGTCTCATCCATAATAAACTTGACATCTGGAGGGAAAAGAAAAGTGGATGCCTGCCTTCAGTCCCTGACAGGCCCTCCATCTCAGAGCCTCAATCTTCCCAGAAGGACTCCCTTACCTTCCTCTAAATCCTCCATAGCAGACGCGAGCAGAATCCTCCTCAGTAGCAGAAGCGAGTCAGCTCACACCTGGGCTGGAGAGAAAACACACCTACCTTCAGGTATCCCATCCTGCCCAAGGCCCCAGCTAGAGTCAAGGTGCAAGGCAGGGAGGGGGCGGGAGGCCGAGGGTAAAAGCAGACACCCAGGATCCTCACCCGCCCGGTGACCTCCCGCGAAAGCTACAGTAAGATCCCGCCCTCCAGTGTCCCGACCTTCCCTGGCCCAGCTGGTTTGTAAATCCCACCTTCCTCCCAACTACTATCCTCCGGGGTTTTTCTCTCTCTAAGTCACCTTTCCATTGCCCCCGGCACCACACCTGCACCACACCTCCAACCCACAGCCAGTCTCCACACACACCCCCTCCCACCCCCTCGCCTTACCTTCCACGCAAGACGCTTTCTTCTTGCAACTGGGTCCCGGGAATCGGCTCTTAGGGGGCGTGGCTTCTTTCGAATTTCTCAGGTCCCACCCACTCTTGCCACATACACGCAATCATTGGTGGATCCTCAGGGGGCGGGGCCGCGCAGTGCTGCCACCCGATGGTCTGCAGGGGGGAGGGGTGGATTGTAGATATAGCGACCGTAGAGCGGTTCCCCAATAGGTCCATCCGAGAGTTCCATCCGAGAGGTCGGAGGCCTCCATCTAATAGGTCCATAGCTGGGGAGGTGGGCGGAGTCTGCGTGTACGTGCGCATGCCCAGGAGTCCCTCCTTCAACTTCCAGGCGGGAAGCCGTGCGGCGCTCCGGAGAACGAGCCAATCAGCGTGGACTTCGCGCCCCGCCCCAGCCCTCGGCCCGCCCCGTCCTCGTGGATCCCTGCCGCTGGGAGTCGTTTGCGGGCGCCGCTCCGCCTCCCTGCAGAGCTTTCCCTGCGCTCCTGCGGTCCTAGGGAGTGGCACGTGGCTGTTCACCCCGACGCTGACGTGCTGCCGGCGGAGATCCGCTCCCAGGGGCGCATCAGTATACAAAGCGCCGCTTTCGCTCGGTTTCCTCACGTGTGGCTTTTCCCCACCGTTTGTATCGTAGGTCCCGGGAGGCTCCCCGCGAGTCCCACACCGCATTGCCCTTTCCTGGCGTCCCAGCCCGGGAGGCTGCAGGCCGGCAGCGGCGCGGCTGGCTGGGCTTCACCCGATCCCCGACCTCGGTTCGCTCATCGGTGCCACGGGGACCCTCGGGGTTCTAGGGTTAGGAAGGTAACTGTGAGATTGAAGCTTTGTACCCTGTGCCCCTAGCCCATGGCCTAGGCCGCCAGGTAATAGAGGAAGGCGGAGGAGCCGTGCTGTAAACAGAGAGCCTGAGCTCCCATTCTCTGGATTTATGGCCTTTGGGGGGGGGGTTTCCTTCCTAGGATTTGTCTGCGAAGTGGAGGTCAGCTGGAGGGAGATGTGCCTATCACGAATGCACAGCAGCCTTGGAATTCAGCAGAGGGGAAAGGACCCCCAGGGGCAGAGCTCATTTCAGTGTCCGTGAGGCTGAGCCGTGGGTGGAGATGGATTCAAGGTCTAGGGAGGGTGGGACATCAGAGCCAGTGGCTTTTGTCTCTCAAGCAAACTCGAGGCAAAAGAGATTAGAAGGGAATAAGCTGGTACGTGACTGCCGTCCTTCTTGCCTTAGGCGCCACCTGAGCCCGGGATAACACTAGACTTCTTCACCCACCCCTCCAAGGGCAGGCAAGGAAGCCTTAACCAGTTGAAAGTTGTTCATAAGCTTCAGTTTCCTGCCACTAAATGTGGCGTGTGTGTGTGTGTGTGTGTGTGTGTGTGTGTGTGTGTACGCGTGTCAGCTTTGAACTCAGGGCCAGGGTGCTGTCCTAGAGTTTCTCTCTCTTCCTCTCCCTTTCTCCCCCACTTCTCTATCTCTCCCCCCCCCACCCCGGAGTCTGGCACTCTACCACTTGAACCACAGCTCCACTTCTGTAGTTAATTGGAGATAAGAATCTCACGGACTTCCTTGCCCCAGCTAGCCTTGAACCCTGATCCTCAGAACTTAACCTCCTGAGTAGCTAGGATTATAGGCATGAGCTACCAGTGCCTTGCAAATTTCAGTAGGAGAGACAGAGACAGAAAGAACTGAAAACAAGAAAAGATAGGGGATGGATCTTTTGTCTTCGTTAGAATGACAGAAAAGCAGAAAATAAAGATTTCATGCCCCCAAATTCTTCACTTAGCATAAGAACAACTCACTATTCTGGGAAGTATTTTATGTTTGTTTTCCCTATTTCAAAACAATGTGTACATGGTTAGCTGTGTTAGGGTTTTGGATGATGAATTAATGAATAAATGATACTCCCTCCCAGGCAGTATCCTTAAACACAATTTATCTTCACACTGAGCAAGACTGCAGGTTCGGTGCGAAGATTTTCTTTCTCAACTGAGAAGGATGAAGATATAATAATTTTCAGAGAGGGCCGCTGAGTAATTAAACACAGCAGAAGCTGCAGTCTGAGGCATCATAAATGAAGTTATTCCACCACTTCCTGACCTGGGACTCAGATCTCTCAATTTTTTTTGGCCAGTCCTGGGGCCTGAACTCAGGGCCTGGGTGCTATCCGTGAGAATTTTTGCTCAAGGCTAGCACTCTACCACTTAAGCCACAGTTCCACTTCCAGCTTTTTAGTGTTTAATTAGGAAGTTTTAAGACTGGCTTTGAGCCACAGTCCTCAAATCTCAGCCTCCTGAGTAGCTAGGATTACAGGTGTGAACCCCTGATGCCTGGCTCCCCACCTCTTAATTCTTAAGCCAGGGCTGGGAATGTGGCTTATTGGTAGAGTGCTTGCTTAAGCAAGCCCTGGGTTCGATTCCTTAGTATCACATACACAGAAAAAGCCAGAAGTGGCTCTGTGGCTCAAGTGGTAGAGTATTAGCCTTGAGCAAAAGAAGCTCAGGGACAGTGTCCGGGCCCTGCGTTCAAGCCCCAGAACAGGCAAAAGGCCCTAGAAATGATTTGCATGACTATTCTCTTATTTCTCCAGTGGTAGTATATAAGTAGGAACAATCTAGGTGCATAGAAAGTGGTTGATACATGCCATACAGTGGGTGTTTTGTGACATGGGAGCTTGAGTATCACAGACTAGTCTAGTTGAGAAGGGTTGAAATAGCCACTTTAACTGGAAGTAAGCAAGGGACATCTTAGCCCTCAGATCTTAGGCTATCTTTAATTAGCTATATGTGTGTCTGTGTATGAAGGTATTCAACCTCCTGTTTGCTGCTTAGTGATGAACGTGCATGTGTTATCCCAATAGAGGAAGAGAGCAAGTGGTGGTCATTTTTCGTTTTTCAACACCTCATCCCATGTAGAATTCAGTTCACTTCTGTCATAGACCATCCAGGGACATAGCATCAGAAACCCTTGTAGAAGAGAATGTGGATATGAAGTAATAGAAGAGAGGAGAGAGAGGAAAAGAGAAAGAAAGGGAAAGGGAAGAGAGGAGAGGGGAGGGAAAGGAAGGGAAGGAATCTTAGGGCTTTGGGATCCATATAGTCTGGGTAAGTGTTTCTCCTATATGCAAAGGCTCAAATAGGGGACACTTATGCATTGAAAATCCACACATTTATTTTGATCAGTCCAAATCAGGCATTGCACTGAAGCTCCTTAGGAACAAAATCTCGTCATGGTCAGGCTTGCTGGAGGCTCTGAAAAGAGAAAGTATATTGTAGCCACCAAAGCAAACAGCACAGCTGGGACTCTGCGGCTGGCCCTCTTTATCGGCCTTTGTTCCTTCTGTCCTGGGCTGAGGATGCACCACTCACCCTGCTCCACTGTGAAGGAGGGAAGAGAGCAAGAACGAGCTCCAACACCACACAGCATTGGCAGTAGGGGTAGAAAGAAGAAAACTGCCTTTGCAAGCCAGCTGGCAGTCAGCTTTCCCAAGGACAGTGTGCTTTTAATTCAACTCTTAGGGTTTTCATTTGCTGCGTATCAGTGGTGAGCTTAAATAAATAGCTTAGGGATTGAATTCATGATCACTGTTGCTCAGCCAAGAGCTGCAAGGGGGGGGGGCATTGGGAGCTGATTCTCTTTCTTTCCCACAAGCCTCTCTTTGCTTTACTCATCAGTCTATGCACAGCATCTCTCCTCGGAATAATTCAGAATTTGAAGGAGTTATCAAGTTGTAAATGATGATCCACTGGCTCTCTGCCAGTAATGGATGGTTCAGAAAAACCACACACCCACATGTTAGGTTATTGTTGATATAACAATGAAAATTGGTGATATGCTTCTCTTGGATAGGAAGGAGTACTTACAGGAAAATATTAACAAGTTAGTCGTGTTTTTTGCCCTGCTTATGTTATTAAATGAATCGACAGGAGCAGCCTCTTGTCCCTATCCACCATCACTGTGGTGGTAGACACTTATCTCTTCCTCTTCCTCCTCCATATTAAGACTTTGAACTCAGGGCTTGGGTACTGTCCTTTAGCTTTTTTGCTCAAGGCTGGTGCTCTACCACTTGAACCATACCTTCACTTCTGTTTTTTGGCCATCAATTGAATATAAGAGTCTTATAGACTTTCCTGCCAGAGCTGGCTCAAACTGTCCTCAGATCTCAGGCTCCTGAGTAGCTAGGATTCAAGGCCTGGGCCCAGCTGTTTCTTTATTCTTTTTTTTTTGGGGGGGGGGTCCGGTCGTGGGGCCTGAACTCTGGGCCTGGGCACTGTCCCTCAGCTCTTCAGCTCAAGGCTAGCGCTCTACCACTTGAGCCACAGCGCCACTTCCGGCTTTTTTCTTTTTGCTTATGTGGTGCTGAGGAATCGAACCCAGGGCCTCAGGCATGCAAGGCAAGCACTCTACCACTGAGCCACCTTCCCAGCCCCTGTTTCTTTAGTCTTAACTGTTTCTTTGACATCCTTTTTTTTTTTAAATAGTACCTGCTCCTTGGATGAGGTACATGGTTTGATTCTTATCATCAACTTGGGGAGTACAAACACATAGATAATGTAACAAAAGCAGAATTTATCTATAGCAGTTTCCTCCCCAGGAGTAATAGTATTAGCTAAAAAAAAGTGATCATGAGGGGGCACCTGACTGAGAGGCCCAGGCACACGCATCCATTTCAGACTTTGCCACACTACCATAAACAGTGCGTCATGCTAGCCCTCCTCCTTACCTTTCTCATGTGTCATGTCCTCAGGTAGCTCAATGAGGAGCTGTAAGAATGCAGACATTTCTCAATGTCAACATCTCAGAAATGTCTGAGAACCCTTCTGTCAGAGCATTAGGAAAACAATGTACTATTTAAGCTTTTGGGAAGTCCATGGTGCTAGTTAGGGAATCTACACATAGCTAAAGAATGGGATTGAAAATAGCCATGCATACAAAGGTGCAAAGCCTATGTGATGCTGCTGATATAAAATAATATTTATCAGGCTGGGAAGGTGGCTTAGTGGTAGAGCGCTTGCCTTGCATGCATCAGGCCCTGGGTTCGATTCCTCAGTACCACATAAGCAAAAAGAAAAAAGCTGGAAGTGGCGCTATGGCTCAAGTGGTAGAGTGCTAGCCTTGAGCTGAAGAGCTGAGGGACAGCGCCCAGGCCCAGAGTTCAAGCCCCACGACCAGACCCCCCCCCCAAAAAAAATAAACTCCAGCAAATGAAAAGGATTTTCTCTTTCTTTCTTTCTTTCTTTCTTTCTTTCTTTCTTTCTCTTCTTTTCAGTCATGGGACTTGAACTCTGGGCCTGGGGCTGTCCCTGAGCTCTTCAGCTCAAGGTGAGTGCTTTACCACTTGAGCCACAGTGCTACTTCTGTTTTTTCTTAGTGACTTATTGGAGATAAGAGTCTCATGGACTTTCCTGCCCAAGCTGGCTTTGAATGGTAATCCTCAGATCTCAGTGTGAGCCACCGGCACCCAGTGGTTTTTTCTTTGAAAAAGTTATTTGGGTCTGGGAAGGTGGCTCAGTGGTAGAGTGCTTGCATGCATGAGGTCCTGGCTTCGATTCCTCAGCACCACAGAAACAGAAAAAGGCAGAAGTGGCACTGTGGCTCAAGTGGTAGAGTGCTAGCCTTGAGCTGAAGAGCTCAGGGACAGCACCCAGGCCCATAATATACAAAAAAATTATTTTACTTTTTTTATTGTTGTTATAAAGGTGATGTATAGAAGGGTTACAGTTGGAAGTGGCGCTGTAGCTCAAGTGGTAGAGCGCTCGCCTTGAGCTGAAGAGCTGAGGGACAGCGCCCAGGCCCAGAGTTCAAGCCCCACGACCGACAAAAAAAAAATAGAAGGGTTACAGTTATTTGAGTCAAGTAAAGAGTACATTTCTTATTTTTATTTTCTTTCTTTTTCCTTCCCTCCCTCCCTTCCTCCCTTCCTTCTTTCCTTCCTTCCTTTTGTGTGTGTGTGTGTGTGTGTGTGTGTGTGTGTGTATGTAGGTAGGTCCTAGGGCTAGAACTTAGGGTCTAAGTGCTGTCCCTGAGCTGCTTTTGCTCAAGGATAGCACTCACTAGACACTGTGTGCCACTATGGGCCACAGTGCTATTTCCAGCTTTTGTTGTGATTAATGAGAAATAAGAGTCTCACACGGATGTTTCTGCCCAGGCTGAATTTCAACCACGATCTTCAGATCTCAGCCTCCTTCTGAGTAGTTAGGATTACAGGTATGAGCCACCAGCACCCAGCAAGAATACATTTCTTTTTGGACAATGTCACCCTTTCCCTCGCTCTCTCCCAGTTTTTCCCTCCCATCCCCACCCATAAGTTGTATAGTTCATTTTCAACATAGTGTCCAGTAAAACCCATTGTTGCATTTGTTCACCCATTGTCCCTCCATTTCGGTGCCTCTCTCTTTACACTCCCAAAGACATATAAACAGACAAACAGAACAAAAAGAAAACAAATACAGCACAAAAAAACTCTTGTTTTCATTTCCTGGAGTTAAGTTCAATAAACATTATTTTGTATGATCAGATGCACATAGCTATTATGCCTTTCTGTTCCTCTTCTAAGAGTATTCCCCTTTGGTCTCACTGTGTGTGAATGTCTAGAGATCTGTATAATTTATTATGTCCCAGTATTTTAGATCAAGCTTCTGCATATGAGAGAAAACATGTGCTGTCTCTCTGAGCTTGGCTTACCTCATTTAATATGATTTGTTCTAGGTCCATCCATTTCTCTGCAAATGGCATAATATCGTTCTTTCTAATGGCTGTGTAAAATTCCATTGTGTATAGGTACCACATTTTTTTGGATCCACTCATCTATTATAGGGCATCTAGGCTGTTTCCACAACTTGGCTATTGTGAATAGGGTAGCAGTAAACATGGATGTGCAAGTGTCTTTATGGTATCCTGGCTTGCCATGTTCTGGGAAGATGCCCAGGAACGGTATGGCTGGGTGGTAGGAAAGGTCTATGTTTAGTTTTTTGAGGAACCTCCAGACTACTATCCAGCATGGTTGAACTAGTTTGCATTCCCACCAACAGTACAATAGGGTTCCTTTTTACCCATCCCTTCCAACATTTGTTGTTCTTTGGAGGTTTTTTTCTTTCTTGTTGTTTATATTTTCTTTTTGTCTTTGGGAGGGCAAGGCAGGGTATAGAAATGGAGGGACAAAGAACAAACAAATGCAGCAGTGGTACTCACTAGACACTATGTTGAAAATGAACTATACAACTTGAAGGTGAGGATGAGAGGAAAAAACTGGGAGACAGCAAGGGAAGCGGTGACATTGTCCTAAAAAAAAATGTACTCCTGAGCCGGGTACTGGTGGCTCACACTTGTAATCTTAGCTACTCAGAAGGCTGAGATCTGAGGATCAAGGTTCAAAGCCAGCCTGGGCAGGAAAATCCATGAGACTCTTATCTCCAATAAACTCCTCTGAGAGGGGCACTGTGGTTTAAGTGGTAGAGCGCTAGCCTTGTGCAAAAAAGAAGCCCATGGAAGGTGCCTAGACCCAGTTCAAGCACCAGGACCGGCAAAAGAGAGAGAGAGAGAAAGAAACATACTCTTTACCTGACTTAATGTAACCCCTCTATATAACACCTTTATGATAATAATATAAAAATAGCCAAGCACTGATGGCTCACTCATGCCTATAACACTACTCAGGAGGCTGAGGTCTGAGGAATGCAGATGGAAAAGTCTGAAGCTGCAAGTGGAACTGTAGTGCTAGAGTGCTAACTTTGAACACAAAAGCTCAGGGACAGCACCCAGATCCTAAGTTCAAGCTCCAGGAACAGCGTGCGTGCGCGCACACACACACACACAGATCACAACCTGAGTAAGGGCCAGGGAACTTGGGCTCTTCACCTCCAGTAATGTCAATGCCTCTATTAACCAACTCAGGAAATCTTGAATAAACCAATGATTCTCCTGTGCTACAGGTTTCTCCCTATCAAAATGGAAATAATGGTTCCTATAGTATAGAATTGTGATCGAGAGACATGACGGCAATAATACAAATGGCTCCTCTAATATGACCTGATATTGATAGAAGAGGGCCTCCAGGGGGCAGCTCTTCTCCAAGAGCTGCTGGACCGAGATGACCAGACACTCGTTCTCCTGCTCTTACCTTTCACATCCACCCTGCAGTCCACGGATGCCTCCCCCAGAGCATTGACAGCCTTGCAAGTATAGATGCCTCCATCAAAGGGACCCGGCTTGCGGATTTCCAGAGAGCAGATTCCCAGGTGACTGAGGGCTCGGTACTTGGGATTACCTTGGATGTCCATCTTGTTCTTCAGCCAGATGATCTTGGGCTAAAATAGAAAGGTGAGGAGGTAGGTGAGTCAAGAAGAAGCAATTGCTCTTTCTGGGCTCAGTGTCTGGGACTCTTTACAAGGCTTGTAAATAATGGTTCTCTGGAAGCTTCTCTGTCTCTGGTATTGTGGGAAGGAGTTCCCTTCCAGGACCTTCAGCAATGCCCCCAAGCTCCTCCTCCTAGTTGAAAAGTACACTCCAAACCTCATCTTCACCAAGTGTCCTGACAAGAGAAAGGCAGTAACTACTGCTCAAGTAGCCATCATGGGTCTTAAGTGGTGGATATCAGTAGGTAGCTGATCTCTGTTGTGTTTCCTTGCCAGTCCTTGAGCTTGAACGCAGAGCCTGGGCACTGTACCTGAGTGTTTTTGCTCAAGGCTGGCACTCTACCACTTCTTCCCTAGGCAGCCCCTGCTCAGATGAAGCTTGGGTGGGTGTATAACGAGAAACCAGTGGGATTCCATCACTCCTGCCAGATCAACAACTCGAAGCTCATACCCAATCACAGCAGGTCGGTAAGTGTACATCTGTGTGTACAAGGAGCCGACACTAAAGGGAAACACCATTTGCATCCATCCACCCAGAATTACAAATGCCCTGATTGTCCCTAAATTCCCTGCTGTTGAAGAGGCAGATGGCGGGGATGGCAGGGGATGCTCAATGAGAAGGCTCTGTGACACAGCTCAAGTTAGGAAGGACAGAAGCTGGGAGCATCTGCCACCCCCAGAACAACCTACTCACCCTGGGAGAAGCACGAACACAGCAGAAGAGCTGGGTGTCATAGCCAGTGACGGTAGTGCAGTCTGCCAGAGGCTGGGTAAACTTTGGGGCTTCGGAAAAGTCCCGCTGGGCAAACCCCTTGGTCTTGTAAACAGTAGCTGTGGGTACCAAGAAGGGCCATGATGCAGATCTAAGACTTCTGTCCCTCTTCAGCTTTCTTTTCCATCTTCCTTTTTCTTTCCTTTCCTCCCTCCCCTCTCTCTCTCTCTCTCTTTTTTTTTTGTCAGTTATGAGGTTTGAACTCAGGGCCTGGGCACTGTCCCTGAGCTCTTTTGCTCAAGGCTCACACTCTACCACAGCTTCACTTTTGTTTTTCTGGTAGTTGATTAGAGCTAAGAGTCTCATGAACTTTCCTGCCTGGGCTGGCTTTTAACCATGATCCTCAGATCTCAGCCTCCTGAGTAGCTGGGATTATAGGCGTGAGCCTCCAGCATCTGGTTTTAACAGTGTCTCCCTTACCTGCTTTCTGGATGTGGGCCAGGTCAGCTGTGATGGGGGCTGTGTCGCTGAGCCCACACTGGTTTTCGGCAAAGACACGAAAAGCATAGGAGTTGCCAACAATGAGGTCTGAGACAATGCAGCTGGTGCGGTGATAACGCTCTAGCACGGTGAACCAGAGCTGCAGGGGTTCCAGAAGAGGCCAGGCATGAGACCCCTGTCCTGTGAACTCACCCCTCATGGAACTTCCCAGAGGCTCATTCCAGAAGGCTCTGCTCCCCTCCACACACTTCCCAACTGAACCTCACCCCAGATTTTGTGTCAGCCTTCTGCACAGTGTATCCCAGCAATGCTGTATTGCCTGTATCTTGGGGAGGTGTCCATTGAAGAGCAGCATTGGAACCCCAAACATCCACCAACTTAATACTCTGCGGAGGACCTGGCGGCTCTGGAAGGGCAAAGCCAAGTCTGGGTATGATCCCCATGCACCGAGGTCATTTGGTGACCCTGTGGCCCCTGCTCTGCTCAGATCCCTGTCTTCCTTCTCATAACAGACACCCAAACTGGGAGTTAGAACACCACCCCAGTTCTCCCAGCTATGTGAGGTTGTTTCTCTTCAGCTCGAAGAGGGAGCTTCTGCAGACCACCTCCCCTCCCCTCTCCCCACCTTACCAATCACCAGTATATCAATGGTGGCTGTGGCCTCCAGCCCACCCAGCTGTACATGGAGTTGGTAGCGACCCGAGTCACTGCGTTGGGCTTCTCTGATGAACAGGATGGAGTCTTGCTCTCCATTTCTCACACTCACGCGACTTGTGTCCAGGGCACAGCCATCATGTGTCCAAGTAGCTCGAGGTTTGGGCTTTCCCTGAGTGGTGGAGGTCAGGAATGAAGAGCCAGAGAAGTTTCTAGACCCTCCCTGTTGTGGTAGGGGGGTCATACTCGACCCATATCCTCAGGGTACCTTGATTTACAGTGTACAGTTCCTTGAGCTACAGGTTGACAGACTCTTCCAGGGGATTTTGTTCTTTTCAGCCACAACTTCAGGATCGTGGGGGCCAGGGGAAAGGCTTTGTGTTTCCCACCCTCTGATAGTTTAGGGTATGGACATCCAGAACAGTGGATGGGGTGGGGGAAGCGACTTAATAGCTGCCCAAACTCCCATAAGCCCTCCAAACAGAGCTCCAGTTTCTGCAGAAAATCAGCCTTACCTCCTCCCATAGGGCACCCCCCCTCCCCTCCCCCACTGTCAGTGGGTGCAGAATGGATGGATTATCTGCTCTCGGACTTCTGCTGGGGTGGCCCCTTCCTCCTTGGCCTCTGCTAGCAGGGCTCCTGTTCTCTGTCTCCAGATTGAAACTGTGGCCCAGTTCCAGTGTGACGCTGGTTTCATCACCTGGAATGGGATTAGTAGGTTCACCGTGTCCCCAACCTTCCGGATGTAGGTCTGCCTCAGGGCCCGAGGTAGCCAGATCTTGGGGTACTCTGAGTGATTAAAAGAGAGAGAATAGGACATGGATCCTCAGAGAAAGCAGATAGGCATTCTGTTGCACTCTGGCGACCTTCACTCCTAGTTTAGGTGATAGAATGAGTATTGTCATTTTTCCTTCTTCCCTTCCCCTCTCTTCCCCTCCTCTCTCCTCCCCTCCCTTCCCCTTCCCTCCCCTTCTTTTCTTTCTTTCTCTCTCTCTCTCTTTCTTTCTCTCTCTTTCTTTCTCTCTCTTTCTTTCTTTCTTTTTTTGTCAGTGGTGGGGCCTGAATTCTGGGCCTGGGCGCTGTCCCTCAGCTCTTCAGCTCAAGGTTAGCGCTCTACCACTTGAGCCAGAGCCACTTCCGCTCTTTCTTTTCTTTTTGCTTTCTCTCTCCTCCTTCCTTTCTTTTCTTTTTTTCTTTCTCTTTCTTTCTTTCTTTTCTTTTTTCTTTCTCTCTACCCTCTTCCTTTTTCTTTTCTTTTCTTTCTTCTCTCTCTCTCTCTCATTTTTCTTTCTTCTTTTTGCTGGTACTAGGGCTTGAATTTGGGGCCTGGGCACTGTCCTTTTTTTCTGCTCAAGCTTGGTACTCTACTCACTTGAACCACATCTCCTCTTCTCATTTTTTGGTGGTTAGAGTCTCTTGGGCTTTTCCTGCTTGAGCTGGTTTTGAACTGTGAACCTTAGCTCTCAAGCCACCTGAGTAGCTAGACTTACAGGCCAGTCTGCCTTTTCTTCAGGGCTGGGGATGAGCCCATATCCCCAAGCACTCTACTACCAAGCCATCCTTCCCTACCCCCCCCCCCCGCCATTCCCATTATGTTGCTGAGATTTAGGGATGAGCAAAGAGATTGGTTGAAGAGCCCCAGGAGAGTGTAAAAGACTGCAGAAAGGGACTGGAACGCAAGCCTGACACTGCTTTAATTTATAACTCTTAACTAATGACTTGCCATCAGCAGAGATTTTCTTTGTTTGTATACAGATGGATCCAGTCCATCTGGTTTGTCTTTTCAGTGCTTTTCGATTGGTCCTTCATAACTCTGCTGGTCTCCAGCCTACATTCAGTGTTCACCTGAACCTCCTAGCTCTACAGTACTCAGAAGGATGCTTTCTGCTTTATAGGCAGAGACTATACCCTGGCCACCAGCATTAACACCCCCCCCACTCCAGGACAGAACTAAAGTCATCACTGAGGGAACAAGCAGGGCATCTGGATCGCTTCCTTTGAGCTCCCAGTGCTCGTTCTTCCCATAGCTGGACTGATCTGTTTGTATAAACAAAATCTGGGAAAGATTAGATCCACTGCTCACTTCCCCTTGATCTCCCAGGCCTGTTCCAGCCAGTGGAGATTAGGGGACATTTATTGGCTGCCAAAATGAAGACAGGAGATGGTCAGAAAGCTGAGTGCAGGTCTAGACAATGAACACATGTCCCTTTCCCCTCTGGGTCTGCTGAAGACCACCTTGACCTGCTTAACTACAAACATCCTAGCTAGTTCTCATGGGGACCTGCCGGAGGCTAAATTGTGTCCGGGCCTTCCTCCTTTCTCCAGCATGGACAGTCCCCTGCTGTAACTAGAATGTGACAGAGCTCAGTTCCCACCAACCGCACAGGCCTCCCAGCCAAAATTCATTCCTAGCAGTTGGACAAACTCCACCCTCGATACATTCCTTCAGCAAACAGTCTGATTGCTTGATAGCGGATTCCAGCCGTTTTGATAACATACATCTCCCTGTGGCTACATTCCGTAGCCCTCAGCAACCCAAGTATGTTTACTTCTAGATCAGATGTTTAAATATGTACATTGTATACAGCAGAGCCCTAATGATGTTTAAAATAAAATAAACAGCAGTTCAATTATGTTCTTTGAGACCACCTCCCATTACACTTTCAAGATCCTTTATAAATGAATATAAATATGCAGTGCTCACTGCCCATTTCATTAATCTAGTTTCCTCTGTGTGTGTGTGTGTGTGTGTGTGTGTGTGTGTGTGTCTGTCTGTCTGTATCTGTGTCTGTGTCTCTGTGTGTGTGTGTCCTACAACTTCAACTCAAGGCCTGGGCCCTGTCCTTGAGTTTTTGTGCTCAAGGCTAGCACTCTACCATTATGGGTAACAACTTTACTTCTGGTCTTTTTGATGGTTAATTGGAGATAAATAAGAGTCTCATAGACTTCCCTGCCCAGGCTGGCTTTGAACTGTGATCCTCAAATCTCAGCCTCCAGAGTAACTAGGATTACAGATGTGAATCTCAGGTGCCTGACTTAGTTTCCTTGTTTTCCCCCTGTGTAGCTGTGCCTGTCTGGGTCTAACCCTTGAGAACTAAGGAGACGCGAATGAATGTTCTGGGTATGAACAGGACAGTGATAGAGCCCAGGCCACGTAGCGACTATGCTCCAGCCTGCTTGTCCTCTGCTGGCCCTGGTGGTTGGAGGCTGGCAGGAACACTGCAGAAGTGTTGTGTGATGAGTTACTCTCCTGTGGCCATCTTAGCAACCAAGGAATTGGAAACCGGCAGATACTAAAGTTTGTTTTGTTTTGTTTTGTTTTTTAGAGAGTTGTAATTGGAAAGGAAAGTGAAATGTCTTGTTGGCCTTGGCCCTCTTGCTGCATGGAGGAAATGACCCTTTATACTTGCAGGGGAGAGGACCCAGAAAAGTCTGTCCTCTGGGGCTACTGACAAGAATATCAATTATTAAAGGCCTTGGTGAGCAACTAGAACAAGGTAATGACTGGAAAGAAAAGGGTTCAGGGTGACACATTACCTGGTGCACTCCAGGCTGGTTGTGAAGTTGTGTCTGGCATCTAAGACCGCTGCCTCCCATGGAGGATATAGCTCACGCCTATAATCCTAGCTACTCAGGAGGCTGAGACCTGAAGATCGCAGTTTGAAGTTAGCCAAAGCACCAAGTCCATGAGACATTTATCTCCAATTAATTACCAAAAAGCCAAAAGAGGATCTGTGACTCAAGTGGTAAAACACCAGCCTTGAGGAAAAAAATCTAAGGGACAGCACCCAGACCCTGAGTTCGAGTCCTGGTACTGATGCGCGCATGCGTGCACAAGCATGTGCATGTTCACACACACACCCACCGCCACAAGACTCATTCTTGGTGCATGACTCAACTGTCTGCTAACCTGCCCCTCCCAGTGTGGGCCTAGGGCTAGGTTCAGAGTCAGGGCTCTGCGACAGGAAGAGAAAAGGCAAAGAAGGGAAGATGGAGGTAGACCGACACAAGTAACTCACACCTGTAATCCTAGCTACTTCAGGAGGCTGAGATCTGAGGATCAAGGTTCAAAGCCAGCCTAGGCAAGAAAGTCTTATGAGACTCTTAACTAATTAACCACCAAAATGTCAGAAGTGAAGGTATAATTGGAGTGGTAGAATGCCAACCTTAAATAGAAGAGCCCAAACTCAGTACTGGTGTGCGCGTGCACACAAACATACATGCACACACACACACACACACACACACACACACACACACAAGAAGATGGAGGGATAAAAGACTGAAAAGTATTGACTTATCATGCCTAGGAGAAATGCCAACTGAGGCCTACTCTGTCTGGATCTCAGGTGGGCAACAGGCCTTTATGGATACAGATGTACATTTATACTTGCATTTCTTTAGGAATCATCACTCGAACTATTGAGAAAAAGGAAAGGAATAGGCTTGTAGGAGTAACATAAGCCAATGTGGGGGACGAGGGGAGGATTTAGGTTGGTGGCCTTGGAGGTCCCAGGAAGCTCAGCTGGGAGAGCAGGGAGGAAGGAGGCAGCAATGGAGGTGGAGGCTCCTCCCTGGGGGTTTCCAGGCGGGCATCACCCACTTCTACTTCGTAAGTGGGATTGCCTGAGGAGACAATGGGACTGACATCACCAGAGTACCTCAACTCTCTGAGGGTAAGTGGGCACAGCTCTACTCTCAGTAGGTTCCCAGGATAGGCAGAGGAACGCCTTTAGGCTGACCAAGTACTGGGGTGCAGAAGGGAGCTTGGCCGTTCCAGATGCCCCGTCAGCAAGGAGTTTCTCCAGCCTCTTCCCCGCTCACCCCAGGCAGCAATCTGACCCTGGGCTTAGAGAAGGCTTATTTGAGGCAGCTCCGTTCACACCTCCAGAGACAAGCGAGGTGTAAATTGTACCGACCTTGGGGAGACAGGCTTCCCCTGCACCCAAGGGCTTTCTCCTCCTCAGATGCCAGGAAGATAAGCACCAGCATCCGAGCCTTCAAGCAAAGCCTCAGCTTTCTCAGGCCAAGGCTGTGATGGCCACAGCTTCGTTGTTCTTTTCTCCCCCTCACAATCTTGGAAGGACAAAGCATTTGAAAGGCATTCTTTGTAAGTCATTGACTTCTGAGCCAAGTTACTCTCCATACTTTGGTCTCGCTCCAACATTGTATCTAATTATTTATGGAAAAATTTTAGAGGAAAGCAGGAAACCAGTGGCTTATGCCTTTAATGCTAAGTGCTCAAGAGGCTGAGATCTGAGGATGGAAGTTCAAAGCCAGTCTGGGCAGAAATGTTTGAGAGCCTCTAGCTCCAGTCAACAGGCAAAAAGCTAGACTGGAGGTTTGGCTCAAGTGATAGAGCACCAAGTATGAGCCCCCCCCCCCCGCCAGTCCCTGCAAAAAATGAAAAGCCAGTATTGGCATACAAACACGCTTTTTTTGTGGGGGGGTCCGGTCATGGGCCTGAACTCTGGGCCTGGGCACTGTCCCTCAGCTCTTCAACTCAAGGCTAGTGCTCTACCACTTGAGCCACAGCGCCACTTCCAGCTTTTTTCTGTTTGCTTATGTGGTGCTGAGGAATCGAACCCAGGGCCTCATGCATGCAAGGCAAGTGCTCTACCACTGAGCCACCTTCCCAGCCCCACACTTTTTTTTTTTAAAGAAGAAATTACTTAAAATCTAAAGATCCTGGCTTTCCTGATTAGACAATTCCTCCTAATATCTAATTTTAGTCTGCTGAAGCTTATGATCATTTTTTTCTATTCTTATGGGAAATAATTGTTCACATCCTCTCATTATTTTTCTCTCACATGAACGTTTGCCCTCCAGCAGTCACCTGAGGGCTGCATCATTCAGAATGCTATTTTAACTATGACCTGAAGAAATAAGAGAGACACATTGGAGGGCTGTGTGTATATGTGTGTGTATCTCTGAGAGTGTATGCATGTATGTGTGATTGTAGGTGTGTGCGTGTACTTGCATACACAAAACATGCCTGTGTGAGTGGTGGTACACCTCTGTAGTCCTTGCTACTCAGAAGGTAGAGACAGGAGGATCACAGTCCAAGTATGAGACCCAACCTGAAAAACAAAGAGCAAAAGGATTGGGGGTGTGGCTCAAGTGGTAGAGTGCTTGTCTAGCAGGCCAAGACCCTGAGTTCAAACCCCAATACCACTACCACCACCATAAAAAGTGAGAGAGAGAAAGAGAACAAGAAAGAGAGAGAGAAAAAGAGAGAGAGAGAGAGATCAAATCAAAGGCTCATAGCAAGCTATAGATTTGAAACTAAAGATTTCCAGGGAAGTACTGGCATTTTGCCTCCAAAATTTGTTTGGAAAACTATAATGAGGAAAAGACTGTCACTTCCTTGAAGAGCAGGAATATAAGAGCAGAAAAGGTTAAAGGGCATAGAAACAGGCTACACTTCTCTGAGATAGACTCCAAAGTCGGTACTAATAGCTCACACTTATAGTCCTAGCTACTCAAAAGCCCGAAATCTGGAGGATGTCAGTTTGAAGTTAACTTGGACAGAAAACCCCACAAACTCCATCTCCAAAATAACTAGCAAAAAGCTGGATAGGAGGTATTGCTCAAGTGGTAGCGTGCCAGCCATGAGCAAGAAAGTTAAGTGAGTGCAAGACTTTGAGTTCAAACCCCAGTACAGAAAGAAAGAGAAAGAGAGAGAGCGAGAGAGAGAGAGAGAGAGAGAGAGAGAGAGAGAAAGGAAGGAAGGAAGGAAGGAAGGAAGGAAGGAAAAGAAAAGATGATATCTCCTTCCTGTCTCAGGCTTAATCTCACATTTGGGAGTTTCACCCTGGTTGTTGCCTCCATCTCCAACACTGCTTCAAAGTTCATGGCAATTTCAATGTCGATCCTTCAATCCCTGTAGGCCTGCCGATCCACCTGGGCCTCTGTCCTCTCCCTCCTCAGTCACTGGACATTGTGGTCATTCTCTTGTTCAATGTTCTACTCTCTTTCATCTGTGACCCATTGTTTCTGAGCATCTATTCTGGCACGCCCTAAGACGCAATCTCTGTCCCTTCCGCTCAGCTCCTCACGTGCTACAACATCACAATTCTTTAGGACCACTCAGAGCTACTTTCGTGTGTATGTGTGCCAGTTCTGGGATTTGAACTTACGGCCTGGGCATTATCTGCCTCCATACAAATAGACAAGCATAGGCAGAAAACAAAACTTTTCTGCCTTGAACTGGACAGCCATGAACAGTGAAAATGGCTGCTACATGAACCCTGGTGCTTCTGCCAGACATTGCCAGTCCACTCTGCCTCTTATTCTCCTGGATGACTAGTATATCTCATCTTCTTCTAAAACTTCTGTCTTTTCTTGCTCTTTCTCACTCTTATCTAATGACCTGGCTAATGTCCTAGACCCACCTATTATCTGTTCTTAACACAGTAGCCAGAAAAATCCCCCAGACCTACACCTGATGATGTCATTCCTTATTCGAAACCCTGCACTGCCTCCCCCCCCCTTCCCCCCCCCCCCCCCCGCCGTCTCAGCACCAAACTGACACCTTCACAACCATAGATTCCTGCTGTAGGGTTTTTGCACATATACTCTCTGAACAGAAGATATTCCCCTCAAATTTCTGAATGCATCACTTGCTTGCTTCCCTTACATTGCTATTCAAATATCACCTAATTGTGAGCCTTCACTGAAGATCCTATTTGTAATACTTCCTACTTCCGGGGCTTTGTATCCTCTTGTGATTTGTGTGTGTGTGTGTGTGTGTGTGAGAGAGAGAGAGAGAGAGAGAGAGAGAGCATGAGCGCACATGTGATTTGATCAGTTGTGGGGCTTGGACTTAGGGCCTGGGCACTGTCCCTGAGCTTTTTGCTCAAGGCTAGTGCTCTGCCACTTTGAGCCACATCTCTATTTCTGGTTTTCTGGTTTTTCTGCTTTTCTGGTGGCTGGAGAGAAATCTCATGGGCATTCCTGCCCAGGTTGGCTTTGAACTGTGATCCTCAGATCTCAGCCTCCTGAGCAGCTAGGATTACAGGCATGAGCCACCAGTGCCTGGCTTCTGTTATTTTTGGCATAACATTGATTACTATTGGACATACTACATAGTTTACTTGTTTATTGTCTATCTCCCCTCATTAGACTAATTTCCTAGAACAGTGCCTGGCTCATAATAAGCGCAAAAAGTAAATATTTGTGAAGGAGGAAGGAAGGAAGGGAAAGGAAGGAGAAAGAAAAAGAGGGGAAGTGTTGCTGTGGCTTAAGTTGTAGAGTGCTAGCCTTGAGAACAAAGAGGCTCAAGGACAGTGCCCAGTCCCTGAGTTCAAGCCCCACAATCAACAGAAAGAAAGAAAGAAAGAGAGAGATATAAAGAAAGAAGAAAGGAAGGAAGGAAGGAAGGAAGGAAGGAGGGAAGGAGGGAGGGAGGAAGGGGGAAAAGGAAGGAGGGAGAAAAGAAAGAAGGAGAAAGCAAAGAAGGAAGAGCAGGAGGGAGGGAGTGGGGGAGGAAGAAAGGAAGGGAGAGAGGAAGGAATAAAAGAAGCATGAGGTTCAGCTTCCCATTTCAGCTTGAAAGAGGGTGCATAATTAGTTGGTGTAATTATGCTCACATCAGCAGCTGGCCTTCTCTTATTGTCTCAGGCTCACTTTCTCCCTGTCAGGGTCACAGCCCTTTTCCCACCCTCTTCTGGCCCCATGCCAGGCTTTGTCTCCAAGACACAGCACCTCAGTGCAACACTGAGGACAGACACAGACCGAGTTGCCAATGCTACCCCCTTAGTGCTGCTTATTTAGCCATGTAGCAGGCTTACTGAACTAAAAGTTCATTGTTGGCCTGTTGCTGTTTATTTTGATCTTGCAAATTAATTTCTGTGTAATCCAGTTCCCATGCTCTCCCATGCTCACTCAGTACTCATTGGCCCAGAGACCTCTATGATGAAGAGAAGATCCTAAGACAGTCTTAGGATCACTCAGGGAATTGAGGGGTCACCTAGTCCAGGGCCCTGACACCCTGTGAGATCTTCAGCAGCTCTGTAGATTCCCTGTTCTTTTTTGGGGTATGTTTTTTTCAGGCCAAGAGCCCACAGCTTTTATCAGCTTTTCCTGAGAGTTCACAGTCATGAAAAGGTTAAGAAAAAATTTAGTTTAGCTCCTTAATTTACATGAGAGAAAACACAGACCCAGAGAAATAGATTGGCCCATCTAGGATAGAGCTAGGATTCCAGCTCACGTCTTCTTGTTTGCAAGCCGCTAACAGACATGCACTTCCTTTGTAACAGGTCAGAACGTACCTTAAGTGACAGTCACCTTGGAAGCCCCTGGATTGAGCCTCTGGCTGGTGGCCCAGAGGCCTGCCTCATAGAAAGATGGGCTTTGGGCTATGCCCCTGGCCAGGGCTGTAGGAGCTCATTGTCCTTAGTATCCCTCAGGTAAAGCTGGAATGAAATGAATGCTAGACCCACAGGGTTTTGTGGCGAACAGTACAAGTCAGTGATAAGGAAAACCTGCCACTATCAGAACTAGCTCAACCTCGTAGCACCAGAATCAGCCATTCTGGCTCTTCTCCCTGCCATGGCATCTTCTCTGGCTCCTTTAGAGGAAAAAACTGAATGAATGCCTGCCTCAATCACTTCAGCTTACTCTCTCTATATGTATATGTGTGTGTGTATGTTCACAACTTCTTTCCCTCCCTCTGCTCCATTGGGAAAGATTCCACCAACTCTGTGTCCTTGACATTGAAACAGCGCTGAGCCCCCACTCTTCCGCTAGGGTGACAAGAGCTGGAGAGTTTCTGCTGACCCTATTTGGAGGTAGAACTCATGGCCTTCAGCCCTGACTTGTTCACATTTTTGGCTTAGCTTCTTCTAAGACATTTTGGACCGCAGCAATCCTTTCAATGACCTTACAAGGTAGAACTTTATCAATCCATTGATACAGAGGAGAATGGAATGGAGAGGTTAACTGATTTGGCCAAAGCCACAGAAGTGCTCAGCAGCGCTGGAAATGTTTGCCTCCAGACCTCTCCTTGTGGTCTTTGCATCATCAGGACTTTAAGGTAGACTTGGGGAGACTATCATACAGAAGTGAAGAGTTCATTTCCCCACTCCCTCTCTGTAGCAGCTTGCACTGATACCTTCACCCCTACCCCGAAGGGGCCGCTTAGATGAACTCTGGAGACTTGAGCGGGAGACAGTTGGTGCTGGTGTAGCAGAGCAACTGGGGTTGGAAAGGACACAAAACATCTCCTTGCTGCAGAGTACCTCTTTGCAAAGACCATCAACTCAGAGAGGCCTGGAGCAGTGGGCTGCTAGGGTTAGTCCTGATGCTGTGGCATGGCCCATGGGGAGGCTGAGCATCACTGTGCTGAACACTTAGCATCCACAGCAGCCACAGCTTTGCCTTCCTCCTGTCTCCCCCTGCCACATCCAGCCACTATCTTCCCCTTGCTCCCCTCCTGACTGGCCATTAGTCTCCCAGCTCCTCCCAGTTCCTGTGACTTGACTTTTTTTTTTTAAGATAAAAATACAAGTGGACCATTTTTAGCCACTCTAAAGGGCCACAAATACCATTCGCTGACTTTTCGTCTAAAAAAGCAAACACCCAGCAAAGACACTTCAGAAGCAAGTCAGAATTCCAGGAAGGGGGCAGGGGGACATCTCCAGTGATTGATCCTGTATGAGAAGTCACTAAGCTCTGCAAACACCTAAGGGGGTGCAATCAGGGTAGCAGGAAAGTCCCCCCCCCACTCCCCCTGCCCAGCCTCCCCACCCTCTACCAACCGTCATGGGTCACCTTCTATAGGGGGCAGATGCTGCGGAGTGGGGCTGCCTGCCTCCTGTCTGGGTGAAGCCTGGGCTCCTTCCACGTCTGCTAGGCTGGCTTCTTCCCCCTTCTGCTGAGAGCCTGAGGCCGCCTCTGTGGTGGTAGCTGCCTCCATGCTGGGCCTACCCAGAGGCTGTGTTCCAGCTGAAGGTTTTCCTCGGTTGGTGGTGAGGGAGGGGCTGAGCACCTGCTCTCCAGGCTGGCCTCCCAGGGTCCCAATCACAGGCTTATGTAAGTGGGCTGGCCTCTTCCCCACTACCTACTCCCAGCAGAAGGGTGAAATAGGGGCTAGGGGAAGAGGAGGATCAGACAACAGCCCAGAATAGCCACAGGAGGAGGGCCGAGGTAGCCCTGTTATCTTGGGAGAGAGATGACACCCCCTCACAGTACTGGGAGGGAGGGGAGAGATTGAGAACCGACCATCTGAACAGGACCTGGCCTCTGTCAGAGGATTGGATCACATCTCGGCTCCTGACCTCGGGCTCCTCCAGCAGTGCTCAGGACCCAAGATCACACCTTTAAGATCTCCTACATCCAATGAGCAGCAAAGCCTCATCAACATGACCTTCCCAGAGCCCCCTCTCCCACCTCACTCCTTCCCTTTCCAGCAGCTAGCCAAAGGCAAGGTGGTGCAGTGAGGGGTGATTTGGCTCCGCTTGGGCTCTGTCACCAGTTAGTTCTGTGTGTTGTCACACACCCTCTGAACACAGGCCTTGCACAATGCTAGGCAAGTGTTCCACTACTGAGCTACGCCCTCAGCCCTCAGTCAGGAATGTCTATTTTCATCGGTAAAATGGAGATAATAGAAACCGTAGGGTTGTTGTGAGGATTAAGAGAGGTAATCTTTGTGAAGTGCTTAGCAGACTAAGTGCTCCATAAATGGAAGCTATTTTTAGGTCAGGCCAGCATCCCCCCCCCTCCTGCCCCCCTCTTGAAAGCTGTCAATGGCTCCCTTCTTATGAGATAAAGCCCAAAGTGAGAGGCACCAGAGCGCAGGAGGGGAACTCCTTAACTGGAAGGGAAATGTGTGACTTCTGGCTGTACCACTCAGTCACCAGCTGGTGGCTCTGAGCCACAGGTCTATGGAACAAGGGCGGCCAGTGTCATAATTGGGCTGTGGAGAAAATGATTAAAATGCAGGCGGGGTCTGCTTGTATGCAGTGAGTGCTAGTTACCCACTAGTGGCCCATAGGATTTCCAGGTTTACCCTACCATGCATCACCTTTTGTCTGCTCCATAAGTACACTTTCCCATCACACTCCCACTTGCCATTTCCAGAAGCCAGTCTCCTCTGAATTTTTAAAATACAGACTTTAGTTTCAGAGTTGTTTCAGGGTGATAGCCAAGTTGAGTGGAAGTAGAATTACATCCCCCTCCCCCCTAGTTCTCCCCATGGGGAGAAGTCACTGTGGCAGAATGAATGAGCTTACTTATTTAGCCCTCAACTTCAGGGCACTCAGTAGGACCCTGGTAGTCCTTTGCTGTTTGTGCTCAGTCTCTGCAATCTATAGGTTCTGTGATTCAGGACAACCTATGGATATACTTCTGTGTGAGGAACTGATTTATAAGGCACTGGGATGTTTAAAAAGAGTAGTGTGGAGTTTGACTGGATCTGCACTTGTTCCATAACAGAACTATTTTCTTGCCTGACCCAATCAAGGTTACTACAAGTATGAGCAGTGCCCAAATCAGGCTGCTCTTTTATATACCACATTTTGTCATATTTTGATGAGGAAATGGTCCAGCTTTTACTCTTAGCCCTTTATTACACCAAAGGTGTGAAGAATCAAATTTAAAATTCCTTAGGCCTGCCATAAGAAAGTGAAATTTGTTATGTCTGGGGTAGAAGCAGGAATGTGCATTTTCAAAAGCAATCAACAGATACTGGTACAGGGAGTCTTAGAACATAATGTTCAGTTGAATTCCTGAAACTGAACTACCCCCTCTTCTCCCCCCCCCCGAAAATCATGAGGCATAGGAACTCTCTCACCAGTGGCTCACACCTGTAATCATAGCTACTCAGAGGAGGCTGAGATCTGAGGACTTAAGTTTGAAGTCAGCCTGGGTAGGAAAGCCCATGAGACTCTTATCTCCAATTAACCACCAAAGGATACCCAGAAGTGAAGCTCTGGTTCAAGTTGTAGAGTGCTAACTTTGAGCAAAACTGCTCAGGGACAGTACCTGGGCAGAGGAAGAAGAAGAAAAGGAGGGGGAGGAAGGAGAGGAGGAGGGGGAGAGGAAGAGTAAAAGGAGAGGAAGAGGGGTAGAGAGGGGGAGGAGAAGGAAAGAACAACAAGACCTTTGATCATTTCCAGACCAAGATACTGGGGTATTAAATGGTAATGTTGGCCAAAATGGCCAAAGGTTCAAGGCAGTTGGGAGGAACTTCTCGTACAGATACCATTTGGAATGATGCTACTCCTCATCGAAGGACTGAGGACTGTAAGAGCAACTTGGAAACCCTAGGAGGGACAGATACAAGGCTATGTTAAAGTTCTAGCATTGTCTCTTGTCAAACAGGCTACAAAGAATTCAGAAGACCAGTACTCTGTTGCTGTCCAGAAGGATGCACAGCAATGGAAACTAGAGAAGGTGCAGGTATGTGTGTGTGTGTGTGTGCGTGCACACGCACACACACACACACACGTGCACGCACTAGATTTTCTGAAGGGAGACCAAGAGAGCTGCACATAGGAGGCAGACTTTGGATCTGCATAAAGGACAACAAAAGGAAAGAATACAAACAAAAAAAAAGATTTTATCTAATATCCTTCATAATATAAATGCATAGGTCTGGCCTGTTTGTTTGGTGGCAGTTGTGGGGCTTGAACTCAGAACCTGGACATTGTCCCTGAACTTTTGTGCACAAGGTTAGAGCTCTATCACTTGAACCGCAACTCTGGCTTTTTGATGTGTTAATTGGAGATAAGAGTCTCATGGACTTTCCTACCCAGGCTGGATTTGAACCTTGATCCTCAGGTGTGAGCCCCTTGGTGCCCAGCCAGGCCTAGTTTTTAATGGGCTTCTTTTCTAGTTGCTTGAGTTTGATTTCTGAAACTAGAAAATGGAGAAGCTATCACATCAACAAACTGTAGCTTAGTCATCTTGGTAGGTCAGGTAACAAAGTCCAGTTTGTTTATTTCTAACCCAAATACTGCAAATATACAGAAAATTACTGGTACAAAGTTAAACACATCCAGATTTATTTACACAATGCTAAAGAAATTTGAGTTTTATTTTCATCTTGTGGGATTTCATTATGGGATCTGGCTTTGAACTTACATGGCCATTGAAACTTGATTATCCCACCTCACATGCAATTTTCTGTTCCGAGGGAGCAGAAAGCTTGAGTGTTTAGCACACATGCAGTAGTGATCTTAACACTGCTTTACACTCTCATTAGGAAGGCAGCGTCCCACAGCTTGGAGAGGGACCACATGCTCAGAAACAGAGACAAGAGGGGGATGAGCAACAGGCACATGGGGACCCTGAGCATTTCTGTGCAGGAGGATAAGAAGAGAACAACCCAAACCTCCTCTCTGGAGGTTCAAACATGGGAGGTGGTAGAACCACCAGGGGACGGTCAGTCATCCCGCCACACCCGAGGGCATGCGGAAGACAAACACTGCATTAAAGATTTGAGGCCTACCAATAAATCATTAGCATGTACACTATACAGTTTATATATGTATATATGTACATATGTATATATATATAGGTACAGGTTAGTTTATGTTATTCCATATAAACAAGAACGCTTAAGAATGTACTGGTGTGCAAAAAAATGTATACAGCCAGTTGCTGACAGTTTCAAATCAATTTTCTAATTCTTCATGTTAAAATGCAAGGAACCAAAAAAGTCAACACACTCCTATTTCAATTCTCTTTCACCACCCTGAGGGCCAGACAGGCCAATCAGTGGCTGATTCTTACTATACCTCCCTGTCACTATATCATGTAGCAAATATTAAACTTTGGTTTATTCAAAGGACATTCAAGTCCCTGTTAACTTCCCTGCTGGAAGGTAGGTGGTAGAAAGTTGAAAAGCTGCATCCTTTCCTGTTTCAGTCGTTTCAACTACCTGGCTTAATGTGGACATGACAGTGCCATGGTGACCACAAACAGATGTGATCTTAGGAGAGCTCTGAAGAGCTCTCCTAAGAGCAAAGAGAAACTCTATCTAGATGGTTTGGAGAGCAACTAAATGACTAGAGGGACCAGCCACGTCACCGAGGGTTCATGTGGATGGCCCGTGCGCTGTTCTCCATCCTGGTATCATGACCAAGGCTGTGGGATGTCTAGCTATGGCACTGGAGGTGGCCAGGATATACTATTCTGCCACCCCAGCACAGAGACTCAGTAAACCTACAACTAGGAGAGTAAGAAAGGCACCAACCAGCTAATTCTTTCAGAGTCTGCTCAGTTCCAAGCTTCAATGATTGAAACTCTGTAGAAATTCCCAAGCCAACTGTGCAGCATCCAGGACTCTTCTGAGTAGTGTTACCACTCAAGTCCCAGCTGAGGCATGTCTAGAACTGGTCTTTGCTCTCAGTAAAGCCCTCAAATCCCCAAGTCTCAAGCAGGAAGGATGGTGAGTTCTGGATTTAAGAGCTCAGACTACTTGGACAGTCTGGTATAACAAGGCTAAATTCCACTGCTCAGGCCTCTAGAAACCACCCCTTTTGCTGCCATCTTGCTGCAAGTTTCATGATGACACACGTTAGTTTTACCTTTAAGGATAGTATCCCCAGGCTGAGCATCAAAAATCAGATTTTTTTTTTAAAGCTCCAATGGATTTAGATTCTTTTACCCTCTGGTCAAGAGCACACTTCTGTACTATATGACTGGTACAGAAAGCTAATTTGAAGGCAATTCCCAAGCCAACAAAGCCAACCAGCCAGCCATGGCTCAAAGCAGGAGGATGGAGACCACCCATCCATGGTAACTCGCTTTTAGGCTCTTCCACAGGTACCCTCCAAGAGGAGAGGAGCTGCTCCTGAAGACCCATTCAAAATGCATCATTTGTTTTGTTTTCATCCATGAAAAACATGAGCATAAAAATTTCTATTTTCCAAAAATAAAACAAAAGGTCCCTAAATAATGCTCTGAAAGAAATACACGGATCCTTACCCGATAGTACAAGTCATTCTAAGAAAGAAGGCCTGCTCCAAGCAGTCAGCACTTGCCCATACAACAATTTTCCAGGTTTCTGAAACAGTTAGTGTTGCCTGTAACACATTCAGAGGCCCTGGATAACTGACTCAACTTGGTTCCTGCGCTCAAGCACTAGAATGTCAGTGGGTTCAAGTGGCATAATGCAAGTAAAAATGCTCTGAAAACTGCCAAGTTCTACAGAAATCCTAGATATTATTATAAGCAAAGAGCCTTCATCTTAGATGGTTAGAATAGAATATTAATCTTCCTAATCTTAAAACTCAGGGGAGCATAACTATACATTGGCACATCTGCTCACATCTGTCTGGGTTTATGCTGGGAGAAAATGTGTGCTGTAAATAGCTCTTTTCTGGGCATTAAATGAAAATTCACTTTGGGTAGGAGGTCACGGTGGGACAGAAGCTGACACTTTGATCATTTATAAACTGGTCTATCTCTAGAATTATTTAAAAAATTTTTAAATCATGCAAAATGAAAGAGCTAAAAGAACATTCTACCCATAGCAAATACTTCCCTAATTTCATTTTCTAATGGAAGCTCCCTGACATTTAAATTTGCTGCAGTTTCAAATCTCTACATCCATTCCCCCCACCCTCTTTCCCTGCTGCTGTTCATCCATTCTGAGGAGGATAGTACCTAGCCATCTGCTTGCACATTCTGACAAAACTTAATTTGGCACATTTACTTTTTGCTGGCTTTTAGCTACAAAATGAACTAGCAGCAAAATGGCATCTACCAAAGAATGTCTCAGTCATAATTACTGGGAGAAACTGTGACCAGCACAGGAGGAACAGTGAGACAGAAGACTGGCCATACTACATACCTGTGATAGCAAATATTCAAGCTATATTAATGCCAATTATTGCAGCTTTCCATTACTATATGGCCACCCAAACTGGAACTCCATTCTACAATTTATTTAATTTGGAAAAATTTCAAGTGAAAATCTTAAAATTTAATATGAGTCCAATGTATCACACAAAGCATCATCTCACCGGAAATGTGTTTTCAATTGATTCAAAAATTTCATACTAACAAATAACCTGGCAAAATTGCAGAAAAGGATGAAAAGAATAGCTTGATAATACAATTCTGATAACAAAGTCTATAAATCTGAAAACATCCCTAGGAAAAGGCAAATAAACAGCCATTGCAATGGTTTGACAACTAGCCAACATAATGGGCAAAAAGGGGACATGGAAGACTGGGATGGTCTGTCCTTGGGGCTGTACTGTGCTCAATGATGAGCTCCAGCCAAGAGATGGCTGAGCCTGGGCAGACTTCCAGACCAAGCTGTACCCTGTCCTTGAGCAAGTCCACTGGCATATACACAAAGCCCAGCCTGAAAGATTTCAGAAGCAGCCAGAGTTTTGCCTTTAATAGGTGCTAAATCTAGTCAATTCTCTGTTGCTCCTTTCTTCCTGCCCCAAGTTAAAAATATTGCCCTGTTAAGTTTTCCTGATCTAGTATCTTGGAAGCACATGGTTAAGTTAATTGCCAAAGGGCAATTAACAAGAGTATTGCCTAATTAAACAAGAGAAAAGAAAAATCACTGTGGCCTATGGTCCCAAGGGGGTAAAAGTTGCTGCGTGGGGATCTGGGTAAGGAGCTGGCATGCAGTGTTCTTAGAGCAGGGCTGGCCCCAGATGGAGAAAAGCGGACCAGGATATACCAGTCACTCCTGCCTCTATTTTCCTCTCTGTGGCTGTTCCACATGGCCAGCAGGGCCCAGGGACAGCACCTGGTACTACGTGAATGTTGATGCTTGAGCCAGCAGAGAGGTGCAGCACAGACCAGGCAAGTATGGGGTTAGTGAACAATTCCTTCAAATTCCACTTCATTTCCCTCAAAAACAAGCAAACAAAACCCCAGAACCCATACTTTAACAAAAGACAGAACTTGAAATAAAAGGTTAAAGAATTTAAAATCCCCACCCCCCCCTTCTCAAAGCCAATTGTTGAAAGTGTTCAGGGTTCCCCACCCCACCCTGCATTTCTTTAGTGTAGGTCCTTTTGGCTTTGATGGAAGCAGCAGAACCAGAGCTGGGTCCCTCGCAAATGGGAAATTGTTTATTTCCCCAAGTCGGAGCCACAGGGAGTGTAGGAGGTACTGTGGTTCCGACATCCATGCTGGGTCCCAGCTCCTTTGAAGAGCTATTCCAGGAGGTCCTGAAAGAGAGACAGGTACCAAATTATTGGCAGATTTAAAACTTCCTATTTTGAAAGCAATCACCTAGTGTCTGAGTTTAGTAAATCCTGAAGTTATCAAGATATTGCTTGGAGATTATACCTTTGTTGGCTCCAAACATTTATAAAGACTTTTTTTTTTGTCTGTCGTGGGGGTTGAACTCTGGGCCTGAGCACTGTCCCTCAGCTCTTCAGCTCAAGGCGAGTGCTCTACCACTTGAACCACAGCTCCACTTCTGGCTTTTTGGTAATTAATTGGAGATAAGAGTCTCACAGGCTTTTCTGTAGGTGCTGGCTTCAAACCTTGACTCTCAGAAGTTGGCCTCCTGAGTAACTAGATTACAGGCATGAACTACCAGATCCTGGCTCCTCATCATATTTTGATCATAACTAGAAGAATAGCTTTTATTTTCCTATCTTTGGATGTCTCAAGAAGAAGCAGTCTTACCTCATCTGAGTCATCATGGTAGCCACTTTTATTAGCGTGGGAGGCTGTGTCCAAAGCATCCACCCCATCGGCCTCTGCGTGCTGCTGCAGCACAGAATATCGGTGCACCAGGAACCTGTGGGGAGACCTCTCTTAGCCCTCACTTGGTGAGTAGACTCATTTCTTTTCTTTCTTTCTTTCTTTTTTTTTTTTTTTTTGTTGGTTGGGGGGCTTGGACTCTGGGCCTGGGTGCTGTCCCTCAGCTCTTCTGCTCAAGGCGAGCGCTCTACCACTTGAGCCACAGTGTCACTTCTGGTTTTCTGATTGGTTTATTGGAGATAAGAGTCTCTCAGACTTTCCTGCTTGGGCTGTATTTGAAGCATGATCATCAGATCTCAGTCTCCTGAGTATTAGGATGACAGGCATGAGCCACTGACACCTGGCCTTTTTTTTTGTTTTTGCTTTTGTTGGTTGTGGGGCTTGAACTCTAGGTCTGGGCACTGTCCCTGTCCCTAAGATCTTCAGCTCAAGGCTACCACTTTGAGCCACAGTGCCACTTCTGGTTTCCTGGTGGTTAACTGGAGATAAGAATCTCACGGATTTTCCTGCTCCAGGATGGCTTTGAAAAGTGATCCCCAGATCTCAGCCTCCTCGGTAGCTAGGATTATAGGCGCAGGTGCTTTTATACTCGTGGAATGAGTCACAGGCAGTACAGTTGACACACAAAAAATACAAGCTATGAGAAGGTTTGAGCCTGCTTTTTCTGAATTCTCTTACCTTCCACCACAGACATATTTCTTCACAATGAGCACTCCTGCGACAACCGTGACCAGCATTAATCCCACGATGGCCAGAATAATGGGAACAGAATTGGACTTGGAATTCTTGATAAAGTAAAAGAGAAACACAAAAGCTTTTAGGCATGGGTATTCTAGGACTTCACTCAAAGTGGCTGTTCATTCCCCTCCTTTCTCTGAGTGATCTACAGTCCAAGCCATTTGATGATGGTACTTTTCCAACCTGCCAGGATGGACCATCTCAATGTTACCAGGAGACCATCACAACTGGCAGAGGAAAATCTCAACTACAGCTGCCTGGAAACTGCGAGCACAGGGGTTTCAATGTCAAAGTTACACTGAAAGCCCTGGCAACTGCCTAGATAACACATGGTAACAGTGGCTGTTCTATTCCCAGTTTACAAGTCTTGGAAGTTAGGGTGGAGTAGGAAAGGGAAACTAACAGTAGTAGGCTGAACTAATCTAGAACAGAGCTGTCATCTGGGAGGATGCGTGTGTCCATGCCATACCAGGGAGGCCACTATATAGGACATCAAGATTTATGTTTTTACTTATTTTTTGGTATGATTTTGAAATAAGCCTTATCACATGATTGTTTGCGTGTAACCTACCTGGGTCTGGGTGGGAGATAGGAAGTGTGTGTTTTCAGTGTATCCAAGAGGAGGCGGAGCTGGATTCTGGGACAAGCTGTGTCCCTGTGAGCGGGAGTCCTGTGCAATCACACACACAAACACTCTAAGGACAACCACCAGCAGTCCAGGGCAGGGGTGCAGAGAAGGAGGAACGTTCCCCCTTACAAATACACACACCCACACACTCTTCTCCCATTGCCTCCTGAGTCCCACCCTTTGTCAGACTCTCACCCCAGAAGAGAGGAGGTGACTACAGATTATCCTGCTCAGCCTTTCAAATTACAGACGGGAAACAGGGACCTCCAGCTTAGCTCCCTGAGTCACATTGCTGTCCCACTGCTTTTACTTCTTTATTTTTTTTTAATCAAGAATAAATATCAATAGCTGGGCTCCGGTGGCTCACACCTGTAATCTTAGCTAATCAGGAGGCTGAGATCTGAGGATCGAGGTTTAAAGCCAGCCTGGGCAGGAAAGTCTATGAGACTCTTATCTCCAATAAACTACCAGAAAACTAGAAGTGGTGCTGTGGCTCAAACGGTAGAGAGCTCGCCTTGAGCTGAAGAGCACAGGGATAGCACCCAGGCTTAGTTCAAGCCCACGACCAAAAAAAAAAAGAATATCAGGAAGTTTCCTTTTCTCCAAACCCCAACCACATAGTTCAGTTCCATAGTTTTGTAATTAGCTTTATAAGTTGCCTCTATACCAAAGCATCCCACTGCACCACAGATCAGGTTTGCATTGTGAACACCTTTGCCATGACTTAGTACAAAAATCCACCCTATATTGTACAATGCTCTTACCAGCACTCTGGGTCATGGTGCTTCTTTTTGTTATATATTTAAATTTTTCAGCCAATATGTAATATTTATACATAGGAATAGAGTACAGTATGATATTTCAATGTATACACATGCATCACACACTGATGGCCAACCTTCTTGAGTGTTTTACCTAAATGGCTCTGAAGTTCAGGAATTTCTACAACTCTGCTTCTAGGATTTTTACAGTCCTACAGAATACTAGTTATCCCCACCAAGAAAGAGCTTTTTATGAGATGAGCTTATTGGGTCATGCCATGAGTCCTTTACCCTAATAGTTTCCTGTGTACAGGTATAATTTTGATCTTTTCTGACAGAACATGAAATCCCACTTGTACCTAAAATCTAGATCTGTTTGAACATACCTGCTTTTGGGGATTCAAAAAGTTGCTTGTACATTTCTTTTTCAAGTCCTTTACTTCTCGAGCTGGATTCATCCCACCTTGGCATCTGTCTCCTGGAATTTTCCGGTATCTGAAAGGCAGAAGAGAAAGTTTGTTTACAGGGGTTTGTACTTCCTGGTAGTGGCTGTATTGCTTTCTGAGAAAGGTGTGCAGTTTGTGCTCAGAGCTGCTGGGCTGTGGTAAAAGCCCTTGGGGCACCTGGTAGAGGCAGGATGGCCAAACCTGAGCCGTGGCCAGAATGGCAGTAGCAATAGAGTAACCACATCTGCTACAGGAATTGTAGGCCAATGTAATTTGATAAGCCATGGAAAATATGGAGCCTCAAGGAAAACAAGTTTCTCAAAGTCTACCAAGTCTTTTTACAGCAGTGGCTATGACAGAGAGGAATTGGAATCTAAAATGACAAATGGGACACAACAAGGACATCTCACCCATTTGTTGTCAGATGTTCTTCCCTTCCATACAGACAAAACTCTAGGTCATGCCCCTTTAGTTCTGGCTGTTCCACACACTCTGAATCATTTTCTGGACGGAAGTAGCCAAAATCACTGCAAGAGTCAACATTAAGACAGTTTTCAAAGTGTTGGAGAGACAGTAAATGACTAGCTATGATGGGTTTATGTGGAGTAATGAATTATTAATATTCTAGTCTAAAACTCAATTTCTTTTTTTTTGGACAGGAAACATCCTTCTTGGTGTTTTACCTTGCCATTTTCTATAATTTTTTTCCCCTCTTCCTTGTTTATATACCTTTACTATTGCTAGGTCAAGATTGCTGGGGCTGGTTGCTGGCTCTGTCCAATGGTTAACTGGTTAACTATCTGGTGTGATTATACTATTTGGCCAATTATTAACGCTTGGTTCTCTTTCTGTGTCTCAATTTCTTTGATAAGAAGCAGCACTCTCACTTCTTATTGAGAAGGATTTCAATATTGTTTTGTGTTTGTTTATCTCTATAAGGTATCAGTCTTTTGCTTTCTCTCAGACAGGACAGGGGCTTTTGGGGGGATCTCGGTCAATATAGGTACCAAAGGAAATCCTCCAGGGTACAGTGGCAGATGGATGGCTGCCTGGTTACAACGTAGTCTCGACCATTCTGACAGATGGATGACTTGCGTAGCCTCAGGTACTGCTCTTTATAGCCCAAGATGCAGCCATCTTCATGATCCCCAGGGTCTGTAGAGTGTGCCAGCCATACAGTGTAGTCTTCTTCTTCACCTAAACGACAGATACACTGTTCAGAAGCTGTGCAGCACACATCCCACCACAGGAGGCAGCTGCCAGGCTGTAGGAGGAATGAGGGGAGGGAAGACCGGAATGTGTGACTTGATCTATTGCTCGACTGTGGAACTGCGAACAAAAAAGTGGCATTATTCTAGAGCCTCCCAGTAATTGCATTCCTTTGTGCCAAAGGAGGGTTCTTGCCATTGCATTATTCTATATTAGCAAAAACTTCACTTGTTTTGAAGTAGAAAGCTGCAAAGGGGGTTCTAGTTTCTTCCAAAGTGAGACACTGCTGTCTGTCTTACTTTACCCATGCCCTCCATCCAGAGCAACTGGCAATTCCTACTTCAGAGAATCTTTGCTCAGAAGAAAATACTAATTACCCAGGAGCATTAAGTTCAATTTCCCATGTCTTAATTTGCATTAAACAGAAGGGACAACAGCCTCTTTTGGATTGATGATGACAACATTCCCTGGCTCAATATATCCTTTTATCCTTTCATTCATTCCTGGAAAACCTACTCAGAAGCTATGACTTAAAGACTGGGGATTAGTTTTTTTATCCTTCAGGATATGAAGACCAGCCACAAAGCCAGCTAGAGAGCAGGTGCTTAACAAATCTTTTAATGATGTTAAAAAATTTTAGAGATAACTGTAGAACTGCCTGCTGAGGGGAAAACTCCAGCCAGTTTTTCTTAATAGCTTCTTTAATGACTTTAGATGACAATAGGCTTCAGTTTTAAAACTGTACTTAAGCATCTTGTAAAAAAAAAGAAGTAAGGTCCTAAATAAGAGCTCTGTTTCTTTGGGAGTTGCTGAACTAACACCTGAGGAAAGGGACTAACATTCAACAAAAACATCTAGGAACTTTAAGTCTTTGGTTTTATCCCACCAATGTGTGAACAAGGTCACTCTTTCTCCAGTATTTTCTTTTGTGCTTCACTTTTCTCAGTGTAATGTCAGCATCTTTGGCAAAGAGTCTGGGTTTGCTTTTGACCACTCTCTGTACATTGTCAGCCTCTTTCTGAAGCCATTTTCTGGGCCTCTATCATGTCTTCTAGTGTGAAGTCACACCACTTTGAAGAGATCAGTGTGAACTTCATTCTTACCCAGTGGTTGTGACTGACAGTCAAGCTAAAACTTCAACATTTTGAGAGGTGACACAGTCAACACTTTCCCCTCTTTACAGTCCACTACCTTTGGCTACACCCCTGAAATGTCAAAATAATTTTAGACAAGAATACACATGTACAGGGCTGGGAATTTGGCTCAGTGGTAGAGCACTCGCCTTGCATGCTTAAGGCCCTGGGTTCGATTCCTCAGCACCACATAAGCAAAAAGAAAATAGCCGGAAGTGGCACTGTGGCTCAAGTGTTAGAGTGCTAGCCTTGAGCTGAAGAGCTGAGGGACAGCACCCAGGCCCAGAGTTCAGGCCCCACGACCGGACCCCCCCCCCAAAAAAAAAAAAGAATACTCATGTACTGTTCCTATAAGGCAGAAAAAAAGTCTCACAAAGGTACAAGAGATCTTTCTACCATTGTGAGAGCTACACTGTCCTATCAGGTAGCCCTAAGCCACAGCTACTTCGGGCTGAGAGTTGCTCTAAGTATTAAGCCTATACCAGATTTCATAGACAGAAAACAAAATGTGAAATATTTCAACAACCTTGTCTCAATGTTTACATGTTTTAGTTATAGGAAAATAGAAATCTGTCAATAAAATGGATTTCACCTTTCTTTTTACTTTTATAATGTACTTGACAGGATGATTTATTTTATATATGTAGCCCTCATATTTCTCTTCACAGTGCTAGTTCTAAGAAAATCAGCTGTTCTGATTCCACTGCTTGATCATTTGCACAAACACCTTCCAACCTCAACCTCTTTTTTTTTTTTTTTGCCAGTCCTGGGGCTTAATTCAGGGCCTGGGCACTGTCCCTGAGCCTCTCTGTGCTCAAGGCTAGTGCTCTATCACTTGAGCTACAGTGGTACTTCTGGCTTTTCTCTTTATGTGGTACTGAGGAATGGAACCCAAGGCTTCATACCTGCTAGGCAAGTACTCTACCACTAAGCCAACTTCCCCGCCCCCCAACCTCTTTTTATATGCATATATGTTTATCCCAGCTAAAGGGGATTAAACTGGATGATTAGGGAAGAAGAGTCTTAGAAAATTCCAGGGGAGATACTCACAATTCCTTTCAAGAATATCTTTAAAGTCAATGGTGTAGGAGACCCATTGGCGGGTGAGGAAAGATTCTGTGAAGCCCCAAATGCTGATATTCATGGACCTGGCTCCAGGTTCTGATGCTAGACCAGTGAAATAGATGGGTTCCCTGGTGAATGTGTAGGTTTGCCAGCATTGACCTTCATCTGTGGAGAACCTGAAATAACCATTAAAGAAAGATCATGACAGACAACTAATGTACTGGGAATATCAGGAAAGCACTATGGCTGTTTGGTCCCCAACACGAGAAAACCCTGTATTTAAAGGTCATGATTTACTTGCTGACCATTATTTTAATTAAATATTATTATTAATATTAATTTTTGGTGCCAGTCCTGGGGCTTGAAATCCAGGCCTGGATGCTGTCTCTGAGCTTTTGTGCTTAAGGCTAGTGCTCTACCACTTAAAACAGCAGCTCCACTTCCAGCTGCTTTTAGTAGCTAATTGGAGATAAGAATCTTATCGAATTTCTTGCCTGGGCTGGTTTTGAACCACAATCCTCAGAACTAAACCTCTTAAATAGCTAGGATTACAGGTATGAGCCACTGACGCTCAGCTCTTTTATTATTATTATTATTTTTGTTATTATGGGCCATGAACTCAGGGCCTAGACTCTGTCTCTTAGTCTCACAGGGATTTTTCTGCAGCTCTCAGATCTCAGCCTCCTGAGTAGCTAGGATTAGAGGTGTGAGTCACTGGCACTTGGCCTATTTTAATTTTTAAAGTATTTCATTGTGATGTGTCTATGTGTGCATATAGTGTGCTCTGATCAAATTCACCCTTATATTACTCTTTCCCCCACCTCTCCTTTTTATTCATTCATTCCTTTATTCATTTATTCATAAGTTTTTGATAGTTCTCTGTTCTATTTTTATATATGCATATAAAATGCTTTGAGTGTATTAGTTAACAAAGCAGAGGAAAAGGTACATTTACAGAAAACATGGATGTAAATACCTTTATAAAATTTATTTAAAGAAAAGAAAAGGTAGTGCACTGACTCAAGTAAGAATGGGCTTCTAAACTTTCTAAAAATTATCTTCAAGTAGTTGTACAAAGGGGTTTCAGTTTAACATGCCTATTTCTATGTACAATGCATCATAATCAGTATTACTCTTTCTATCATTCTTTCCCAGGATTCTAAATTAATAAACTCAAATTACATGATAAAAACTTGTACCTAAGTAATTTCGAATCTAGAGTGCTTGACCATTTCTGTAATATTTTTGTTGAGAAAAATATTTTTTAAATGTGATAAAACTTGTTAGCTAGAAGGGGTCAGAGGGAAAAGCAACCCATTTATTTCAAGTTGCTCTAAACACAATCACTTCCAGTACTTTCCCTACAGCTCAGCAGAGTGCAAAAATCTGAAACAGGGTCTGACTTTCTCATCAGACAAAGAATATTCCCAGGGCTGCCCTGTATGTAGGTATGCGTGGGGAGCTGAGCTCATGCATACTTAATCACATTGATAGGATGGCTGCTGTGCTCGATGGCCACAATGATGCCTCCAGAATCCAGGATGGTATAGTGGTGGGGTCCTTCCAGCATCTTTGTCCAGGAGTAACCCCCATCATCTGAGATGTAAACATCTGGGACCATCACTGAGATGGCATCCCCAACACTACCTGCAATATAAAGCACCAACTCATCAGCACACACTGACAATGAAAGAGAGAGGATTTACTGACAGAATAATTCTGATTATTGCTCATCAGGTCTTTGACAGTAGAACTGGAGACCACTAAAACTTGGTAGAGGAAGAAGTCACTTCACTCTCCTAGGTAGAAGTCTATTTAAAAATCAAAGCAAGCTGGGAGCCTGTGGCCACACCTGTAATCCTAGTTACTCAGGAGGCTGTGAGCTGAGGATTGTGGTTTGAAGCCAGCCTGGGCAGGAAAGCCCTTGAGACTTTTTATCTCCAATTAAAAAAAAAAGGGGGGGGATGGAACTGGGCTGTGGCTCAAGTGGTAGAGTGCTAGCCTTGAGCACAAAAGCTCAGGCACAGTACCCAAGCCCTGACTTTAAGCCCCAGGACCAGCACCAAAAATAAATAAATAACTTAAGCATTGTTATAGTGCAGGAAATTTCTACTAGGGGTTAAAGACATGGCTCAGTAGGTAGAGTGCTAGCCAATGAGCAAAAGTGTCAGGTACCTATTTTGAGTCCTGGTTTCGGACTAAAAAACAAAAACATTCTACTAAAGAAATACAAAGGCCATTTGCAGTGATTTTTCTCACAGGCTATGCTGAGTTTCTCTGTGCTCAGCTACTTCTGTCCATGGTGGCGGGAGGGAGGGTGCTTACCGTGAGCGATGACTATGCCCACAGCATTAGGTTCTGAGAGTGGAGCCATTGGAACATTCAGTTTTTGGGAGATGCTGTAAGAAGCATGAATATGAAGGCTACACTGTGAAGAGAAATCAAAGCTCAGATTAAAACCAAAGGCACAATGTCCCTACTCATTTCACAGAACCCCCAACACTTTGAACTTGACCCAGACTTCAGTGGAGGTAATCTGATTTTTAAATTGTAGAAAAGTATGTATTTCAAAAAAATTATCATTTTAGGGCTGGAAAGGTGGCTCAGTGGTAGAGCCTTGCATGCCTGAGGCCCTGGGTTCGATTCCCCAGCACCACATAAGCAAAAAGAAAAAAGCCGGAAGTGGCGCTGTGGCTCAAGTGGTAGAGTGCTAGCCTTGAGCTGGACAGCGCCCAGGCCCAGAGTACAGGCCCCACGACCGGACCCCCCAAAAAAACAATGATCACTTTAGCTTTTAAAGTATATATTTCATGAGTACTAAGATTATTCTTTAATTTTTTTCTTTTATTGTTATTTAAAAGGTGATGTACAGAGGGATTACGGTTAAGTCAAATAAAGAATACATTTCTTTTTGGACAATGTCACACCTTCCCTCACACAGTATATTCTTTTTAAAGAACATTTAATAATCTTGCAAAACTGAAACTATTACCCTTTAAGCAACAAGTCCTACTTCTGCCTCCCAATAGCCCTAGCAATCACTGTTCTAATTTCCATTTTTCTACTGACTACTCGAGGTACCTCATATATATGAAATTATATAGTATACGTTTTGTGGCAGGTTCATTTCACTTAGCCTTTTCTGAAGGGTCATCTCTATTGTTAGTGTATGCTAGAATTTTCTTTTTTTGTCAGTTGTGGGTCTTGAACTCTGGGTCGGGACGCTATCCCCGAGCTCTTTAGCTCAAGGCCAGTGCTCTACCACTCAAGCCATAGCACCACTTCCAATTTTCTGGTGGTTAAGTGGAGATAAAAGTCTCATAGACTTTCCTGTCTGGGATGGCTTTGAACCACGATCCTCAGATCTCAGTCTCCTGAGTAGCTAGTATTATAGGCATGAGTCACTGGCATCTGGCTCAGAATTTCCTCTCCTTTAAAGATTGGATAATATTCCATTGTGTGGCATTGGAACTAAGAAGTGAATTTAGTAAAGTACCAGTATACAAAATCAACATACAAAAATATACACTAGCAACTTCATATACAAAAAAGAAACCAAGTATTACTCACTAACACCCACTTATGATAGCATAAAAAAGATTAATGGCAAAAGCAAGAGGAGGGATGGTAGGATGAAAAGTACATTGATCAGTGGCACTAAGTTATAGTAAAAAAAATCCTGGCATGCTTTTGCACAGTAGAGTAACATACTGATAATATTCTGCATGGTTCCAAAAGCTAGAATAAAATTTGAATTTTTTTCATAAAGAAATAACAATGCTTGAGATCACAGATAGGTTTATGATGATTAGAACAGTACACAATATATACAAGTATTCAAATGTTATATTGTATGCCATATACATGTATTAATTCTATGTATCTATTAAAACTTTTGATTAGAAAGTCATGCTCTGAAGCTCAGCACAGTGGCTCATGCCCGTAATCCTAGCTCCTAGGAAGTATTCAGTAAGTGGAGATGTAAAGAATTGTGTTTCCAGACTAGCCAAGCAAAAAGTTCATGAGATCCCAGCTCAACAAATAGCTGGATGGGAGGGTGTGCACTGGTCATTCCAACTTCACATGGAAGTATAACTAGGAGGGTCACAGCCCAGGTTGGCTCAAATATAAGCATGAGAGCCTATTAGAAAAATTACAAAAGCAAGTACTAGAGTGCCTGTCTGGCAAATAAAAGGCCTTGAGTTCAAACTATAGTACTGACTAAATAGATAAATTAATTAATAATAAAATAATAAATTTATTTCTAAAAATAAATTTATTTTGGGTAAATACTGAGAAATGACTAAAGGCATAGCTCAAATGGTACAGTGCTGGCTTTGAGCATAAAAGCTCAGGAACAGTGTCAAAGCACTGAGTTCAAGACCAAGGACCAGCACCTCCCCCCCAAAAATATTGAAACAGCAACCTACAGAACAGGACAAAATATTAACAAAGTAATTCAGTTTAAAAATGCACAAGGGCCAGGCACCAGTGGCTCACACCTGTAATCCTAGCTACACATGAGGCTGAGATCTGAGGATCGCGGTTCAAAGCCAGTCCAGGCAGGAAAATCCATAAAACTTCAATTAACCACCAGAAAATTGGAAGTGGTGTGGCTCAAATGGTAGAGCACTCACCTTGAGCTGAAGAGCTCAGGGACAGCACCCAGGCCCAGATTTTAAGCCCCATAATCAACCAACAACAACAAAAAAAATGCATAAGGATGTGAATAGCCATTTTTCAAAAGACATATACTAGCCAGAGGGCATATGAAAAACAAATGCTCTCAATATAACTAATCATGAGGGGAATGAGAGTAAAAAATCACAATACTATATCTGCTAGAATAGCTGTTAACCAGAAGACAAAATATAAGTGTTGAACATGTGAAGAAAAGGGAACTTTTTTGTGGGGGTTTGAACTCAGGGTTTTAGTACTTACTAAGCAGGTACTTTACCACTTGAGTCATGCCTCTAGTCACTCTCAGTATTTTCCCAAAGGAAAGGAGATCAGAATCTCAAAGAAATATCTGTACTCCCCTGTTCATTGCAGGTTAACTCATAAGAGCCAAAATACAGACTCAATCTAGCTATCCTTTTGATGGATGCATGGATGAATGGATAAAGAAAATGTGATACATATATACAATGAGCTATTATTCAGCCTTAATAAAAAGAAATCCTGATATTTGCATTTACATGGGATATTATGGTAAATAAGCCAGGCTCAGAAAGACAAATACTGTGTGATCTCATTTATATGTGGAATTTAAAAAAAGAAGAGAAGAGTGAGTAGATGTTGGTCAAAGATTACGAAGTTTCAGTTATGCAGGAGGAAAAAGTTCTGGGAAGCTAAAATCAAGATGGAGAAGACTATGGTCTATAAAACTGCATTGCATGTTTGAAATTTTTTTGCTGAGAGTAACTCCTAAATATTCTCACCTTTCACACAATTAAAAGGTAACTGTGAGGTTATATTAATTAGTTTGATTCTGGCACTCATTTTACAATGTATACATATGCAAAACACCACATTGTACATTATAAATAAAGATCATTTTAATTTATCAATTATACTTTAATAAAGCTGATTAGAAAATAAATGTCAGAAAGCAGTTGAGGTCAAGGCAGGACAAAAATTAGTGTTCTCAAATGGTAAATATGTTATGTATATTTTACTACATAAAAAAGTTCAAATTAAGAAAATGAAGAAAAGTGATTACTAGTTCTAACTGGCTGGGTACAGAGGAGGGTTACGATTTCCATCAATTCTAATTTTTCAGGGTTTGGGTACAACTTCAACCAGGGCCACTGACAGGGAAGGTACATGCAGCATGTTTAAGGCATAGCAGTGGTTTCAACCAGGGATGTCAGCAATGAAATGCACAGTAACAATAAAAAGATGAGAAGGGGGAGGCCCAGCCTTGATTCACAGGCAAAGAGCAACCACAGACTCTCTTAGGAGGAATCAAGCATGAAAGCCTGAGGTGGCAAAGCAAAAAAAGAAGCTTCTATCTGCCCCTGGTAAAGCAAGGAGGGTAGATGAAAGGCCAGGAGGAAAGGGAAAAGGGTCAAGAAGGAGGAAGCAGACTCAGTAGCACTCAGAGGAGGAGGGTGAGTGGGGAGTTATTCCACAACATCTAAGGCTCTTAAGCAGAAACTCCAGGCTAGAAAAGTAGAATCCTTGTCAGCAGGGTATGAGGATTGCTCAGGAACTACTTGCATTCCACATGTTCACTGTTGAAGGGAACTCCCAGTGTTCCCCTGGGCTCATCTTAAACTCTGTGAAGAGCGAGAAGAGCTAGATACAAAGCTTGTCCATTTCCTTTTCTCTTGTCTGTCAAGGCCTGTCACTTCTGGAATCTAGGCTCTCTGGGAGCGGCTATTTGTGTGTCTAGTTCCCAGACCCTCCTCAGAGAGGCCTGGTCTGCCTTCCCAAGTACCAGCAACATTACTACTCAGGAGCTACATGAGTCAGGCAGAGGGGAAAGAAGACTGGATGCTCTGGCCAGCACTGCTATGGACAGCTGCATCTTGGCTCCCTGCAAGTTTTTTTAGTCTTATCACTGCCATATTGATCCTTAACTAATAATCAGCACATCTACCCATTCTTTTTCCAACCAGAAGTTAGCCCTTAGTTTTGTTCTTTTTTTTTTTTTTTGAAACAAGTAATCCATAGTATCTTGACCTTTCCACACAGTTCCTATTTCCCAAATTCTAAATGAACTTCTCCGTTTCCAAATCTTCCATCTGAAGCTGTAGACCTAATTTAGTAAGACTGAACTATTCAAAAGCCTGGACCAGGCTGGAGCAGAGAAGCCTGGCTGCTTTTCTACACACACACACAAATGGATAACAGATGCAAACCAACCTCATTCTTGTTCTTTGCTGTAGCATCACATTCGCTATTCTCAGGCTTCCTCAGGTGCTTCCACCTTCCTCCCTGATCAAAAGTGATCATGGTCTGGATAGAGTTATCTGAGTGGGAAAAGAATGACCATAAGCCCAGTACACTAGAGGCACCCAATTAAAGACACTGTAATTCTCTCTGTAGGCATTTTAACACTGGATAAAATGGTTCAGGGTTTGGTGAGTAACTGAGCAACACTTGAAATATGAGATCTGAAGAAAATGCTAACGATATGTTTTATGATATAGTTTAGATCTCTTTTCTTTTCTTTTTTCCTTTTTTTTTTGCCAGTCATGGGGCCTGAACTCTGGGTCTGGGCGCTGTCCCTCAGCTCTTCAGCTCAAGGCTAGTGCTCTACCACTGGAGCCACGGCGCCACTTCTGGCTTTTTCTGTTTATGTGGTGCTGAGGAATCGAACCCAGGGCCTCATGCTTGCAAGGCATGCACTCTACTGCTGAGCTACCTTCCCAGCCCTCTTTTTTCCTTTTTTGTCAGTTGTAGAACTTGAACTCTGGGCCTGGGTACTGTCCCTCAGCTCTTCAGCTCAAGGCCAATGCTCTACCACTTGAGCCACAGTGCCACTTCCAGTTTTCTGGTGGCTTATTGGAGATAAGAGTCTTATGGACTTTCCTGCTCAGGCTGGCTTTTTTTTTTCTTTTTTTGGGTCTGGTTGTGGGGCCTGAACTCTGGGCCTGGGTGCTGTCCCTCAGCTTCTTCAGCTCAAGGCTAGCACTCTACCACTTGAGCCACAGTGCCACTTCCGGTTTTTTTTCTTTTTGCTTATGTGGTGCTGAGGAATCGAACCCAGGGCCTCATGCATGCAAGGCAAGCGCTCTACCGCTAAGCCACCTTCCCAGCCCCTCAGACTGACTTTGAACCACACAGTTTAGATCTTAAATGTCCCCTCTATTGTTGTGTTAAAAGCTTGGTTGCTAGTCCGTGACACTACTGGGAAGTGATGGAATCTTTAAGAGGTGAGACTTACTGGAAAGAGGTTGCATCATCAGAAGCCATGACCTTAAAGCTGGTATTGGGGATTCATTTTCTTTTCATCTTTGAGGTGAAGGGCTTCTTCTACCATACATTCTCCCAAACAGTGGGAATAACCATCCATAGACTGAAACTTTCAGAACTGAACCAAAGCAAACCTTTTCTCTTTAAAAGCTGGCTACCCCGGTTATTACAGTAACAGAAAACCAGTACATTTCCACATTTCCATTCAAAACAAATAGGTTGGTATTCATTTGCTTTCCTTGTTTGATGCCTCTGAGGGAAATCTACCAAAGGAAGGTATATTAATCTTTATTTGGCCAAGGCCATGACACCAGGCTTGCTTTAGAGACCCTCATAATTTGAATATGTGTGCTTAAGCATGAATAAATATTATTGTTTCTCCACTACCCCATATCTTATATAACTTTTCCTTTTTCTCCCTTATGTCTCATCTCTCTGTTTTCCTTCTCATCTCTCTGTCTCATTCTCTGTCTTCAATTATATAAACTATTACAGGCTTAGGGTTAGAGATAATATGCTTTAAGTTTTCAAATAATACCAAATAAAAAAGCAATTGAAAATTCACTTATTCAACAAACATTTATTGAGGGTCCGCTATGTAGAAAAACTTTTGTAGGCCTTTGAGAATATATCAGTGAATACAACAGATTAAAATAAATTCATAAAATATATATTGCAGAAGGCAAGAGAAGCATTAGACATAGTAAATAAGTAAATTATATAGTATGTTAGAAAACAAGTTCTATGGAAAAATCTTGTGCATCTAAAGGTGGATTGGGAGTGTATATATGAGGAGAGGAGGGAAGATTGGAATTGAAAATAAGATAGCCAGGGTGGATCTCATTCAGAAAGTAACACATGAGCAAAGGCTTGAAGGAGGAAGCACTCAGCTTAAAGAAAACAGATGGAAATGTCAGTGCAGATACATAATGAATGAATATATGTACCTAGTATGTACTAATAAATGAATATATGTACCTGGACTGGCAAGGGGTTAGTGTTAGTGGCAAGAGTGAATGAAAGAAGACTTGAAGAGGAGGTCAGAGAGGAAAAAGCTAGCCAGTGTCATGTAGGACTCTGTAGGCAATTACAAGGAATTGACAAAATAAAAAGTCCTCACCTCCTACCAAAATAACAAATATATCAATATTTAAGAGTCCTTGTATTTGGGAGTAATGTATTTGTTTGCAAATTTGAGCCTTACTAGCATGAGCTTGTAGCTTCATTATGTAGAAAATTAGATAAATTTTGGCCAGCCCTTGCTATGCCCTCTGTAAGAAGAAAAGTAGCTCAAATTCAGATTACCTGCTGCCTGCCTGCCTCCCTCCCTTTCTTCCTGCCTTCCTTCCTTCCTTCCTTCCTTCTTCCCCCCACCCTCAGTCTCTTTCTGTGTATGTATGCATGCTCACATGCACACGCGTGCATGTATGTGAGTACTAGGGTTTGAACTCAGGGCCTTGGTACTGTCCCTTAGCTTTTTTTGCTCAAGGCTAATGCTCTACCACTTGAACCACAGCTCTGCACTTCTCTCTTTTTAGAGGTTACTTGGACATAAGAATCTCATGGACTTTCCTGCCTAGGCTGGCGTTGAACAATAATTTTCAGACCTCAGCCTCCTGAGTAGCTAAGATTATAGGCGTGAGTCACTGGTGCCTGGCTTTCAGACTCATTTCAATGTGTCGGAACCTTCCACTATAGAGGTTCAGGCATATAGAAATGAGCCTGTTGCTATGTATCTTAACAATATAAACAATATAGATTTTTGTATCCACTGTTGCTTTGCTCTATGGTTAATTGCCATAACTTAAATATAGGGAGCCAGAATTTATATATGTAGGCAAAGCAAACACTTTTCTATGGGCCAAGACCCTAGGAGCCAAGAACTCATCAGGTTCCTTGGAGGCCTCAAATCCTAACACACTGAACTTAAAGAGCAAGGCAGATGAATGGTCATGACAAGCCTTACCTTCTGAAAGCATGCTTGTTATGTAGACCCCACGGAGGGAAGTCACATTGGTAAAGTCAGTCTCTCCCCCTGTGGTTGTATAGAGATGTCTGTCCAAAGACTTGGAGTAGACAATGCCTCGATCATCAGAGGTAAAGATAGTGCCAAATCCAGTGTCTAAAACATGCAAACAAATAAAAACAGTAAGTCCCAATAGGAATGATAGTGTAGCCAAACAAGTGATTTTGCCTAACTGGCCTAGCACATTTACCAATTGTTTCTCCAGATGAAAATTAAGACTTGAGAGTTCATCAAAATTTTCAAAACCCATCTTTACTTATAGTACCCAGCTTAGTGCCTGGAATATGGGAGATGCTGAGTTTGTTGAATGACTTAACCACATGCCAGAGAAAATACATTTCTCAATCTTGTACTTTAGTTTCTCAAGCTATTTATAGTGAAGAATCTTGTGTGTGTGTATGTGTGCACACATGTGTGCATGTGTGTGCATGTGCACACTAACACTGGGGCTTGAACTCAGGAACTCATGCTTTCACTTGGAATTTTCAAGGACTCAATGGTCTCACTTGGATTTCCATTCAAGGCTGGTGTTTTACCACTTTAGCCACAGTTCCAACTTCCATGTTTTCACTGGTTAATTAGAGGTAAGAGTCTTTAAGAGTTATCTGCTCAGGCTGGCTTTGAACTATAATCCTCAGATCTCAGCCTCCTGCACCACTAGGATTACAAGTGTGAGCCACAGGTGCCTGGCTAGGATCAATTTTTAAATTTTCAGTATGTCAGAACAGATGCTTTCATAAAATGTAATAAAAACTAGCCGGGCACTGGTGGCTCACGCCTGTAATCTTAGCTACTCAGGAGGCTGAGATCTGAGGATCGCGGTTCAAAGCCAGCCCGGGCAAGAGAGACCGTGAGACTCCTATCTCCAATAAACCACCAGAAAACCGGCGGATGGCGCTGTAGCTCAAGTGGTAGAGTGCTCGCCTTGAGCTGAAGAGCTGAAGGACAGCCCCCAGGCCCAGAGTTCAAGCCCCACGACCGACAAAAAAAAAAAAAAAGTAATAAAAACTAGTAGAAAAATAAAATAGACATGCCAGGTATGGTGCCTACTTGAAGTCCTAGCTATTCTAATAAACAGAAGGATCATGGGTTCAAAGTGGCCCTGGCAAGGTTATTATGATCCTATCTCAAAAACAAAATATAAAATGAAAGGACTGGTGGCATGGTATAAGTGGTAGAGTGTTTACCAACAAGCTAGAGGTTCCAAAACAAATAAAAAAGGACCAATGGTGTGGTTCAAGTCATAGGGCTTGTCTAGCAAGTATTGCCAAAAGGAAAAAAAAAAGAGATAAATATAAGACACTGTCCTTAGATTCAACATATATAAAATTACTTTGTCAAACAGTGTATGAGTTTTTTTTTAAGCCTCGTCTGTTGGTGCATGTCTTATTCCAGAACTAGAGAGGCTGATACAGGAGGATCTCAAGTTCAAGGCTAGCTTGGGCTACACAGTCAGAGCCAGTCTCAAAAACAAAACAAAAATAGTTTCTAAATCTTTCCTTACTTATTTGGTAACAGTGAGTTTGCAAATTTCTACCAGTCTGATGACTACTCTGAGCAGCTCTGATTTAGAATATGTGAACATATTCATAACTACTGTAGACTATGAAAGTGGGAGGGCCTCAAAAGTTGGTCAAAGCTAGTCTTGGCTTCATGATTTTACTGTCCCAGCCTACCAAGTGCTGGGATTACAGGTGTTAGTCACTAGGCCTGGATCAGATGAACTTCTTTTATCTCAGAGTAATTAGAAGGATGTTAAACAATTTCTAGAGTTAAGAGGAAAAGTTAACATATAAAAAGAGAAGTTTCTCAGATCATTACTCAAAGCTTAAATATTTATGCATTTGAGGATGGACTCTTACCCCCGGGTTCATCTACATGCATGAATACCATGTCATCATTAGCTGCCAGAATAGAATAGAATTGTTCCTGCCCCACAGAGGGGAGCTGGGCCATGCTCCATGTGTCCCCTTGATCTGTTGACACGTGGATCCTTCTTGTTGTATCCTGGAATAAATATGCCATATATCTTATCTATCTATCTTTATAACCTTCTGTTAAGATGCCATGTACAGGAACAGCATTTTTAATAGTTACTGTTCATTCTTCAGTGGGTATAATCGCAATAAAAGATCATAGTGCCAATTACCAAAGCAATTTCTAACCCCTTCCAGACAACAGAAGAACGAATTCTATTCTAAGTAAAATTACCTTGTTTGTTCATTTTTTTTTCCTCTTTGACTCTGTCCTTCTGGTATGATCCTCCCAATCTCTGATAATCATCTCTTTCAAGAGAGTTAAGGATTTGATTGGACCACCATTAGCTTTGCTTTATAGCTATTTGTATATTCTTTTCTCTTTCTTTCTCTCTCTCTTGTTTTTTAAATGTCAGTCGTGGGGCTTGAACTCAGGCCTGGATGCTGAACTCCTTTGTTCAAGGCTAGTGCTCTACCACTTTGAGCCATACCACCACTTCCAGTTTTATAGTGGTTAACTGCAGATAAAAGTCTCATGCACTACCAAGCTAGAAAGACAACCAACTAATTGGGAAAAAAATATTTACCAGCAATATATCAGACAAGGGGTTAACATCCTGTATATACAGGGAACTCAAGAAACTAATCCCTCCCAAACCTAACAAACTAATTACTAAATGGGCAAGGGAACTAAAGAGGGACTTCTCAAATGAAGAAATAAAAATTGCAAAGAAACACATGAGGAAATGTTCATCATCCCTGGTGGTGAAGGAAATGCAAATAAAGACAACCCTGAGATACCACCTTACCCCAGTCAGAATGTCCCACATCCACAAATCAGCCAACGACAAATGCTGGAGGGGATGTGGAGAAAGAGGAACCCTATTACACTGCTGGTGGGAATGTACACTTATACAACCACTTTGGAAAGCAGTCTGGAGGGTCCTTAGAAAGCTAAAGATTGACCTCCCTTACGACCCAGTCATACCACTTCCAGGTATCTACCCTGAACAACAGGAACCAATATATAAGGACACGTGCACCTCCATGTTTATTGCAGCACTGTTCACAATAGCTAGGATATGGAAACAACCCAGATGCCCCACCACAGATGAATGGATCCAAAAATTGTGGTATCTATACACAATGGAATATTATGCAGCCATTAGAAATGACAAAATAATGGCATTTGCAGGGAAATGGATAGAGCTAGAAGGAATCATGTTGAGCGAGGTAAGCCAAGAGCGAAGAGACAAATGGTGCATGGTCTCCCTGATAAGTGGATGCTAAATCCAAAATGTTAGGTGATATGACAAAACTAACAGGACTTAAAAAACAAAGAACTCCCACTCATCTGGTATTAGATAATTAAGAATCAAAAAAATAGATAATTAGAAAATGGAGATAAAACTCACACTGGGAGATTACAGGGAAGTCAAGATGTGACATGCCTTTAAGGAACTCCTTCAGAAGAGACATAATCAAGGAAACATGCATGGGCTAGGAAGGGCCAAGGACAGTCTGAAATTACTATAAGAAAACTAATCAGAGAGTATTTGACAGGTAAAGGAGTCTTTTAAGAAGACAAAATCTACTCTCTGATAAATAGCCTAATGTAGCTGCTGCTAGAGGTCTAGGAAGATAGCTCAGTGGTAGAGTACTTACAAGGCCCTGGCTTCAATTTCTCAGATCTGTCCATCTGTCTGTCTGTCTGTCTAGCTACCTACCTACAAATGTGAGCTATTGGATAGTAGCCAGAGTAGTCAGAGAATCTTTAGATTTTTAAAGCCGCCAGACTCCTTAGGTTAACTACTATTAAGAGTTCAGTGAGGGGCTGGGAAGGTGGCTCAGTGGTAGAGCGCTTGCCTTGCAATACATGAGGCCCTGAGTTCGATTCCTCAGCACCACATAAGAAAAAAGCCAGAAGTGGTGCTGTGGCTCAAGTGGTAGAGTGTTAGCCTTGAGCTAAAGAGCTGAGGGATAGCACCCAGGCCCAGAGTTCAGGCCCCACAACCAGACCCCCCCCCCAAAAAAAAAGAGTTCAGTGAGGCTGGGCATGTGGCTCAGTGATAGAGTGCTTTCCTAGCATGCATGAAGCCCTGGGTTTGATTCCTCAGTACCACATAAACAGACAAAGCCAGAAGTGGCACTATTGCTCAATAGTAGACTGCTAGCCTTGAGCAAAAAGAAGCTCAGAGACAGGATCCAGGTTCTGAGTTCAAGCTCCAGAACTGGCAAAAAGACGAAGAAGAAGGAGAAGGAGAGGAGGAAGAGGAGTTCAGGGATAAATTTCTTCAACTTCTACCAAGATATCTGATTACTTTTGATTTTATTCTCATTGTTATACAGAGAAATTAGAGCTCAAAATGTGCATAATATGATTTAAATTGTATAGACAGTAAACAGGAGGCTACCTCTGTAATACGACTGATTGCCATTAGTATTCTATTGAATGACCCTAAGTAGGTTACTCAGTTTCCTCTTGAGGTAATATTATGAGCTCATAGGGTTGTAGGAAGGTTATCACAAGATTTCTGGAGTTACCTGTACTTAGTATACTATTTCCCCATCTCCAGTTCTCCCTGAAGCCACTTGAATCAGCCTTCTAACCTCATTACTTCAAGGAAACTGCTTTTGTCAAAGGCAGCAATAATCCACTTTGCTAACTTCAGGAGGTAATTCTACAGCTCATCTGGCTCAACATCTCACTTAAGCTTAACAAAACTGATCACTTCTTCCTTCTGAAATATATTCTTTCATTTGGTTTTGATGATTTCACATTGTCCTTATTTTTTTTTTTTTACGTCAGAAGGGTAATGTGCCCACGTCGTAACAAGGTTTAGAGGGAGGCACATGTCACGCAAGCGCGTGAGAACCCAATCATCACACTTATGAACCGGAAAAGGATTTACATTGTCCTTATATATAACTACCTTACCTATCCCTCCCTTTTCCTTTTCCTTTCCCCTTTCCTTTTCATACCTTTCCTTTTCCTTCCTCTTTCTTTTCTCTCCTCCCTCCCTCCCTCCCTCCCTCCCTCTTTCTTTCTTCCTTCCTTCCTCTTTCCTTTTTTTCTTCCTCTCTCCCTCCTTCCCATTTTCCTTGATTCACCCCTCTCTCCCCTTTCCCTTCCTCCTTCCCTCCATTCTCTTCCTCCCCCCCCCCTTTCTTTTTTTTCTTTCTGCTGGTACTGGGTCTTGAACTTAGGACCTTGCACTCTCAGTAGGCTTTCTTGCTCACAGTAAGAGCCATACCTCCAGCTCTGCTTTCTTGCTAGTTTTTATTTATTTATTTATTTTTGCCAGTCCTGAAGCTTGAACTCTGGGCCTGGGCACTGTCCCTGTGCTCCTTTTTGCTCAAGGCTAGCACTCTATCACTTGAGCCACAGCACCACTTCCAGCTTTTCTTCTGTTTATGTGGTACTGAGGAATCAAACCCAGAGCTTCATGCATACTAGGCAAGCACTCTACCACTAAGCCATATTCCCAGCCCTCTCTGGTGTTTCTTTCTCTCTCTCTCTCCCTCTCTCCCTCTCCCTCTCTCTCCCTCTCTCTTCCACCTCCTCCTCTCTCTCTCCCTCTCCCTCACTTTCTCTCCCTCTCTCTCTTTCTCTCTATGTCTGTTGTCTGTCTGTCTGTCTGTCTGTCCTGGGGCTTCAACTCAGGGTCTGAGTGCTGTCCCTGAGTTTTTGTGCCCAAGACTAGTGCCTCTTTGCTAATTATATAAAAGATGCGGTCTCACACACTTTTCTTCCCAGGCTAGCTTTGATCCTTTAGATCTTATTCCTCGAGTAGCTAAAATAACAGGTGTGAGCCATTAGTACCCAGCTTAATTCTTAATTTTTCTCCCACAAACCTACTTCTCTTGCAGCCAGTATATCTCACTGGCAAGTCCTATCATCAATTCATTGAAAATAAATATATACTCTTACCATCCCTCCCCTTACCTATTGTGATTTTTTTCTATTTATGCCAGTTTCGGGGCTTGAACTCAAGGCCTGAGTACTATCCTTACCTTTTTCACTCAAGGCTAGCACTCTTTCCACTTGAGCCACAGCTCCACTTCAGGCTTTGCCTTTTGCTGGTTAATTGGAGGTAAGAGTCTCATAGGCTTTTCTGTCTGGGTTGGTTTAGAACCTCAATCCTCAGATCTCAGCCTGCTGAGTAGCTAGGATTACAGGCGTGAGCCACTGTGTGAGCCTCTGGTGCCCAACCTCACTTCATCCATGAACAGCCTGGTCCCTCGGTTGGCTACCATAACAGTCCCCTATTTTCCCCTGCTGCTTCCATTCTTGCTTCCTCTTAGACATTCTTAAACACAGATTTTGTTAAAAAGGAAGTCAAATCCATCTTCCATACTCACATTCTCTGTGCAGCTCCTCAACACATGAAGAATCAAAGCCCTGCAAAATCTGGGCCTACTCTGGATCACTCTTCATTATGCTCCAAACAAGGAGCTCTTCTTTCCTTTTCTTTATAGATGGAGTGCACCTTAGCCTGAAGGTCTGTCCCTTCCCTTGCTGTTGGCTCGCCCAGTTCTCCTCTAGACTCCACATAGTCATGTTGTTACTGGCTCATGTCTTTGAGAGCCAGCCATGCACCCTATATGAATAGCACTGCTGTGATTTCTATTACTTCCCAGTTCCTTACTCGGCTTTAGATTGCTTCATAGGTTTAATTACAACCTGATGAACTTTGTTGCTTAGCATCGTTTTCCCTACTTAAATATAAGCTCTGAGAGCAGGAAATCTGTTTTGTTCACTGCTATATTCTGGGAACATAAAATAGTACCAAGCATGTAATAGAACTCAGCATTATCTTTTAAAATTTTTATTACAATTTTTGGATAATATGCAAGTGGATTGCTTCCCCACAATCACTACTGCCACTTCCTCTCCCAGCCCATATCCATGTTTAAGTGAAGCCAATACTGGATCTACAAATCCAGGAAACAGGGCTGGGAAGTTGGCTCTGTGGTAGAGTGCTTGCCTCACATGCATGAGGCCCTGGGTTTGATTCCTCAGCACCATATAAGCAGAAAAAAAGCTGGAAGTGGCGCTGTGGCTCCAGTGGTAGGGTGCTAGTCTTGAGCTGAAGAGCTAAGGGACAGCATCCAAGCCCAGAGTTCAGCCTCATGACCGACAAAAAAAAAAAATTCAGGAAACAACATCAGAATTCACAGGTGAAAAAAAGGCCAAAGTGCACAATAGCCCTGAGGGCTTCACAGTGATACTAAATATTGCGTAAAGACAAGAACTCTACCAGTACTAAGTAAAAGTGATTGATGAGACATATCTGCAGAAGTATTAGACTCCAAAAAGACAAATACTCACCTTATCGGCCATCACAGAAGCAAAAAGGAAACGTCCCCCAAGACCAAATGAGTAAATTTTCACACCAATAGTTTTGAAGCTTTTCCCCAAGTCTGAAGTTCTCCATAATTCCAGTGCTCCAAGGTCAGCTTCTTAAACAAGACAAAATATTAATTAAAATTCCTCTTACTGGTGAGCTTACTTTCAAACAGCTGCTTTAGAATTGCTCTTAAAGCTGGGCTCCCATGTTTCACACCTGTCAGTAATCCTAGCTGCTCAAGAGGCTGATATCGGAGGATCTCAATTAGAGGCCAGCTCATGCAGGAAAGTCTGTGAGACTTAAAAAAAAAAATCTCCAATAAGCTACCAAAAAGCCAGACGTGGAGCTGTGGCTTAAGTGACAAAGCTCTAGCCTTGAGCAAAAGGTCAGGAACAGTGCCCAGGCCCTGAGTTCAAGCCCTACAACTGGCAAATAAATAAACTGTTCTTAATTTTATGTAGAGAAAGCACTTTTAATCATATACATGCTGATCTAGTGATAATTTAAACCTGATATGGCATCAGATACAGGGAGTTTGTATTTAGATTTTATTTCATGCATGTGACATTTAATGATGGATGTAAATAGAGTTCTCTTAGTTTTAGTACAGTGGTGCATAAAATAGCACAGTGATAGCATTCTACTTTACTTTCTTCATACTCCATTTAAAAGATGTCCTAGGGCTGGGAAGGTGGCTCAGTGGTAGAGCACTTGCCTTGCATGCATGAGGCCCTGGGTTTGATTCCTCAGCACCACATAAGTAAAAAGAATAAAGCCGGAAGTGGCACTGTGGCTCAAGTGGTAGAGCGCTAGCCTTGAGCTGAAGAGCTGAGAGACAGTGCCCAGGCCCAGAGTTCAGGCCCCACGACCGGACCCAAAAAAAAAAAAAAAAACTGGACCACATATTAGGAGGTCACTGGCTCTATTAAATGAAATATTCCATAGTCTGAAGAAATCATGCATTTCAATTGGCTATTGTTTATAGCGTAGAATTTGCTTTATAGTATACCTTGCTAAGATTTAAGTATAATGCCTTCAACTATAGATTACATTTTAATTTAATCCAGGCATAGTATAATAATTTGGTAGTATTTGAAGATTTTAAAAACCACTAACAGCTATCTCTAGTTATTACATTTTCAGGATAATGGAAAGATCTTTGTTTCTACTTCATATAATCCAGAATATTTAACCATATATATATAGACTGCAAGGCACTTTTCTGGGACTAAAATATACTTACTGCAGGATCCATTCACATAGGTGGTAAAGAATATGGTGGTTCCTGATCCCCTAGGAAAAGGCAAAGACAGAGAAAAGAAATGATTTAAGATGCCAAGAGACTGAGTCAACCTTAGGGACAAAGCCCCTGGAAAATATAACAAGACTTATCCACACGTACCAGCTCCTCAGGAGATGAGCACCCTATTCTCCACAGCCCACAGCTGAGCTTCCCATAGCCTGGCTCCATCTTTGACAGTCTTCCAGCTGGACCCACATGGACTGACCAATCTGTCTCTTATGTTATATTGCCCACTGTCCCCAAATGCTTTCTCTCCTGTAACCAAATGCATGCCCTCACAGTCTTTCAACTGTAGCTTAAATTCTAGCTCTTCGGTGAAGCTTTTCTTATGACCCTCACAGTTTAGAAGTTCTAAACTTCTAGAACAGCAAGTTGTCAATGAGGGGTGATTTAGCCACCAAGGGACACTTGGCAACATCTAGAAACATTTTTGATTCTCAGAACTAGGGTAAGAGTGGATATGGGGCAGGCAGGCCTGGTTATGACATCTAATAAGTACAAGCCAGGGATGCTGCTAAACAGCTCAGAATGCACAGAACAGAACAGCTCCCTTGATAACAAATTATCTGACCCAGTGTGTCATTAGTGATGAGGTTAAGAATCCCTGTTCTGGAGCACTGTGCCATTCTATACAAGCCACTTACCATTCATCAGTCTCCCAGTCTTATCTCTACCACACTAATTGATTTCTTCAGGTCACTTACTAAGTTTTAGGCTTTGTAGTTTGCCTTCAGAACCTAGTTTAATGCTTTGAATGAGCTAAATAATTTAGATCTTTCATCTCAAATGGGCAACTAGGTCAGAGGTTGAATTATTTAAAATGTAGCTTGGCCAGGGAGTTTACAGGGAACTAAATTCTGACCCTGATATACTTATAGGTTACTGCCAGCAAAAGGCAATGCATTTTGAGCCTGTTCTTTCAAAACTTTTGTTGTAAACGCCTAGAAATCAAAGACCTAAAATGTAAGTAAGCAGTTATAGCCTAGCTATCTTATATTCACAGCTGAACAAAGTAATTTTTACTGAAGTAAGAAAAAGACATAAAATGCCATTTAAAAATAACTTTTTCATTGTAAAGATAAATTTTAATTAAGGGTGGAGTGGGTTTTCATGATCAAAATTAGCATAGTCTTACTTAACCATATCCTACATATTTTAGATCCATCAGGAGTCCAACAATTTGTTAATCTAGTTACCTTAATAATTACTTCCTTCCTGATAAGACCTTATTTGATACAGACACAGCCATTAAAATTCATAAAGTGAAAGCAGATGTGGCATGTATTACAATGATGCTATAAAAATCTCATTTATAGTGAGCATTTCTGGAAAAGACCACCTTATTTAAATAGTAAATGTCTAATATTTAAATTAAATATTAAATTAAAATTTTGACTAAGCCATAGTTCAAAATCTGTATTAGGTTTTCCTGATTTCCTAAATAGAGTACATAAAACTCTTTCTTGAAGTTACAGGTCATCAACGATAAACCATTAGAAGTTACTGTCCTTTCTTGTATATGTCCTTTCTTGATCTAGTACTAAATCATTTTGAATTGTTATACTGAGTTTTATCCACTCTGTTATGGGTTTTTTGCTTCCTTCTAGCTCTCAAGCTGTAATTCTAATGTCATGTGCTTGTTGCTAGCAGCCACATAGCTCATTCTGGCAGTAATCTGCTATTAACTGGGACACTGGATTAACTTGTTGGAATTAGTCAAAAGAAAAGAAAAAAGAGAGACTCTGGACAAAGGTCTAAGCCTAAACAGAATTTTGAAGATATAAAGGCTATAAATTCAATGCTTGGTCAACCATCCTTCCCCCAAATAAATCTCTTGCAAAGTTAAAACTGAAGCCTAGAGTGGTTAAATCACTGACTAGTACCAGAGCCAGGTTAGAGCAAAGATTATTTGACTTCTAAGTAAGAAATCTCTCTACTATATCATCCTTAAGTAGGCACCTGAGGGGGCAAGGCATCCTGCCAAGAGAACTGAGTAGGTTTTGGTGCACCGACACAGGAACTGGGCAGTCTGCTAACTATTTCAGCTTCTTCCTGAGTTGTTACTGTGTTCTACATCTAACTGAAATGGGTTGCTAGACAAGGGAGTATAAATCTTCATGCAAAGTATTAAAATCTCCAAATTAAAGTTGCATTGTTATGCTCTAATTGATGTTACCAATTATGAAGAATAAACCTTTTGCAGGCAGCAGCTACTGAGTCACACGCTCTGTTTATATTTGAACATTCAGTGAGGATACATCTTTTTTCTCCCAGCACAATTAAAGGCTGCTTTGGAGCAAGGCCTGTGTCATAGCCCTCTCTTGAATCCCTCATGGCACACTTAAGAGTATCTGACCTACAGTAAGTGGTCTACATTTACTCATGTGACGTATGGCAGCACTAAAGGCTTAGGGCTCTGCACAGATGGAGTTTTCTGTTACTCACCATTTGGCCAAACACACTGCTTTGTGGATTTCTTCCCATTTTCCTCCGAAATTCTTGGACACCCACAGTCCATTCTAAAAGAGTATAAATGACTTATCAACATTTCAACTTCATCCTGTGCAGCTGCTTATATGACCTTTAATATTTCATATTCAATCATTCTAGTTCCACTACAGTTGCCTGTACTGCACACAGTGCACATGCACATGCAAACACACACTCCTTCAGTCTTGAATGTTGAGAATAACAAATGCACATAAAGTGCCCACTATGTGCCAGACACTTTACCAGCTGTTGCACTGAGACTACAAAGATGAAGAAATACTCCCTCCTCTCAAGAAGCTCACGGTTTAATAAGGAACATAGATAAGAAGAGAGCTCAACATCACATGGTGTTATGGACACAGTTTAGTATACAAGTGGGGACAGAGGCATACTGCATAGTGATTGCTTCCTGAAGAAGGCAGAGGCACGGACTGAAATGATGAGCAGTATAACAACAACAAAAAAGGCAAGCAGGGAGATGAGGTACAATTGCATCAGACTGGGACTGGCAAAGGCGGGGAAGGAGGGGATAAAACTCCTTCACTGCATGCAGAACACGAAAAAACAGCCAGCTACCAGTAGCTCACACCTGTAATCCTAGCTACTCAGGAGGCTAAGATCTTAGGATCTTAGTTCAAAGCCAGCCTGGACAGAAAAGTCTGTGAGACTCTTATCTCGAATTAATTACCAAAACAAAAAAACAAAAACAAAAACAGTGCTCAAGTGGTAGAGCTCTAGCTTTGAGCCACAGTACCACTTCTGGTTTTCTGGTTAATTGGTGATAAGAATGTTAAAGACTTTCCTGCCTGGACTGACTTTGAACTTTGATTCTCAGATTTCTGCCTCTGGAGTAGCTAGGATTATAGGTGTGAGCCACCCATGCCCCGCTAGCAAGATTTTTTTTTTTTCTGTCAGTCCTGAGGCCTGAACTCTGAGCCTGGGCGCTGTCCCTCAGCTCTTCAGCTCAAGGCGATCACTCTACCACTTGAGCCACAGCGCCACTTCTGGCTTTTTTCTTTTTGCTTATGTGGTGCTGAGGAATCGAACCCAGGGCCTCATGCATGCAAGGCAAGGACTCTACCACTTAGCCAACTTCCCAGTCCCAGCAAGATTTTTTTGAAAGATGGACTGGAACGGGATGACTTTTGCTGTAGGGTACGATGTATAAAGTTAATCACTCTGGGATTCAGGTTGAGATATGGTACACGTTGTTGTATCATTAATACTGTTCTCAGCACCTACTCTTCTCCACGATTTGCCTTCAAATTTCCCCTCCTTTAATAACATTCACCTCCCAGCATTTCTAACTTACCAGGTAGAAACACAGATAGTAGCCCTCCCTGAGGACAGTCGTGTTTAAATAACCTTAAGATATGTGGCAATGGGCCTGAGGTGGTTAAAGGGGAGATCTATGATTCTGCCCTTGCCTTCAGAGCTCTCCCAGCTGCCTTCCAGGGTCCTTAGATATGCTTGGAGGCTCTTTTCTCTGGAGAGCTGAAGCACCTACCCTCAAGCAAGCTAGTTTCTTTGCTCTGGCCTCCACTGAATAAGCCTAATTGGACTCTGCTGGAGTAGCCCCTCCTCTCTGTGTCTCCTCCCAAACATCTTGTCACTAAAGGTTTAATACTCAGACGGCTCTTCCTCTGCCCTTTTCCCTATCTTAAAGGAGTTCCTCAGGTGTTCGGGTCTGATATTCGTGGGAACTTCCTGAAGAAAGGCAAAGGAGAAAAAGGGAACACTGGTCTCTGGGGAAAACATAGAGATGGGGAGGGGGAATTTGAAACTGGATATTTAATACATTATTTTTAAAAAGAGAAATGCTTTATAAGCTGAGACAATATGGAGGTCTTTTTTTTTGTTTTATTTTGTGTGTGTGTGTGTGTGTGTGTGTGTGTGTGCGCCAGTACTGGGGCTTGGACAAAGAATTGGAGCTAAGAGTCTGATGAACTTTCTTGTCCAGAAATCCTCAGATCTCAGCCTCCTGAGTAGTTAGGATTACAGAGTGAGCCACTAGCGCCCGACCCGGTTCAGCCCTTAATCTTTTGCTCAAATCTAGAGCTCTACTATTTAGGCCAAAGCTCATAAAGCTTTGCTTTTTTTTTTTTTTTGGCAGTTAATTGGAATAAGAGTCTCATAGACTTTTCTGTCTTGGCTGGCTTTGAACTATGATCTCAGATCTCAGCCTCCTGAGTAGCTAAGATTACAGTAATGAGCCACCAGTGCCCAGTAATGATATGCTGATATTCTTTATGTTGAGGAATTAACAACAAAAAAGGACGGTGAAATTTGACTATAGAAATAGCACAATGAGGGGCTAGGAAGGTGGTTCAGTGGTAGAGCGCTTGCCTTGCAAGCCTGAGGCCCTGGGTTCGATTCCTCAGCACCACATAAGCAAAAAGAAAAAAGCTGGAAGTGGCGCTATGGCTCAAGTGGTAGAGCGCTAGCCTTGAGCTGAAGAGCTGAGGGACAGCACCCAGTTCAGGACCCCCCCCCCAAAAAAAGAAACAAAGAAATAGCACAATGAAAATATTAGGAATTTGACAATATGTACTTGTCTTTTCAACACAAGAATATTTAAACTGCTTTCTAGTTCATTGCTTGAATAACACAACATACCCAGTCACTTATAAAGTTATGACGACTTACATCATAGAATGTGTTTGTGACTTTAACTAAGCATCACTATCCCACAAAACAGTGAAATTTGTGGAATTATATAATCACTTAATCACAATAAAGAATTTGCAAAAAAAAAAGTTATGACAACTTGCATATCAAACTTATCCAAAAGAGATAGCATACAGAAATTGAATTCCTTGCCAAATAAGCCAATGCAAAAAGTATATATGTGTCATGAGTAAAGATACACTAGAAAGAAGCTCAGTATTAAAAAATATAATCTTTTAAGAAAATATATTTTGAGAATATAAAAATGCAAAAGGCAAGTTTCTCTGGACTTACTTCAGTGCTGAGGGCTAAAAGGTAATCAGAATTCTGAGGACTGTACATCATCTGAGTCAGAGGATGAAAAGGGAGATCTGTCTGTACAAAGTTCTTTGCGAAATCTGATGATCTGAAGATCCTTCCTCCACGGCTTCCTCCAGACACCTCTGCAGTCAATATCACCTGACCAGGAAGAGGAAAGATTATATTCAAGGAATAACACTTTAAAAGTACAGGCAGTTCTTGCACCATTTTCACTAGACATTAGCTAAAAGAATTTTTCAAAGAGTTGGAGGTATGGCTTAGCGGTAAAGCATCTAACAATCATGAGGCTTTTAGTACCAAAACAAAAAAGGCTGTGTTGTAATGATTCGTGTTTATAATCCTAGATACTTGGGAAGTTAGAAGCCAGCTTGGGCAGAAAAGTTCCTAAGAACTTTTCAATGAAGACCTGGAGGAGAAGCTGGTTATAGTGGAGAGTGCCTGTTAGCTACAACTGAAAGTACATAAACTTAGGTTACTGGCTTCCAGGCATGTACTGAGGCAGGAAGCAGGACCTTATCTCAAAAGTAATAAGTGAAAAGCAGAGCTGGAGGCATGGCCCTGCAGTAAGAGTGCTTGCTGCACAGGTGCCAGGCCCGAAATTCAAACCTCAGCATCACACACAAAATTTTAGATTCATAAGAGAAGTTAGTTGCTCCGTATTAAGCCTCACATTTTATGAAAAAAATATCATCTTGAATTGTGCTACATATAAAACCTGTGATTTTCAGCCTGGTCAGTTTTAACATTGTCTGTTTCTCAAAAGACTGAAATGCTGTTGAAAACAGTATATTGATAAAACAACTACCGTGTAAGTATGAAAGGCTTTCGGTGCATCTTACATAGGAACAATAACAACAACAAAAAGATTCATGTGATCAAAATTAAACAACACTTTTTTTTCCTTTGGTGCCAGACCTGGGCGCTGTCCCTGAATTTTTTGCTCAAGGTTAGCCCTTTACCACTTGAGACAGCTCTACTTCCAGCTTTTTGGTGGTTAATAGGAGATAAGAGTCCACAGACTTTCTTGCCTGGGCTGGCTTTGAACCTCAATCCTCAGATCTCAGCCTCCTGAGTAGCTAAAGATGTGAGCCACTAATGCCCAGGTTATACTTAATTTTTAAATAGAGAAATACTAAATTAAATATCACTGCATCATGCCAATACTAGCCTATGATAATCCTGTGTATGGCAGTGGGCCCCAGCTTCATTTATGCAGAACAAGTCTCACCTTTCCAGAATTCTCAGGACCAATAGCCATGCCAAATTCAGTCCGAATGAAGGTGTTATTGATGAGATTTGTAATATCTTTGAAGTTCTTTCCATAATCCTCACTGAAAGAAAATAAAAGCAAATTTAGAGTATGGTGGTTACAGATATTGTCAGCTTTTATTTCTCCATTGCATGACTTTTTGAGGTCTGATTGGTCTCAGGGAAATCTCCCTGAGAAATCTCCCTCCCTACTCCAGTCATGGCTTCTGGAATAGAAGACTAACCTACGCGGAGCCAAAGAGACAGAAAGGGGAAGCTTGATATACATTTTCTTCCAGCATAGACACTTGACAAGGCGGTCTGTCATCTTCTAGACTAGTAGTTCTCAACAAGAGTGTTTTGTACCCTACCCCCTACTACCATACTTGGAACATCTGGAGACATTTTAATTATCATAACTCGGTTCAGGTGCTACTGGTATCAAGTAGACGGTGGTCAGTGAGGCTGCCAGGGCATCTGTAGATAAACAGGACAGTCCCACAACCTCAAACATCACCAACGCCAAGGCCGAGAAATCCATCATACAAAAGCAAAAATTGCTAATCATTTTGTCACAAAGCTAGGACAACTGAGAATTTCTCAGTTGTTCTTCTGAAGCCCGCCTTTCCTCTGTTTAGTGAGTTGATCATTCCTTTATTATTCATGCTAGAGTGACTTGGGACATACGTTAGATGTAGTCAAAGACTCCTAACTAGTCTATTAATCTATAGCGTTTATGGGAAAGTTGCAGGTTAATTAGTGGGGTCTTGAAGTTTCTACTGCTCAAAGTTACCATCACTGGGCACATGTTTCTAATGAATGTAACACAAAACATAGCTAGGAAAATCAAACAATGAATCTCAACTCTTGGCTTCTCCCAGAAGTTCATTCCACAAAACCTTTGAGAAGTATTTTGAATCCATGTTTAAATTTTGAGAACAGTAAACAAACTATCAGTAGACAAATTTAATACTATAGGTAGCACTCTTCAGACACAATAAAGAATGCTAAATCTTAATATTTATTACAGTTTAGTATCTACCAGTGAAGATGACTATACATGGAAAATTAGGTAATATACGGTGGTACTCATTAATAGGACTTAGGACTTTAAAAGTGTTTTGCCAATTTTGTCTGTAGCATCAAGTAATCAAGAATTTCAGATCTGGGTGCTAATGGCTCACTCCTGTAATCTGAACTACTCAGGAGGCTGACATCTGAGGATCACAGTTCAAAGCCAGCCCAAGGATGAAAGCCCATGAATTCATCTCCAATTGACCACTAAAAAGTAGGAAGCAGTAGAGTGCCAGTCTTTAGCAGAAAAAAGCTAAGGGACAACGCCCAGGCACTGAAAATTCTTCATGCAACTCCCTTATTTCACATGAGTTGCTAGGGGAGGCAATTTAGCAAAAGTCAAGTATTTCAGGATAAAATTGAAAGTAGTCCAAGTCTTTTAATTGTCACTACCAAGACAACTTCTAATTATTTGTGAATTTTGTGAATTTTTTTCCCTCTCTTATAACTTGATGTTTTCTCTCTTTTGACCAGGCAGTACACCTCAGATAAATAAAAGCCTGAGAGAGAAGGCATCAATGCCTGTCTCTACATACCTCTGATCATGTAGGCTAAACCAAACCACGTCTTTAAGTTGTCTGAATGACTCCCTCTCCCTTAGCACATGTAGAGAGAAAATGCCTACGTATATAAAATAGAGATTAGGCACCAACCAACAGATTATTACATTGCCTTAAGTTTGATTTTGAAGGACAAGATCAGTTATTATCTTTCTGACAGTCATCAAGAGATGTGCATAAACAACGGCCAGCTCTGCAGGGTACACATCAGTCACAGCCCAAACAACATTCCAAGGGGTTGTAGCAGCTATTACTAGCTTGAAAATCATTCCTCCTTTATGATATTCCCAGGGAACTGCCACAAATTCCCAGGGAATCTAAACAAAATTGTTCATTTTTTTCCAAACTTGATACAACAAACACACCCTTGCCTCTCAGATAAGCAAAAACCAAAAAATGAATAAAACAAAAACATTACTGCAACTCTTTGATACTTTAAATAGTTAAATAAATGGAAAAAATGGACTAGTACCAAATTACTGAAAATAGGATTCTGTCAAGTCTGCTTTGGATCTACAAGTGTCTATCCATGGGTGCGTGTTTGTGCCTGTGCGTGCGTGCATGCGTGCGTGCGCGCGCGCGCGCGCGCGCGTGTGTGTGTGTGTGTGTGTATTAGCAGTTCTGGAGTTTGAATTCAGTGTCTCATGCTTGTTAGGCAGGCGTTCTATCTACCACTTGAGCTCCACCTCCAGCCCCTTTTCTGTTTTAGTTGTTTTTTTAGGCAGGTTCTTACCTGCGTAGGGTTTTGTCTGGGCTCAGGTTCAAACCACAATCCTCCTACCTATGGCTTCCTGCATACCTGCAATCATAGGTGCTCACCATCACACACAGCTTTTATTGAGATGGGAGAAGTCTAACATTTTGCCCAAGCTGTCTTCAAACATCAACCCTCCCAATCGCTACCTTCCAGTAGGGATTTACAGGCATAAACTACCTTGATAGCATAGAAGCATATTTTAACCGAGCATTTTATTTAAATGTAGCCTTATTTTCTGTCAGTATACATGTACATGCAATATATATCATGTGGAAGAAATAATCAAAAACTCTGAAAAATACATCTACTTTTCAAAATTGATAAAACTATAAGTAGCAGTCAAATGATTAAGTAACAATGGAAACCTGTCAAACTATCTGCTTTAGAAACAAATCTTCTAGTTGGATGATGGTGGCTCATGCTTATAATTCTAGCTACTCAGAAAGCTAAGACCTGGAGGACACCAGTTTGAAGCCATCTAGGGAAGAACAGTCTATAGGAACCCATCTCCAATTAACCAGCAAAAAGCCAGACTTGAGGCATGGCTCAAGTGGTAGAGCACTAGCCTTGAGCTGAAGAGCTGAGGGATGGTGCCCAGGCTCAGAGTTCAGGCCCAGACTGGCAAAATAATAATGATAATGATAATAATAATAACAATTATATCCTTCTATCATAATATCCATTCTTCCTCATTATAAGAGAAATTATCATATTCATGTATATCTGTGGCATAAATATGAATAAGAGTTTGCACATAAATAAGTGCCTTGTTTATTACTCAAGACAACACTAAAATAAATATATGTAGAATACAACTTGTTTTAGTCCATTTGCATGGTTATAAAAGAAAGCTGTAGACTGGTGGCTTGTAAACAATAGAAATTTATTTCTCACAGTTCTGAAGGATAAGATCAGAGCACTCTTAGATTTAGTGTCTGGTCAAAGCCAAATTCCTGGCTCAGAAACTGCCATCTTGTTTTTGTTTGTATAGCCTTAGAGACAAAGTCACACTATGGAACCCAGACTGGTCTCCAACTCATCATTCTTCTGGCTCAGCCTTCCAAGCACTAGGATTATACGTATGTACCACACTCAGATCAAACTGTCATCTTTATTATTATTATTATTAGACGATGATGATGTAGTTGTACAAAGAGGTTTCAATTCTCTAAGTCAGGTTATGACTACAATGCTTCTTGATCAATGTCATCCCTTCCATAATTCGCCCCCATTTTTCCTTCTTCCATCCCTACTCTCAAATTACATAGTTCAATTTTTACATAATCTTCATTGGATATGATGACTGCATTTTTCTCACACTTCCTCCTCCCATTTGTGTTCTTCCCCTGAACATGTTTCTGCTTCCTCAAACAGCTCATTAGATTTTCAGAAGAACTGGACTCTTTAGTCAATCAAACCTCATCACTGTAACCTCACAAGACAGAAGGGCCAAGAAAGTTCTCTGAGAATTTATTTATTTAATTTACTATTGTGGTACTAGGGCTTGAACTCAGGTCTTTGTAGTCAGATGTTTTACCTTACTTGAGTCATACTTCCAGCTCTTTACTTATCTTCTGGTATTTTATCTTATATTTATGAATTGGGCTATGATCCTCCTATTTATGATATACACAGCTAGGATGATAGATGGCCAGCTATTGTTTGAGTTGAAGTCTTACCAACTTTTTACCCAAGTTGGCCTTGAGCTACCTCCTCTTATACCACTGAATTGGAGGATAGGATTGCAAGGTATAAATTTGATGAGGGACACATTCAGTCTGCCTCTGGTCCAACCAAATTCATGTCCTTCTCACATGAAAAATGCATGTTACATTTCAACATCCCCCAAAGTCTTAATTCATTCCAGCATCAATTCTAAAGTCTCAAATCTAAAGTATCATATAGATGTTATCTAAATCAGGTGAGATTCAAGGTATAGTCATTCTGAAGCAAATTTTCCAGCTACAAGATCAAACAAGTTATATGCTTCTAAACCACAATGGCAGGTCAGGTATGGTAGAGATATTTCCATCCCAAAAGGAAGAAATGGAAAAGAAGAAAAGGGATCCCAAGCAACAAGGCAATCTTGAGAAAAATCCTCATTGGCTCAGTTCTTGGTCCTCCAGATCCACTGGGGTGATAGTCATCTTTACAGGTTTGCCAGCCAGGGGTTGGAACCCAAGGTTCAGGAAGGCTCTGCACCTACTGGGTAGAATCCATTTGGCCTATTGAAAAAAGGTATTTGAGGGTAGAAATGGAAAGGGAGAAATGCGGAAGAACCAAGGAAGGGGTGATGTTGACCAAGAAGCATTGTGCTCATCACCTGACTGATGGAACTGTAACCCCTATATACAACTACTTGGATTTTTTTAACTTAATTCTATTTTTTGTTTTGCTAGTCCTGCAGCTTGAATTCAGGGCCTTGGTGCTGCCCTTAGCTTTTTCACTCAAGGCTAGTTCTTTACCACTTGAACCACACCTTCACTTCTGGCTTTTTATGGTTAATTGGAAATTAACCCAGATTGGCTTCAAATCACAATCCTCCTGAGTAGTTAGTATTAAAGTCATGAGCCACCAAAATCTGGTTAACCATTCTGCTTTTAAGTCATTTCTCCCTTTTTGTACTTTATTATTATCAGCAGTCAAGAGAAGCCACGCATCGGCTTTAATACCTTGCTTAGAAATTGTTTTATTATATTTTGAGTTTCATCACTTGCCAGACCTACTTTCCACCCAACACTAAACCAATGGCTGAACACAAATTATGCCAGGTTCTTTGACTGTTCATAATATGGATTGGATTTTCTCCATTGTTGAATAATATGTGCTTCATTTTGGTCTAAAACCTCATCATAATGGCTTTATTGTCCATATATATGTGTGTACATTTTTTATCAATCTGTTATGTTATTTAGGTATTCTCTAAAACATAAGCTTTTCAACAGCTCTCCTTTTTCATTCTAAGTCCTCAGTGGAATCACATATAAAAATCACAGCAATTTTGCCAGGCCCCGGTGGCTCACGCCTGTAATCCTAGCTACTCAGGAGGCTAAGATCTGAGGATCCCGGTTCAAAGTCAGCCTGAGCAGGAAAGTCCATGAAACTCTTATCTCCAATAAACCACTAGAAAACTAGAAGTGGCACTGTAGCTCAAGTGGTAGAGAGCTAGCCTTGAGCTGAAGAGCTAAGGGACAGCGCTCAGGCCCAGAGTTTAAGCCCGACAACGGAAAAAAAAAATCACAGCAATTTAAACTTTTTCTATTTACTCCTCAAAACTCAACCCTTCTCTCTAGTACTTTCATTTATTTTGCCATAATTAAGTCACTATAAGTTATAATATAAAAGTAACAAGGGTGATAACAAATTCTTAAAAATAATGATAATTTCATACATTTCATGAACTGGGAGTTTAAATAGTTGATTCTCATTACAATCTCTGTTTTTACAAATTGTGTAATTGCTTAAATTTACTTGTAACTAACTCTTACTCTATGCCAGGCATTGCAGGACATTCCTTGAAACAGCCCTGAGGTGGACTTCTGATCACTCTTCCTTAAGAGGTGACAGAAAAGACTTAGGAGGCAAATAACTGGCCCAAGTTCCTCTTGCTTACAAAGGACAGGGATGAGCTTTAGTCTCAGGATTACTTACTAACAAACTTGAGCAGCTTTTTATTTTTCCAAGTTGTTTCCCAAGTCTATATAGCCATATGATATAATTTTTTTTGCCAGTCTTGGGGCTTGCACTCAGGGCCTGAGCACTGTCCTTGGGCTTCTTTTGCTCAAGGATAGCGCCTGAGTCATGGCACTACTTCCGCCTTTTTCTATTTATGTGGTACTGAGAAATCGAGCCCAGGGCTTCATGCATGTTAGGCAAGCACTCTACCACTAAGCCATATTCCCAGGCCATATAATTTTAAAGGAGGAAAAACAATCAAGATAAGAAATTGTAAATACTCAGCAGTAACCTTTCTTTCAGAATTTCCAAATACTTTATGATACAATGGTATCACTGTTATAATGAAAGATAAGTTGGCAGGAAAAACTGTATCAGGACAGATCTCATAAGAACAAAGATTTTTAAATGTTCTGAGTAGTTTTTTTGGACATAAGAGCTGCACAGATAAGAGCTGCCTGGGCTGGTTTCAAACCACAATCCTCAGATCTGTCTCCTGAGTAGCTAGGATTACAGGTGTGAGACACTGGCACCCTGCTAAAAGTTACAAATTTTGGATGTATTTTTTTCCTCCCAAGTGAGGCTTCTCCTTTGTCTGAAATGATTCAACTACTGTTCTAATTAGATACACAAAACCATCTATTACAGCCCTTTCTTAGCACTAGGATCCTATAGTACATTGTTACAAATAAAAAAGTATTAGCGGTTTCAAAAGTATAGAGAAAGCGAGGCATTCATTCAGACAGATTTACTGTCTACCTACTATGTGTCAGTCCTTTTGTCCAAATGCTGGAGAATTCCTACTTAAGTTCAGTTCCAAAATGAAATTCTGTCTACTGTGCTGAAGGGCAGAACGCTCTGGTTCTAGGCCCCGGAGCAACAGTTAAAGGTCACGCCTACAAGAGAAGGGAGGTAGGGTTGATCAGAGTCAAAGCCTCACACCTGGGCCAAAGCCTCACACCTGGACCAAGGCCAACAGACAGCCTTAGAACCTAACAGGACACATGGGACACATACTGGTGTGGGGGTTGTTTCTGAATCATCTCCTGGGAGTTCATTATTTCATTAGGCAATTTGAGAAGTTAGTCTTGATCCTTATTGTTAAGTAAAAGAATCTTCTATTTAACCAAGCTGGACTTTTGAGAAGACTATTTTAAAATGAGTATCACAGAACATATGTTCTCACTGTCATTATCAGGTGAACCTACAAACCAGTTTGGTAGGTCTGACCTGAGAACCTCCTAGGCATTCAGAAGACAATTACCAGGGCAGTGAATGTGGCTTAGTGGTAGACTACTTGCCTAGCATGTATAAAGCCCTAGGTTCAATTCCTCAGTATCACATAAACAGAAAAAGCTGGAAGCGGAACTGTAGCTCAAGTGACAGAGCACTAGTCTTGAGCAAAAGAAGCTCAGGGACAGTGCCAAGGCCCTGAGTTCAAGCCGCAGGACTAGAGTGGAAAAAAAGGAAAAGAAAAAAAAACAATTACCAGAGAATCACTATCTCTTATCAGTTCAGGCCTCAGAATATTAGATAAGTAATACTTGTTTAGAATACAATGAGAACTTTCAGTGCAAGGATATAAAAAATTTCTATGCTCATTAAAATAGATATAAAATTTAAACTACTTACAACAAATAAGTATCTAGGCAAAATAACACATGCTTCTGCAGACTCTTCACCTTCTTTTATTTTGCCTCTCAGGCAGGTCATCCTAGTTCTTTAGAAGTAGATCCCTTTTCATATTTCATATTTCTTCAGATTGTCATTAAAAAGTATGCTGACGGGGGCTGGGAAGAAGGCTCAGTGGTAGAGCGCTTGCCTTGCATGCCTGAAGCCCTGGGTTCAATTCCTCAGCACCACATAAGCAAAAATAAAAAAAAGCCGGAAGTGGTGCTGTGGCTCAAGTGGTAGAGTGCTAGCCTTGAGCTGAAGAGCTGAGGGACAGCGCCCAGGCCCAGAGTTCAGGCCCCATGACTGGACCCAAAAAATAAAAATAAAAAAAATAAAAAGTGTGCTGATGGATGCTGGTGACTCACATTTACTATCCTACTCAGGAGGCTGAGATTTGGAGGACTGACTGTAACTCAAAACTAACCCAGGCAGAGAAGTCCTTGAGAATCCATCTCAAATGAACTAGCAAATAGCTGGGCTGGAAGTTTGGCTCAAGTGATAGAGCATCAATGGTAAACAAGCAAGCTAAGTAAGAGTGAGGCCCCTGAGTTCAAATCACAGTATTAACACACACACACACACACACACTCACTCACTCACAAGACTTCTTCTGAATCCATATCTGGGCATAATGGTGTACATTTGTCATCATAAAATATGTGGGAGGGGAAGTGGCACTGTGGCTCAAGTGGTAGAGTGCTAGCCTTGAGCTGAGGGGCAGCGCCCGGGCCCACAGTTCAAGCCTCATGACCGACAAAAAAAAAAAAAAAAAATGTGGAAAGCTAAGATTGGGAGGATCACAGTTCCAAACCAGGCTGGCAGAAAAATCTGTTCGATTCTGGAAGGGAAGCAGAATGCAATTGTGTGTGTGTGTGTGTGTGTGTGTTCGATTCTGGAAGGGAAGCAGAATGCAATTGTGTGTGTGTGTGTGTGTGTGTGTGTGTGTGTGTGTGTGTGTGTGTGTGTGTTTAATTACCAGTTCTGGGGATTAGACTGTGTGTGTGTGTGTGTGTGTGTGTTTAATTACCAGTTCTGGGGATTGGGCACTGTCCTGTGTGTGTGTGTGTGTGTGTGTGTGTGTGTGTGTGTGTTCCTAACAACCATAGGAAGCTTAAATAGTTGGACCTTGGCTTAGACATATGCCTGAGACTGAAAGTAAGACTGTCTCAAAAATAACCAGTGAAAAAGCTAAATGTGTAATTCAGGTCTAGTACATGCAAAGCCGAGTTTAAACCCTAGAACCACCAGAAAAAAAAAGTGTGGGGGGCGGGGAGGGAGAAAGGAAGGAAGGAATGAGCAAAAGGAAGAGAAAAAAGGATGTTGAGTGTGAATAGAGTGGTGAAAACTTAAGATAGCTGGAAGATATTCTAAATCAACCATAATGTTCAGAAAAGGTAGAACTCAGATTCCTAATGTATTAGTCAAATGCCATTAACATTATGTTATCTATCTCACCTTCGATATAACTTGGACTGTCCAAAAGTCATAATTACCAATGGCACATGGAAGGTCGTCAATACTAGAATGACCTGGAAAGAGACAAAAAAAAAAAGCATTCTGTTAATAAGAGAGACCCTACAATTGCATGCTGATATCTAATGAGATTAAACCACCCTTGAAAGGACTGTTGATATCCTTAATTTGTAGTAGTAATATATCTGAAACCCAAGAAGGACTAAATTACTAGGGTTTACAGGAATGGTTTAAGAAATCCTTAACTGATTTCATTGGAATGGTTTCTCTTCGCAAATACTTTAGGCCTTGAGGCAGAGCTATTGAAACACATTTCAATTATGGACGGATTTTAACTACTTTGTATCCGTATTAACATACATTAGTCAGGCAAAAATCTATTTTTGTTTTCTGTCTACTGAGGGTAGAATATGACAGGTATTCTAACAGAGGTAATTCCACTAAGTTCATTTGATAATTACTTTTTTACAAAAACATAGATGAGGAGAAATTTGGGATAGATGCATACAGTAGTTTATGGAGATGAAAAGACATTTGGTTAGAAATATTGGGATTGGAGGCATGGCTCCAATTAAGCACTAGACAATGAGCAAAAGTGTGAGGTACTGTGTAAGCTCTAGTTTCAGACCTAAAAAAAAAAAGAAAGAAAAAGAAATCTTGGCACTATCAACTAGCTTAGATAAATGAATAAATCACAAAAATTAGGGCACACTGTTTAGAAGAAACTGAGACATGCTGAAAGAAATTTTAAGGAGTTTAAAAATAAACTAAGATGCCTATAATCCTAGCTACTCAGGAGACTGAGATCTGAGGATCATAGTTCTGAGCCAGACCAGACAGAAAAATCCTCAAGACTCTTTTCTCCAAATAACTAGCAAAAGCCAGAAGTGGGAGCATGGCTCACACGGTTAGAACACCAGCCATGAACAAAAAGGCTGAGGCCCTGAGTTCAAGTCCTAGTATAAGGAAATGGGGGAGGAGGGAGGATGGGAAGGAGGTGAAGAAGGGGAAGAAGGAAAAGGAGGAAGAAGAAAACAATTACTTTCTTTTCTAAACCAAAATTTTATTTCTTTGGCTTCTGACATAGCTATCCTGTGCCTTAAAGCTATGACACACACATTACTGGAACACCAGGGCCATAGAACATGGTCCCTGTCCGAGTTGAGGCAGAACAACAGAACCAGGCAACCTTAAGTCTTGAATGAGGACCTGAGGACCATCCTTAGCATACTTCCCTCTGCCTTTGAAGGATACCAGCAGCACCCCTGGAGGGATACGCACTCACAGACTCCCTCCCATTCCCCAATCTTGTTAGTACCTGCTTTTTGTAGGGACAGTGTCGACCAAGGGAGGTGAAACCACCATAGACCCACAGATGCCACAGTCTTTCAATATAATTGTGGGAAAGAATAAAAGAAAAATAGTTTGGGGTAAAAAATGCCAAGATGTGTAATGTGCTCCTTTCTGCTTCTACATAGCAATCTTCACATAGCACTCTCCTTCTTCTTGCTTCTTCTTGTTCATCTTGATGTTAAAGAGCCACCAAGGACTAAAAAACTATTTTCCTGCTATTGAAGAACACAGCCTCAAGAAGTATACCAACTCCAAGTTCATGAAAGTCTGCCCTGAAAGTATTCATTTTCTATTAGGTTGAAGATGGTCCAGAAATAAATGATATTTACTGCTTAATCTCTCCAAATTACCTCATCTTACTAGAGTATAATAGACTCAAGATATTACTTACCCCAGTGCTATCTCCAACCCAGGACAAGGATACCGAGCCACTGAGATCATCAAACACATGCTATAAGGGGAAAAAGAAAAGAAATTAATTTAGAAATAGCATCTATTCTCCTTTAATATATTACTATTGTTCTGGGTAATTGGGTTTATAATTTGAAGGGGACATGGATTTCTAGAACAAAATTTGGAAGAGACAGGATTTAACTACTTAACCTGAATCACAAATAACTTGGAAATTTAAATTCTCTCTCACACAAAGTAAGCCAAGCAGATGAGTTTTCATCCCTGCACCAGATGGGGAGATGGAATAATCTAATTGCTTTCTTTAACAGAACTAAATATAAACACACCACAAAGTATTCTTAGGATGCTTGAAAACAAGAGATGAGAGTTCACATCGACAGACATAATTATAGCCCAATCAACTTAATTTGAACTTTTCTAAGCAGTCTTCACAGCATCACTGAATAGTTAGTAGATTCCTTTGCTTCTCAGCTAACTCACCAAAAATAAGCAAATGGCTTTGTGTTGTTCTTTTATTCAATAATAACAGTATAAAATAGCAATAAATCTTACTGGGTTGTGGCAAGAATAGAGAGACAAAAGAGGGCAAGCTGGCGTATTATAAATATATTTATTATATAAATATGAAATATAAATATGCTATATTAAAATATAGTTATAATAATCATTGCAGGTGCTTTTGACTTTTTCCTCAAAATACCTCCTTTCCCTATTTACAAAATAAAGTATAATCCTTGTAGAAAATTTAGATAATTATAAGGAAGTGTAAGAAAGAAAATAAAGTCCTTCATAATCTTATCACAGAGATAGTCCAGGTTAATGTTACACACATAATCTAGTGGTTATCATTTTAACTAATAAAAATTCTACAGAGACAGTACTTCATTGTAAAAAATGCTGAATATTAGAATATCTATATGTTATATATGTATATGTGTGTGTATATATATATATATATATATTTCAAAAAATGAAAGTCCTTTCCTTTTCTCTTGCACTGGCCCTCTACCTCAAGGTCCAGTCCTTTACTAATAGCTTAGTATGTATTTCTACTAACTGTTAATAATTATGCTTTTTTTCCATGAAGAATACTCATATCTTATAAAGTTTTAAATCTCTTTTCAAATATGAGAAATTCATTTTAAGCAGAGGATGTAACTTTATATTTCTTGGCATTCCCTAGGCCTACCACAGAGATACTTTGGCACACCCAATAAGCATTTGTTGAAAATGATTATAATATATCCTTCCCAAACCACAAACTCAATCTCAAAATAGACCATGCCTATAAATGGTATGATGACAGCTACTTGGTCATTCAAGCTACCAATCCCAACAGAGAAGTTGAAAGACACAGAACTCAGAACATGAACTATTTTGTTTTTCTCTGTGGTCCTCCTGAATGGGCCTCTGAGTTCACAACTATGCTATTTCCTTTCTGGATGGAAATTGTCTTTGAGGTCAAAAGATCTTGTACAATCTCCATAAGTAGTATAGAACTAGTGCTTCACACAAGACTCGCTTAGTAAATGCTGGTTGATTCTCAAATGCTTAGGCAGAGCCTCTGGCAGCCTCTGTAGGACAGAAGGGCTATTCATACATGCAGGCTTGCCAAGCATCTGAGGAAAAGGGCTGCTAGATTCTCCTGGAACCAGAAGCTTACAGACTGACAGGGAAATGTGTCCTGTAAGATGTTTCACACAAAGCAAGACCAAGTGAGGAGGCAGTGTCTGAAATTACATCAATGAGTTCATTTAGGAGGAGCAGGATATCAGAGCTACTGCAAGTTCCAGACAGACCACATGTGCTAGCCATCATTTAAACATAGGTTATTTTTCCAAGGAAAATAGTGCTGTAACAATTGTCCAGGATAAATGAAAAATTCCGTCAATCATGGTACTACAGTTCCTTGTTGTCTTGAGTAGGCCAAGATAAACAATCTTGAGCTCATCAGGGCCTGAATTTGATGTTTTTGGGGCAATGCTCTTTACACCTGACACAGTCAGTGCACACGGCATTTCCAACATTTCCCTACTGCTCAATCATGGAACAAGGCCTGCTGGATGTCACTAGCAACATCAGTTTCAACTAAACAACCAAAATGCTAATTAACCTCATTTAGCATCCAAAGAGTTCCTCTAATAATGCAGGCTATATGTATAAACTATAATTGTGGTTTTTATCCCACCTTCTCCCATTAACCAATTATTTGCCTTTGCAAATATAAAATCACTGAAAAAAATTTACCCAAGTACAGCAAATGTAACAAAGTTATGTATCAGTCTCTAATACATTTATCCTCCAGAAAGTAAAGAAAGGAAATAAAATCAGCTCTACTTGCATGATCAGAGCTTACATGTAAAGAAAAGGACATACAGAAAGGAGACAACCCTAGCTACTCAGAAGGCTGATATATGAAGATCACCATTCAAAGCCAACCGGGGCAGACAAAACCAAGAGACTCTTATCTCTAATTAACTAACAAAAAGCCAGAAGTGGAGCTGTTGTTCAAGTAGTAGAGCTTCACCCTTGAGAAAAAAGACAGGCAAGTGCAAGACCCCGAGTTTAATACCAGTACCTGCACCTGCCCCCCTTCCTTCTCCCAAAAAAGAAAGCAAAACAAGGAGAGGTGCATGAGCAAGAGTCAGATTCAGTCCTACTTTTTGAATGGAATTAGAAACACAAGGAGACAGAATTCACTACAATCAGAAAAGGCCATCAATTCTAATCTCTAGTCAGTTAGCATATGTAATGCCATATACACTTGCCACTCCACATTAGAGGAGCATTTTATATCTTTCAAAATCTGTATCACATTTAATTATAGCAATGAGACCTTGTCTACTTAACCCCCAAGAACTGAAATCCCTTTGATACAGGAATTGAACTGATACATTTTAGCTATTAACATACAACATAATATGTGGGATGTGCTCAAATACTGAATCCATTTTCTTTTTTTCTTTTCTTTTTTTTTAATCGGTCATAGGGCCTGAACTCTGGACCTGGGCGCTGTCCCTCAGCTCTTCAGTTCAAGGCTAGGACTCTACCACTTGAGCCACAGTGCCACTTCCAGCCTTTTTTTTTTTCTTCTGCTTATGTGGTGCTGAGGAATTGAAACCAGGGCCTCATGCATGCAAGGCAAGCACTCTACCACTGAGCCACCTTCCCACCCCCTCCATTTTCTTTAAGAACCACTTGGAAGTCCCTGAAAGGAAGGATGAAGTGTAAAACTAAGGCCAGAGCCACTTAATTTCCCTATGATATAAGAGCATGCAATGTAAAACTGTTCTGGGACTTCTGCTTCTTGCCAAGATATACTGACAGGGATCAGATTTACACTCTTACCAGAAACACCTAAAACACATAGAGCATATGAAATAATAGCTTTCAAATCACTGCACATAAGAGTATGAATTATACTAATTCCTGAAATAAAGGAAAAGAACAAAATGGGCCCTTTCACTGCTTCAACAGCACTGGGAACAGGAACCCAGGCAAAGCCCAGAGTATCCCCAAATTCAAGAGATGAAACGTAGTTTGGGAAGAACTAAAAAGGTTCGCAGGGTAGAAGACCAAGGGGGAGAGAGTGCAGAGAAAGGGAACTCTGAAGATCTGTAGAGGGACTGATGTTATCCGAATCACATCAGTCTAAGGGTTTATATGCTGAATGTGGGGCCTTTGGGGCATAATGATATTGGATGAGGCCTGCAGAGTGGGCCCCCCATAAGGGAATTAGTAGTTTTTAAACAAGAGGAAGAGAGACTCCAGATAGCTTGCTTGCTCTGTCTCACCAGCTGACACCATGTTAGGGTGCAGCAAAAGGCTTTCAGCAGATACTGGTGCCATGGTTTTGGACTTCCTAACCTCCACAACTGTGAGCTGAATAAATCTCTAGTCTTTATAAATTACCCAGTCTGTCATATTCAGTTATAACAAAAGAAAACTAGTAAGTCCGAGTAACCTAACTGGGTTCCTGAAGAAAGGTTGAGAACCTTTTTGATACAACATCTAATTCCCATGAAGATAAAATTTATAATATCCAACATTTCATCAAAAATCACCATATATGCAAGGATAAAGAAACCAGGATCCGCCGGGCGCTGGTGGCTCACGCCTGTAATCCTAGCTACTCAGGAGGCTGAGATCTGAGGATCGCGGTTCAAAGCCAGCCCGGGCAGGAAAGACCGTGAGACTCCTATCTCCAATAAACCACCAGAAAACCAGAAGTGGCGCTGTAGCTCAAGTGGTAGAGCACTAGCCTTGAGCTGAAGAGCTGAGGGACAGCACCCAGGCCCAGAGTTCAGGCCCCACCACCAGACAAAAAAAAAAAAAGAATATACTATGTACTTTTTTTTCAGTGCTGAGGATTAAACTCAGGGTTTTGCATATCCTAGACAAAGTTGTATCATTGAGCTATACTCAGTCTCATGTAATGAATTTTTTTTTGTTGGTCATGGGGCCTGAACTCTATGCCTAGGCACTGTCCCTCAGCTCTTCAGCTCAAGGCTAGCATCCTACCACTTGAGCCACAGCGCCACTTCTGGCTTTTTCTGTTTATGTGGTGCTGAGGAATCGAACCCAGGGCCTCATGCATCCAACGCAAGCATTCTACCACTGAGCCACCTTCCTAGCTCTCACTTAATGAATTCTTAATGGCAGACACCATGATCTGGTATAATCCATGGACCTGCCTTATACATGTTAAGTATTCGACAAACAGCTACATAAAAAGTTATAGTATTCATAACTTCGCTATAAATACCACTAATCTATGTACAGTCTTTTTTCTACCATGATTACCATGATGTCAGAAAATAATGGCTGAGTAGGGTTTACTCCTTTGCCATTAGAGCCAGTCAAAACATGTTAAATGCTAGTAAACGCCTTTGGGTTTACACATAGAATGTTGACCTTACACTGCTCCTTCCCACTGTAGTTGCCATCAACTCTATAGGTTAAAATTGGTTTAAAAAATGTACTAAACACAAAGGTGTTTAGAGGAAATTTCCAGGTAAGAGCAGATAATAGTAGAAG